GGCTTTGGCCCGGCTCGGTCCGAACCTCCTCCAAGCCCCCTCCCTCAGGTGGAGCTGTCACGCTGACTTCCTCCCGTCCCGCCCCGCCCCCCTTAAGCTGTCCCCAAAGGCATCTCCCGTAGCGGAGAACACACCCCTCCCACCCCCTAAGGGGCGGCCTCTACTGAGAGCATCCACCCCAAACTGAGCTCCAGCTCCTCCCGCTTCTCTGACTCCCTGAGCAGCTTCTCGGCTCCCACCCAACACCAGACGCATGATTGGTCGAATCGACTTTGATTTGTCCTATCAGCGGTCGCATATTCCTTAACCAAGTTCTGATTGGAAGACTTTGTCTTCGCCTTTTCATTGGTCTGCTAACTTAGAGGGGCCGCAAGAATGACAGATTCGTGGTGAGGGGTGATTGACTCAACCTTCCTGAGGTCGAGTTGGGCTTTCTTTTCTGTCAACGTGCCGAGGCCCTTCCCTCCGGCACGAACCAGTGAGAAGAGAGGTTTGGAGATGGGAACCTGGAGCAACCTAGCGCTCTACGAAGATAGACCTCGCCAGTTCACGATCTCCTAGCTCTTTAAAACTACATTAGCAGCATTGTGACTTGGAACAACCATTCTAGAAGCAATTTGAAATTATGTAGATAAAATGACTAAAATACCTATACCATTTGATCCGAAGATTCCACTGCTAGGCATATATCCCAGGGACTTTGTGGATATTAAAATAGTTACAGCAGCACTTTTTGTGGTAGCAAAAACAAACTAAACTCTGGCATCAAAGTGGACACCTATCCAGGGCAGACATTTCATCATTTCCTACAGTCTGCAGGACCGTCCCCTACCTCTTCCCTGCGTCCTCCTTTTCAGCTTCCTTTTATGTCTTGTCTTTCCGCATTAGATTGTGGGCTCTTTGAGAGCAGGGACTGTCTTTTCCCCTGTTTTGTATCCTCAGTGCTTAGCACAGTGCCTGGCACAAAGCAGGCACTTAATGTTCATTGACTGACTCAGGGAAGTGGATAAACAAATTGTGGTACCTGAATGTGATGGATTATTGTTAAACGGAAAAAAAAATACACTCACCATCCCTCCCGGCACCCCCCAAAAAAAGACCGAACACGATAAAAACAGAGGAACAAGGAAAGATATGAATTGACGAAAGATGAGGTAAGCAGAGCCAGGAAAACAGTACACACAGTTATTGCAATGGGTAAATTGAAGGGATAATGACTATAAAGCAATAGAAAATGAATATTGTGAAACTATAACGAACATGTTTGACCCCAAAGTTACCTCCTTCCTCTCCTTTGAAGAGTTAAGAGGGTGGGAGTGGTCAATAACGTATAACAAATTTTTTCAATGCAGTGGTCAATTTACTCAATTTTTTTAATATTTCTTTTTAAAAAATTCTTTGTTGTAAAGAATGGCTTCTGGGAAGGAGGGGTAAGAAATACAGAGGGAAATCAAGGTGGTGTGAAAACAAATTATATTGGTTTTTTAAAAAGAAAGCAAGAAATGAGGCCCCTTCATCAACCAACAAAAAACTATGAGACCCTACACATAACACATTAGCAAGATGACAAAATATGTGAATATTTTGGAGCTATTTCAAATAGAAAGGCACACTAATATACTGTTGATGGAACTGTGAATTGATCCAAATATTTTGGAAAACAATTTGGAATTATGCTAAGAGACTAAAACATTTATATCTTTTTACCCAGAAATCTTACTCTACTATTCATCTACCTCCAAGGAGGTTAAAAAAAAAATTAGGGAGGGGAAGAGTCCAATGTACACCAAAATATTGATAGCAACACTTTTTTGTAGTAGCAAAAAACAAAACCAAAAACAACTGAAAACAAAGTAGATAAAATGTGATACCAGTACACTGTGCCATAAGAAAAATGAATATGAAAAATACAGCAAGGCATGGGAAGACATATGAAGTGTTACTAAATTAAGTAAGCAAACCAGGAATACAATATGTACAATAACAACAACAATGTAAACAGAAAGGAAAAAATAAAGAAATGGCAAATTACCAAGCCTGGCCCCAAAGAGATCAGAAAATAATACTTCTCTCACTTCTTTGGGGTGGGGATGGGAGGAAGGATTGATGAAGGGTGTGGAACATCGATCAAATGAGATAATATTTGTAAAGCACTTAGCACAGTGCCTGGCACAGAGCAGACATGTGGCAGTTGTCACCATCATCATCTTTTGATATGTGGGTTAGTTTTGCTAAACTTTTTTTTTCTTTCTGTAATGGGGATGGCACACGTGCAGAGTGCCTCAGATGCTGTCTCTATGTGGAAGACAATAGTATGTTGCTTCAAGGAGACTTGTAATGTACAAGAGAAATGCCTGGAGTATGTGATTTTGTTGTTGTTGTTTAGTCATGGCCCCATTTGGGGTTTTCTTGGCAAAAATACTAGAGTGGTTTGCCATTTCTTTCTCCAGCTCATTTTACAGATGAGGAAACTGAAGCAACCGGGGTTAAATGACTTGCCCAGGGTCACAGAACTAGTCTGAGGACGGATTTCAGCTTAGGTCCTCTTGATTCCAGGGCCAGCACTCTATTCTCTTTGACGCCTAGCTGCCCGGAGCATGTATAGACATTCTATAACTGGTTCTGACCAACTAACCACATGTTGAAGAGAAGGCTCTTAGGCTGCAGAGGCACTCAGCAAAAACTATTAGCTTCAGCTATGGCCTCTTTGCCTCATTTGCTTTTGAGGGAGTCTCAGTGACTCCTTCCCTTCTGGCATCTGGTAAAGGAAGTGGAGTCTCTGACACTGGTAATTTTGAAAGGTCAGAAGAGCAAGCCAAAGGAATCCAGGAGTCCAAGCCTAAGCGAAGTTTCCCAACCAGGAAAGGATTATTCCCCAGGGACTAAGGCATGATCTTCAGGAGTGACCTCTGGGAATGTAGCTCAAAAGAACAATTTATCCAGCAGTTATGCCACATCTGGACATGAACTTGTAGGACCAAGGCTCTGTAATAATTGAGCTAAGCTTCAAACCTATTCCCCTAGAGACTGAAGGTAGTGGAGGAGAGAGTATTCCTCAGAGGTGTTGGGGGAAACATATGTTTGTTCTTGCTATATCTTTGAAGTATTCCTATGTAAATGTTATCTACTGTTAAGTGGTTAAATGGAACTGAGGTTGCTAGTCACTGGCCCTGTTAATAGAGAAAAAAATAGTTGATTGGAGTTCCAACTGGCAGTAGGGAAAAAGCTACCCCAATCCACTTGGGTTATCCTGAGGAGAGATGTAGCCCACCTGGCCTTGAGACAGTGGGACCAAAGCATATGTTATGCTTCTTTTTTACTTAGTATTATAAGAGATGGCTCTCTGGGGAAAGGAGGGAGATATTGGGAAATTTAAAGTGATGTAAAGATGAAAGATACCAATATAATTAAAATACACACACATCAGCTTGTCCCCTGAGAGGAGACAAGAGAATCTATCTTCTTTCTTTCATTAGCAATGTAGGGGATTATGGATATAGAATGTTGCATGTGCTCTTAGACCCTACTGATGTATCCATTGGTTTTTCTGAACTATTTTTTTCTCCTAATCGTTGTTAGCAGGAAAACCTCCTCACTACATAGGAGGGTGGAGGGGGATATATTTGTAAATGTGATGTAAAAACAAAAGGCATCAATGAAACTAACACAATCTCTAACCCCCTAAGTGTTGGCATTGTTAGCCCCAAAACTGCTATAGCAAGTGGTGACCCAGAGGACTATAAAAAGCATGGTTTGGAATTAGAGCATTTATATAGTGAAAAGGACCTTGAATTTGGGAATTTGAATCCTGGCCGTGCTATTTAAGGACCTGTGTGACTTTCGACAAGTCACTTAATGTCTCTGAGTCTCAGTTTCCTCACCTGTAAAATAAAATGTTTGGAGATGACTTCTACTCAATCTCCTATCATCCTGCTACCTTGGCCAGGTCACTTAAATTCTATGATTCTCATTTTTCTCCTCTCTAAAGTGATAGGGTTGGAACATTCCTTTCCACTTGTTTTTTCTCTAATTATTACAGCCTGCTGGGGGTCATACCCTTGGGGAAGAAATAAAGGAAAGACTGGACAAGGAGTGTGTTTGAACATTTTTCAAAAATAGTCACTTACCCAGGAAATGTTCTATGCAACCAAGGTGGCCATTCCCCTTTTTGGAAGGGGGTAGGGGGCAGTGGAAGGGAGAGGCAATCTGGGTTGACTTGCCCAGGATCACACGGCTAGTGTCTGAGGCTGGATTTTAACTCAGGTCCTCCTGACTCCAGAGCCATTCCTCTTTCAAGAATGCCCATGAAACAAAGGGGCTGCTCTGGAAGTAGTTATGTTCATGCTATGGTTTACTATGGTATTGTTATATTTTAGCTTTTGACCTGATAGCCTGTATTAAAAGTTATGGGTCTAAAAATAATTATAATAAGAGTTATAGGTACTATATAAACAGGCCTAAATACAAGACAACTATGCATCTCAACATATCAAAAAAATAACAAGGAAAGATATTGAAATACAACACACTTTCTATCACTTAAAACTGAATCAAAGTGGAATGGACTGCCTCAGAAAGCAGCAAGTTGTTACTCACTGGAGATTTTCAAGTACAGGCTGGAGAAATATTTAAATTTTTTAGATGACTTTTCAAGTATGTGGTGTAGAGGGTTCCTACTCAGTGATGGGAACATACAGCCTTTAAGGTCCCTTCCAATCTGAACTCTAAGATACATAATCTCCAATATGTAGGATAGCTAGGATCTGGACCATGGTAGAGGCAGTTCACTCCTATCATCCTCATGCTAGACTTGGAGGTCTGATGCAGGCATGTGAAGGCACTCACTGTAGTTTCCCAGAACTGCCTATAGTTCAAGGTGGGGAATTCCTTGACAGCACAGTAGTACACAGTCATACTGCCCCTGAGGCAGTATCTGATTCTTCTCCTCCCACAATTCATTCCCCAGAATGGATATAAAAAGCACAAAATAAGAAGCCCAGTTTGTTAAAGGAGTTAAGATCATTTATTTCCATTATGACCCTGGGGCTCAGTACATAGATGGCTTCTCTTCACCCTTTGGGTTGGTGATCTTCTCTAGGTTGATGCTGATGATGTGATAGAGCTCAGCCTGGATAAATGAGTCAAAATGGTAGCTGAAGCTCCCTCCCTAGCCCTTTTTTCAACTGCCCCCTCCCTTGCCATCCTTCCTCTTCAAACCATCTTTATTCTGTATCTCTTCTTGTCTTCACCCCTACTCACATAGAAAGAACGGAGATCCAGCACTATGGTCCTAAGTTCCCTATAGGCTGCCTCATCTCGTTCATGTACCAAGGTCCGATAATCCATCTGGGAGAGAAAAGGGTAAAGTTGGGTCACGTCTCTGGGAGGGCATGAGATGTGCCTGGTTTTCTCATAGAAGGGAATGGACAAATTGGAGGAATGCTTTCTGTCTCAGCCACTGGAAACAGAATTCCATAGGATCAAGTAGACTGGCTAAGATCCAGGAATCCTCATTCCCTTCCAGGGGTTCCTTTTGCTTTGGTCTTCCCCACTTAGGGAAACTCCCTGAGAAGACTTTCTCAGGGAGATCAGACACCCAACACCTCTTTTCCATCCATTCCCAGCATCATATGTCTCATCTAAAAGCTGGAGGGACTTTCCATAATGCTCTGAGGTGGGTGGAAATGCCCACTCACCACATGAGTCTCCTTGGAGGCCTTGGCCACAGCATCTCCACGTTCAGAGAAGTACCTTATAGGAAAAGAGAGGGTTGACTGTAGGAATGGGCATTCCCAAGGAACATACTGCCCCAGGGTACCTCCCCAAAGTCTCATTTCTTTGTGGGAAATGCCCAGTGCAGGAGAGACTGACCAGTTTCTGAATTCTAAAAAGTGATGCCCTCCACTTCCCATGCCTATCCTCAAGCCTAGCTTACTTGGCAATGGCTGTCTGAAAGCTTTCCACTTTGGTTTTCACTGCTGTCACTCGTTCTAGAACCTTTTCCTGTGAAGATAAATAGAGATGGAAGATGGAGAACAACAGTACAACCTCCTTCTCCCATCCCATGTCCCTGACATTTCTTTTTCCTCTTGTTCCCAGCCACGACCTCACCTCCCAAACTTTTCTTTCCTATAATAGTCCTCACTTCCTCACCTTCTCTTCCCTTACCTGGATGGCTACCCCAAAATCATTGCCGTCCTCAATCTTGGGGATCAGGTGTTGGATCCAGGTGGTCACCTATGTCAGAGAAGTGTCTATGATTGACTGCTGATCCGGTCATTAAGCACTTCAATGAAGAAGGCACTATGTTCTATACTACGACAACAGAAAGAATAAGGAACAATCCCTGCCCTCAAAGAGCTTACCTTACTATTTGTAAGACTAGAGCCCATAAAGGTAGCCCACTTGGTGAGAAGGAAAGGGGTTTAAAGGAGCCAAACCTTAAGGAAAAAAGATTTACAGGAGAGCCCCAAGTCTTAGAAATAGGCCTCTGAGTTAAAAATAGACCTCTGTCTTACCAGAATACACTTCTCTTTGAGGGTGAGAACCTCTGGCTTAACTTGAGCAAGTAGTGCCAGGACTTTCTCATTTCCTGGGAGGAAGCCACACTTGGGGACTAAGGGAAAAACGAAGTGTTAGTCACAGGATTCAGGCACCTTCCTAGTCATCTTTCAATCAACTGCCTCCTTCCTAATGCCTTCCTTCCTCACCTTCTTTCTTCTCTTGTTTGTCTGTCTCCATCTGAAGGGGAAAAAATTCATTAGAATTGAAAATTTTGAGGGAGGCTGAGGAGGGAATATCTCTGTGGAGTATGCAGTTTCAATCTGTCAGCTCCCTCGGACCTCACCTCATCATCCTTGGGTGGAGGATCTGGAATAGGGATGTCCAATGGTGCTCGAAGGGAGGTTAGGTCAACCACATTGAAGGAGTCCTCCTGTTCAAAAATAACTGTTAGGTTCATGTCTGGCGTCTTTCGTCTTAAGCCTGCATAAAGCCCCAAAGATACACAGTCTTCCTACTACCCCCAACCAACTCCACACATCCTCTTCCCCCTCAATTAATCTTTTCAAGATTCAGACTCCACTCCTTCCTTTGACTCTGAACTCACAGATAATTGATTGCCACAGCCGCATAAGGGAAGTGAAGCCCAGATCTTGAATGCAGGTTAAGGGTACCCAAGGTTGTTAGAGGTAGAAGCAGGAGAGGATGCTATCGCTTACCTTCAAAAGCCGATGTAGTTCTATGATTTTCTGTGGTAGGAAGGTTGAGAGGAACTCCTCAGCCTGCAGCAAAGAAAGAATATGATCACAGGAAGAAGGGGGGCGATAGGGGCCAAAGGGCTGGATAAGAAAATTGTAGATTCAGAGACTTTTAGAGGTGGAAAGGACCTTGGAGATCATCTAATCTGATGTTTTACAAAATGAGGAAATTGAAGCCCAGATAAATTAGGAGCTTGTTCAAGGTCACACAGACCTGGTTCCCAGAGCAGTGCTTTTTCTCCTACACAATGCTGGAGGCATAGTGGTGGAAGCACGAGTCAGAAATCAGATTGGAGGGGAGAGGTTAAGATTGAGGACCCAACTTGAGTCTTGGGCCTGGTAAGGAAAATGAGCCCCAGGTCAAAGTTGAGGGTGGGGTCCCAAGGAAAGGCTGTTAATCCATTCTCAGGTCAGAAGTTAAGAGCCAAATTTATACTGAATCCAAATCGACTCACCTCCTGGAAGAGCTTTTGCCGAAACAAATCCACCTGTGGAGAGAAAGCAGGGTATAGAGGGCTCCAGTAAGAAGGAGGGTAGGGTGGGGTGGGGAGAGGTGGGGTGGAGGCTCTGGGGCCTTCCTCCCACTCATCCCCGACTTATTTAAGTACTATCTCACTCTAGCCCAGTCCTTTCCCACCTCCAAGAAGTTCCCCCTTTGCAGACCCCCTAACCCCAGGTCTGGAAATGACCCTGGATGGCATGGCCAGGATCTCGAAGGCCCCAAGCAGAACCGAAAGCACTCAAAGGGACTGACTAGAAAGGCTCCCCAGCCCTTCAGCCCAGCGCCCCGGTCCAGGCACAGGTGCAGCCGCCCCCTCCCCACGGCAACCAGCCAGCGGGGCAGCCCCCCAGCCGCCTCACCTGTCTGCGGGCCTGCCCGCTCAGCGGCAGCCCACAAGCTTTAGCCATGCTGCCCAGGTCCAGAGGAAGCTCTGAGGTCTCCCCGCTCCCCGCCCAGGGCTCCGGCTTTCACTTTCACTCCCCATTGGCAGCTCCGCCCCCCCCCTCCCCAGTTCTCCCGGGAGCCCCCTGCTGGTCTTCCCGAGGTGCAGCGGCCTTGGAGGTGGAAATCCCCCGCTGGAGAGGAGGCTGGCCTCTAGACCGCCCCGGCATCCTCTGAGAAACAGAGAGAGGTTGGGGAAATGACCGCGCCTTTCTTTCAACCCACAGGTTAGTAGTCCAGGGCAGAGTCACGGTCCTCCCTTTGACCACGCCCCTCAAAAGCCACGCCTCTTCGAAGACAAACCCCTCCTTCTTTGTAGCCACTCCCCTTTCCTTAGCCAAGCCCCGCCCCGGTCCATGGCGCCCTTCCCTCGCCACGCCCCTCTTCTGAACCTAGCCCCGCCTCCCTCATGACCACGCCCCCCGAGCCCTTTCCCTCTCCCGAGGCCTCCTTCCCACCTCCTCCTAGTTTAGCCTCGCTCGCTTCCGTCCGACAAGTCGAGGTCCCTCCCCTTTCCCGGGGACTTCCTGTTCCCTACCCAGAGAGCGAGAGGCCCGGGAGCCAGGCTGCGGTGAGAGCCGAACCGGGGCCAGGGTGTTGTCTGGCCGTCCTGCCGCTGCAGCGTGAGCCGGGGAGCCGGGGAGAGGCGAGCCGGTTGGTTCGGGAAGGAAGGCATCGCCTCTGGGAGTGGAGAGGGGCGGGGGAAGCGGGGAGACAAGCCGGACTCGAGATGATCCTGTCTAGGGACTGAGGGACGGAGGGAGGTCAGCGCGTGCCGGGTGTCCAGTCACAGGTCATCCCGGACTCAGCAGTCCCGAATCCCTGCCCCCATCCCCTTCCTCGGGAGCTGCCCTGTGGCCGCAGCCGCGATAGGGCAGACAAGCCAGAGGCGCGGGACAAGACTGGGGGGGGGGGCTCCCCACCTGTCCGCGTCGGGGGATGAGGAAGGAGGGACAGAGGGGCTGGGCAAGGCCACGACTGCATGCCCTCAGCCCCAGCAGAGGAGCCAGAGGCTGGGGGCTCCCTTCTCTAGCTTCCTGAGATGGGTAAGCGGAATCTGTGAAGTTTGGGCGACCCAGGGGAGCGCCCTCTCCCACCTGAACCAGTCCCCTTGTGCCTCCCCCCCAGGATGTCAGGGGAAGGGCTGCAGGAAGAGGAGCGGGTCTTTCTGGCTGCCCGTGAAGAGCTGGTGGACGCCCTGAGGAGGGATCCTGGACAGACATTTTCCCTAGAGCAGCTGCTTGGACTGCTGGACAACTCCTTGCCCCTTACCACCCGCTACCCTCAGCTGAATGCCTCCTGCCTGGTCTGCAGCAATGCCCAAGGAGAGGTGAGCAAGCATTATGACTAGCAATATGTTTAGAGAAGGACTGGAAGGGGACTGACAGCCGGAGAGGACTTCTGGGAAATAGGCAGAAACATGGTCAAAACCAGAAGGAAAGGAAAGAATTAAGGAATGAAACAGGGAGCTAGGGGCTCTAGCTGTTGTCCAGTCTAGACAACAGGGGTGGGACTTGGGATCCGTAAGAGAGCACTCAGATATTTTAATTCAAGTCCTTCCACCGTGCCTTTGCAGCCCAGTCAGTACCTGCGTAGGCTGTCCACTGCATTGAACATTCTAGAGAAATATGGCCGAAACCTACTTTGTCCACAAAGACCACGCTATTGGCGTGGGGTCAAGTTCAATAACCCTGTCTTCAGAAGCACTGTGGATTCTGTGCAGGTGAGATTTTAATGGACCTGGGAAGATGCAGCTAGGGAATTAGGTGCCAAGGTAACTGGAATTGGGCTAGAAGTTTTGGACTGGGCCAGAAGTTAGACTTGTGCTAGGGATAGCCTGTCCTGTGAAAAGTGTGATAGTTTTAAGAAAGGTTAGTCATGGGGGGTGGAATGAGAATGTCAAGTTACCATGGGGTCTGTGTAAGGATTAATGAGGTACAACATGCATGACTTGCCAGTAGAAAGACACTCAGGAGGGAGGGGTTCACAGGCAGACAGTGACTGGGGGTTCATGACAGGGGGGCCGGGAGGTTCTTCGACTTTATGGGTACACAGAACAACAGCCAGATGGCCTAAGCTTCCCTGAGGGGCAAGAGGAGCCAGATGGGCATCGTGTGGCTACAGTCACTCTGGACGTCTTATTGCTTCGGACTGAGCTCACCCTTCTCCTGGAGGTAAGACGTTATCCTCATAAGTAGGACTTGGAAACTCTGACCTCAGGGACTTAGCCTAACCTGAAGCTACCTTATGGATGTCAACCCAGCTGAATCCCAAGCGTGGAGCATTCTCCCCCTCTCCCTTCTCTGCTATGTTTCTTCCCTTTCCCTGTGCGTGGATAGGGATCAGGTTCCTAGGGATAGTATGGTTGGAGTTCTGACTGTGCTCCATTTATTCTGGCTTCAGAAATCCCATCCACGGCCAAAGGCACTGGAAGAGCTACTAAAAAAAGGATCTAGTGGTAAGGTAAGGAGGAAGGGGTTCCTTGGTACCATGGGGAGATTGGTGAGAAAAGGAAGCTAGGGAAATGAGGAATATATGTTCCATTCAACCCTCTAAACATTACCCTTCTTTCCTCAGATGTTGCTCTTCTCTGAATCAGTTTCTCCACTAAGAGAGACCACTTCCAATTCTCTTCCTGCTCCCCAGGCTCAAGGTACTGCTGCTTTTTTGGAGGTGGGGAGCCAGTCAAGTGTGGTATCAAAGTGATGGAGATTTGTGAAATCTCACTATATGCAAATGTAATTCTTTCAGTCCTTATTTCTCTTTCTGTAAAGAGATGAAACTAATTCCTTGAGCCTGGTCATATTAAAGAACATACACTGGTTCATAGCTTGTGTAAATTTGTGCACATAATCCAGAGGAAGAAGTGTTCTCAAGGTAACATGTAATTCTTCTTCTCTTATCCAGGCACCATACCAGGTTCTTGCTTTTTATGTGGCTCTGTCCCAGGCACACTGCATTGCCCAACCTGTGGTCATGCTCTTTGCCCAGCCTGTGACTGCCTTTTCCATCGACACCCATCCCGTGCCCATCACCTGCGACAGCCCCTGCTTGGGAACTGCCAAGCCTCCAATGTTAGCTCCAGGTAAGAGGCCCCTTCCTTCTTGATTCAAAGATGGGGGAGCCACTTTAAGGTAGGGATGAGTGGGAGACATGCCAAGAAAATTTAAAATGCTCAGGAGTATAGAATTTAACTACCTGTGTATTTAGGATAGCCCTGTGTCTTTGTTACAGCTTGTCAAACCTGGCCCCACCACGGCCCTTGCTCACTTCTCCACCCACCTTTGGGGACAGCTCTCTTCCTTCCTGGTCAAGTCCAGCCCCAGAGCCACCTAGCACTCGCCCACCTTGGCACTGTGCTGCCTGTGCCATGCTGAATGAGGCCCGAGCAGTGTTGTGTGTAGCCTGTGATCGACCCCGAGGTTGCAAGGGGGTAGGACAAGGGATGGAGAGCCCTCCAGCTGGAGGATCCGGATGTGGGCCACAGCGGGGCCGCTGGGCCTGTCAGAGCTGCACCTTTGAGAATGAGGCTGCTACAGTGCTATGTGCCATGTGTGAGCGACCTCGGCTTGCCCAACCTCCCAGCCTTATAGGGGATGTCCGAGACACTGGTGCCTGCCTGCCTGCTCTGAAGGTAATATGAATTCTAGCCTGTCCTCCGAATTACACTGCCTGTAGCTCTCCCAGGTGTTTGTTTTCCTTGATTCTCCCTCCAACATCTTTTTACCCTATCTGCACCCCCTTGTGTTCCCACGATTTTTTCCTTCCCTGCCCTCCCAGTCTTAGATCTCTGCTCTTAGGAAGTAGATCCAAAGGGTGAACCTTTCAGGGGTAATGACTATCCCAGTCTACTTCCTCTAGGCTGGTGATTGGCACTGTGTTCACTGTACCTTCCGAAACTCTGGCCCAGGCTGGGTTTGTACCATGTGTAACCGGACCAGTAGCCCTACTCCACCACTTCTTCCCTCCTGGCTCCCCACTAGCTCGCTGGGAGAGGGAGCCCGAGCCAGTGTCTGCTTCAAGCCTGTGTCCACACAGCGCCTAAGCACTCCTCTGCCCACCCTCAGAGGAGATCCTGAGCAGCAGCGTCAGGACAAGATGCGGGAGGATGGGCTCCGATTGGTGGCAATGATCCGAGTAAGTTCTGAGTGGAAGATGAAGACTTGAGAAAGGGGAGCAGACTCCCGAGTATGAGGTGGAGGATGGGACAGATTCTCATTAGTCAGAACTCTTTTCTGATGGGGTGAGAGGGGTGAAGAATGCCTTTCCTTATCAATGTCTTAATGAAGGGGTGGGGTGTGTCCCCAGGCAGGGGAAGCCGAAGGTGCATGCCCAGAGGAGATATTTTCAGCACTGCAATATTCAGGCACTGAGGTGCCTCTGCAGTGGCTGCGGTCAGAGCTGCCCTATGTGCTGGAGATGGTGGCAGAGATGGCAGGACGGCAAGACCCCAGTCTAGGTGCATTCTCCTGCCAAGAAGCCAAGCAGGCCTGGCTTGATCGTCATGGCAACCTGGATGAGGCTGTGGAGGAGTGTGTTCGAGCCAGACGACGGAAGGTGGGGCAATTTTTCAGGTTGGAAGGGTGAGGGACTGGGGACAGAGGATAAATTGGTATCTGGGAATGTTAATAAAGGGTGGTGGGATGGGGGTCTAAGAACAGGTACTAAACTGAACTGGATATATAAAATTAAGGTTGAATATGAAGATTTGAGAGAGGTGGCCCTTAGAATTTAGAGCTTCGGCATGTTTCTGACTTTTGACTTTTCTCCTTTCTTACTACAATCACCAGGTTCGGGAGTTAGAGGTCCTGGGCTTTGGGCGAGAGGAGGGGGCATTGCAAGCACTCTATCAGCATGGTGGAGATGTGGGGCGAGCCCTTACAGAGCTACAGCGACAGCGCCTAGAACCCTTCCACCAGCGCCTCTGGGAAGCCCCTGAGCCTAACCCTTCCTGGGATGGACCTGATAAGCAGGTATTTGTTGAGACAACTGGGAAAGCAGGAAAAACAATGAAGTTGTAACCCTTGAAAAGGCCAGGCCAGATGGGGGTATTCTGACAGATGTTCATCTGTGCCCTCACATCGCAGAGTCTGATACGACGGCTATTGGCAGTATACGCTTTACCAAGCTGGGGCCGGGCAGAGCTGGCACTTTCACTGCTTCAGGAGACGCCAAGGAACTATGAGCTGGTAGATGTGGTGGAGGCTGTTCGACATAGTCCTGACCGGGCCTTCCTGCGCCGACTACTTGCCCAAGAGTGTGCTGTCTGTGGCTGGGCCCTTCCCCGAAACCGGGTAACCTCTTTTCCTTTGTCTTGGCTGAGCAATGGCCCCTTGCACTGCCAGCTTGTATGCCTTTTCCCATGACATGAGACCCCCTAATCCCACTTCAGCCCAACCTGACTACTCCTAAAAGACCATCAGACTTTTTTTTAATTCATCAGTTCAAAGGAATCTTTGCTATTTCTTCCCATTCCTTCAGATGCAGTGAGCTGGGTGTCTGCCCAGCCAATTTATGCCTGAACCTAACAACCTAGTCCTTTTTCTTACTCCTTATTGTTTTCTGACATGACTCTCCCCCCTCCTGCCCTAGATGCAGGCACTGACCTCCTGTGAGTGCACCATCTGTCCAGACTGCTTCCGGCAGCACTTCACCATTGCCCTGAAGGAGAAGCACATCACAGATATGGTGTGTCCAGCCTGTGGACGCCCTGACCTAACTGATGAGACCCAGCTAGTCAGCTACTTCTCTACCCTGGACATCCAGGTACCAAGACAACCCAAAGTGAACACCATGGAGCTAAAGGGATCCAGGGTTCCAGGTGGTTTGGGACCCTTTCCACCTGCCTCTTCATGTCCTCCTAGTTGCGGGAAAGCCTGGATCCTGATGCCTATGCATTGTTCCACAAGAAACTGACGGAGCGTGTGCTCATGCGTGACCCCAAGTTCTTGTGGTGCACTCAGGTGAGATGGTGAGGAGATAAGTGAAGGAGCACAGGGAAACTGGGAAGAGACTAGTTGACAGAGAGGATGGAAAAGGGGGTAAGGATGGATCGTGGTAGTATTTTTGTTTTCTGTCCCAACCAGTGTTCCTTTGGCTTCATCTATGAACGGGAGCAGCTAGAGGCCACGTGTCCCCAGTGTCACCAGACTTTCTGTGTTCGCTGCAAGCGTCAGGTAAGGGGGAGTGACTCATGGTGGAGGCATAAGTGGATGAAGTGGGAACTGGGTGAAAAGAAGGGGGCTGGAACAATGGGGTGGCACGTAGCAAAAATAGGATCATGGGATTGTTTGGGATGGGAAGTCTCTAGCTAAAGTACTTGGTTTCCCTCCTGTAGTGGGAAGAACAGCATCGGGGCCGGAGCTGTGAGGACTTTCAGAGCTGGAAACGGGCCAATGACCCTGAGTACCAGGCCCAGGGCTTGGCCATGTACCTGCAGGAGAATGGCATTGGTAAGGCCTTCTTCTGTCCTTCTTCTCCAAGATATAGGCCCCTTCCTTCCTCAGTACACTCACCATTATCTGCCACTATTTACCCCACAAGCCTTTCATCTATCTTTGCCATTCTTACTCCTGTCAAGAAAGGTCAGGATGGAGAAAGTCCTTGCTGTGAGCCAGCTATGCTAGCTTGTACTCCTGATCCTGTTTCTCCCCGTAGACTGTCCCAAGTGTAAGTTCTCGTACGCTCTGGCCCGGGGTGGATGTATGCACTTCCATTGCACCCAGTGCCGCCATCAGTTCTGCAGTGGCTGCTACAGTGCCTTCTATGCCAAGAATGTACGTTTGAAATGGGAGGAAGGGGGCAGTAGTTTGGGATGGGGAATGTGACCAGACCATACTTGGGTTTGAGTGACAAATCATTAGGAGGAAGTGATAGAGGATATGGAGAAAGTGGGGTTGAAGGGGTGGAGGGGTCATTCTGCTGTTGAGCATCTCTCCCTGTTCTCTGGTGTGTGGCTCCCCCCACTCCTTACTCAGGTCCTTCCCACCACCACCCTACACCTCGTGAAGGAGGTCACTGAGAGGCCAAATCCAATACCTTCTCCATCCTCCTCTCTTTCCTCTACTTGGGTTCCCTTCAGAAATGTTCAGATCCCAACTGCCGGGTGAAGAAATCACTGCATGGTCATCATCCTCGAGACTGTCTCTTCTACCTTCGAGACTGGGATGCTCTCCGTCTTCAGAAGTTGTTACAGGTTAGAAGCCTCTAAGGCTAAGATGAGAGGGCCTCGACAGGAAAGACTTCAGGGTATTGGAGGGGGTATTGGGGTCCTAGTGTCTCAGGGATTCCCTTCGTGAAGCATTGTGAAGGTCAGGGGAGATGGTCTAAAGCAAGAAATGGGAGCTAGCTGGAACATTCACCTGTCTGTCCCTCCCTAGGACAACAGCATTACTTTCAATACAGAGCCTCCAGCTGGAACCCGGGCAGTGCCTGGAGGTGAGTGAGCTTGTCATCCTGGAGCCCATAACGACCTCCAGTTGTAACTGCCCACTGAGAGGGGAAAACTTCCTCTATGGAGAAGGGGCAGAGATGTGGGTGATGTCCCACAATTCCACTATGTTTATATGGGGAGGGTAAGGAGGGAAGTGGCCCCATAAACCCCTCAACTTTAATGGTTCAATTTGTTCACTAATATTAATTGTCTGCTATTCGCAAGCCATTGTCCTAGACATTGTGGTCACTACAAAGAAGTATTCAAACAAAACCCCTGTCCTCTGAGAGTTTTTATTTGAAAAAAATAAAACATGCACTAACTGAAATTTAATTAGCAGTTAATATATCACAAGACAATATGCAATTAAATGCAAAATTAGCGGTACAAACAAGTATTCTAGGACAACAGTTTATTCTAATGAGCTGGAGAGTTGAGATGTAGATGGCTGCATTCCTAGGCTCCTCCTGTGATAGTTGATAATTCTGGATAATAATGTGTTCTTGTCATCCACACTAGAAGCTGCCCTCTCTTTGAGTGGGTTGAATAATATGCCCATTATGCTTTGAGGGCAAACACCTTCTTCGTTACAGACCTTGTTGACCCATCTGTCCCCTCAGGTGGCTGCCGTGTGATGGAACAGAAGGAGGTTCCAGGTGGGCTCAAGGATGAAGCCTGTGGAAAGGAGACCCCAACTGGGTATGCTGGACTCTGCCAGTAAGTATCAGGCTGGGAAGTAGCTCCTTTCAGGAAGGCATTAGGACTTGTGCACTGATTCCTCAAAGAATGAGTACTGGAATATGCACCTTGGGGACGGAGTCTGGGCAGTAAGTACGGGGTCTGATGATATCTGGATGGTGAAGAGTTCCCAGAAGCAAGCACAATACCTCCTCTGCTTCTCCCACCCCTCAGGGCACATTACAAGGAGTACCTGGTGAGCCTCATCAATGCCCACTCACTGGACCCAGCAATGCTGTATGAGGTGGAGGAGCTGGAGACAGCCACGGAGCGCTATCTGCATGTCCGGCCTCAGCCAGTAGCAGGAGAGGAGGCCTCCACCTATCGGACTCGATTGCTACAGGTGAAGAGACTGTGGACATCTTCTCAGATATTTTGACCTCCAAGGATCCCCTTGGCCAACCTAGAATCCCTAAATACCTGGCTTTAACCCACTTTCCTGTTTCCTCCTGCAGAAGCTGCTAGAAGAGGTGCCTCTGGGCCAGAACATCCCCCGAAGGAAGAAGTAGCTGGGGCTGGGGCCCTCGGGAAGGCCCCTGTGCCCCGCTGCCAGGGCTGGGGCCCTCAGGAAGGCCCCTGTGTCCCCCGCCAGTTCCCATTTCCTACGGACTCCTACAGAAACTCCAGCACCAATAAAGGTGTCTCCTCTCCCAACCTCCTTGGTGGTCCTTCTTATTGGTCCCCTCCAGCCAAGGGCACCTGGGGACTGAGGGATAGAGGATGGGTGGGCCGGAGTATGTGGAGGAGCTTTGCTGTGACCTCTCTCCTGATTCCCCCAGTTGAAGCTCAGGGCTTAGAACAAGCGAAGATGCTGAATGGCCCACTGCCCAGCCCCTGTTTCCCAGTCCTTCCGAGAGCTTGCTATGTGTCTAGCACTGTGCTAGATGCCGAGGTGGGGGGGAACAGTAACAGCAAAGCCCCAGACACTCCACTCCTGCACTCAGAAAAGTTCTCGGTCTCCTTTGGGAGCAGAACAGCACAGATCTTTTATGAAGCGCCTCCCCCAGCTGTGCCTGGCAGCTTAGCTGGGCTCCAGCCCACAACCCCTCCCGTTCACACGTAGGCCCGGGCTCAGGCCCAGGCCCAGGCCCTCCCGCAGCGCCAGTGGCTGGCTCTGGGGTGGCTGGCTCTGGGTCGGGCCCTTTTCCCAGGTCGCTGCTCCCCCCTGGTGGTGGCTGGGTGCCCTGCAGCTGCAGCCCATGTGATTTCGTGGAAAAGGCGGTGCCTAAAGGAAACGAAACGGGACTGTAGGAAGGGGAGGAGAGACAGAGAGCCAGGGAGCCGAGCTGCACCTATCTTTCCCGTTCATCGAGCCAAGGCACCTGACTGCCATCACAGGTAAGGGCGGGCTCCATGCTCTGACTAGGGCATCTGGCTTCTGGAGGAGACATCCAGTCAGTGGGTAGATACCTAGATGCTGCAGGAAGGGACGCCTGGGTTCTAGAGATGGGGGAGGGGAGAAGGGCAGAGAAAGTTCATGTTGAAGAGTGGACTTCCATGCCCAGGCTGGGAGGATCTGGATCCACGAGGCAACGGCTAGGGGTCTGTCACCGGGAGGGTCATTCCCCAGGGAGGGAGGAATAGATGGCACTCAGTCCAGAGGATCCCATCAACCTTTGTTTTTGTTGCCTCTAATGCTGCCCACTTCTAGTGTGACTCCGCCTCCTTTCTCCTCCTCTTCCACCTTTTCACTTTCCCCTATCTCTCCCTTCTCTCCCCTAAGCTTTGAGGGGCAGCCAGCTCCTAGTGTGAAGATTAGTGTGTTCAGATCACAAACTGAGGGGGATATGTATGTAAGAGAACTGAGAATTAGAGGCCCTGGATATGAATTGAGAATGAGGAACAGGCCATGTAAAGGCATAGGGCCAGCTCCAGGAAACGCTCTAGTGAAAGATGAGATCATAATCTAGAACAAAAAAGGGACCTTTTACAAATGAAGAAGCTGAAGCCTAGGGAGAGTAAGGGACTTGTCCAAGGTCTCATAGATAGTATCAGAATCAGGATTTGAACCCCAACCCTCTGAATCCAGAGCCAGGGTTTTTTACACTGTGCCACCTTAGTCCTTCCAGGTTAGAAACTGATCAAAAAGAAGAAAAATCATTTGGTTCTTCTTCCCTACGAATAGTGACATGAAAAGGCCCTAACTCTAAATATAGACTCTGAATTTTGTCCCAAATAGAATTACCTAATTTGGGACTGTGGATAAAAACAGTTTTCCATAATTTCTATTGATGATGAAATCAAAATGGTTGAAATTTGAATAGTTCAGAGGCTTTTATTCCAGAGTCTTCAGCAGTGGTTTATAGTATGAAAAGAGGTTTCCAGGAATGAGGAGACAGCTGGCACAGACAGAGGGCTGGTTTTGGGGTAAAGATTAACTTGTAAAAAAAAGTTGTGGAGGCCATATTGCCCCACTAATCTGTTCAGGCACTTTTCCTTGGTGGGAATAATGCACAGTACATAGACACAAAGAGAGTAAGTTGAATTACCAATGATATTCACATGTCTGCTCTTTCTGCCTTATTCCTCAATCTGGTGAAGTACCAACTTCTGTACTGGTGAATGGTGGTATTTAGTTGTGGGAAAGTCCCATAGCCAATCTGACAATTTATGAATCACAAAATAACAATAAATCTCTAGCTTAAAAAAAATAACTTGTAAGCCTGGGATCTCATATTACTAGGCAGCATGGTATAATGAATATGAGTACTCAATTTGGGATCAGGAAGATTGTGGTTGAGTTCAAATCTTGCCTTAAGACAACTAGCTGTGTGACTCAGGGCAAGTCACCTAACTTGTCTCAGTCTCCGTTTGTTCATCTGTAAAATGGGGATAATAATGGCACTTACCACATTTCATATTGCACATTATAGCACTATGTAAACATGAATTGTAAATTATAAATGCCCACCATTGCTGCTGTTGATGTTATTTCTGCTACATTTCTTAAGTTCCCATCTTCTTTCTTCTGATGTTTCTAATTGGTCCCTCTAGGATGGCATCTGGCCGGGCTAGAAGTACTCGAAAACTTCGTAACTGGGTTCTGGAGCAGGTAGAGAGTGGGAAGTTCCCAGGAGTGTGCTGGGATGATGCAGACAAGACCATGTTTCGCATCCCTTGGAAGCATGCAGGCAAGCAGGATTTCAGAGAAGAACAAGATGCTGCCTTCTTCAAGGTAAAAGAGCTTGTAGATCCCTTTCCAAGCCCCGCACTATTGAGGGCCACGAACTGGGCATGGAGAACTTTTTTTCCAAAGAGCTGAAAGACCTAGACGTGGTCTTTTCTGAAGAATCTGGAGATAGCCTTTTCTGAGTGTAAGGGACAACTAGAAATTGCCCTTTCTGACAGCTGGGTGGTGGGGAAGCCTGAGTATTTTCCATATTATCTATGTTCCATTTGAAGGGGTGAATCCGTTAAGTTGTTAAACGCATTAAGTTGAGAGGGGACCTTGATAATCATCCCCATTTCCTCCCTCCCTTCTTTAGGCCTGGGCAATATTCAAAGGGAAGTATCGGGAAGGAGACCAAGCAGACCCTGCTGCCTGGAAGACGCGCCTTCGGTGTGCCCTCAACAAGAGTCCTGAATTTGAGGAGGTCCCAGAGCGAGGCCACATGGAGGGGCCCGAGCCCTACAAGGTGTACCGGCTCCTGCCTTCTGGCACCCTTCCTGGTGACTACTGCCCCCCATGCTCCCTAGTCCCCATCCTTGGAAACAATGTAAGCCACACCCTGAGAGGTGGTTGGCAGGCATCTGGGGAGTCTGATTCATCTTTGCCCAGGGCAGAGCCTTCAGGTAATAATGAGAGTCACATTTTTATAGCACTCAGGTTTACAAAGTACTTTTCGCCCTGTGAGGTAGGTAGCATAAATACCATTCTACTCACCTTAACAGATGAGGAAACTGAAGCTCAGAAAGGTGTGAAGTGACTTGCCGAGGGCCTCATGGTAGCCTAAGCCACGTCTTCTGACACCAGTGTTGCTTTTTACTCTCTCACTCCCAGATATTCTCCCATCTTGGCATTTTTTCCCTTTGTAGATCCATCCTCAACCCCCACTCCAGGCCCTGACCCCTCTGGTGCTTCCACAGCCCCACAAGCTATCCAGAAACTTCGGCCAAAGAGAAACCACACTTCAGTATCCTCGGAGGAAGAAGATAACGTAGAGAATAAGCGGAGATGTATCCTTAGCCTGCCCTCGCTGCAGAACTCCCCCGGAATCATGGTGAGCTCCAGGGATAGGGTGTAAGGAAGGGCACGAGCTTGGCAGCCCAGGTTTAAATCAGAGGTTTAAATCAGAAGGGAGTCTTTGTTGCTGATGGAGCCATTCTCTGACCTTAGGTTCCAACTAAGCGACCCAGCAGCAGCTTTCAGCACATGGATGATTCTGGTATTGGGAGCAACAGTAACAGCCCTGAGCCCCATGAAGGTAGTTCCCCTGCCCCATTCCTCCTTCCAACCAATTCAGACTTTCTACAGCCAGACCACCCTGAACTCTCCTGATCTCATCTGGTGTACTTAGTCCTGACAGCCTGTGTGACCTTAGAAAAGTCAGTTAACCTCTCTCAGTATCATTTCTCATCTGTAAAACGAGGATGCTGGATTGTATATATGACCTCTAAAGTTCCTTCCAGCTCTAAATATCAATCCCATCATCTTAATGAAATTCCTAGTTGGCCCTTATTTTTCCTATATACTTATTAGAACTTTCTCTCCTTCTCTTGCATAGTTGCTGACTCTGCTGATGTCACTTTACAAGATAATCTAGAAATCCTCCAGTTGTTTCCCCTTTCAGATGCAGGTAAATACATTCTAAACCCCATGGCCTTTCCCTTCCCTGACTCCTCCCCACCCTTCTCCTTTTGATCTACTTTTTACAGCCCCTATACATTCTGCCTTCTAACCTTTCCTTCTAGATACCTCTGTAGCCAGAGGCAAGTGATTCCCTGTGTGGTTGGGTTCTCAGGGTACCCTTAGAAGGTACTTCTGCTCTGTTGAACAATTTTTGAGTGGATGAATTTGTCAAAGGAGGGAGTGTAGAGAGAAAGGAGGAAAGCCTCTTGAGAAACATTAAGGGATCTGAAAGAGATAATCAGTGAAGACAGTAAGCTAGCATTTATTAAGTGCCTTCTGTGTGCCAGACACTGTGCTAAACCCTGGAGATACAAAGAAAAGCAAAAAAAGCAGTCTCTGCTGTCAAGGAGCTTACAGTGTCCTGTGGGAAACAACATACAAACAACTGTGTACAAACAAGATATATACAGGATATATTTGGGGTAGTCTCAGAGGAAAGGTGCAAAGAGTACAGAGGATGGGGAAAGGTATATTGTACAAGTTGGAACATTAAGTGAGACTTGAAAGAAACCAAGGAAGCCAAGAGTTGGAGATGGGGAAGGAGAGAGTTACTGGCATGGAGGACTAGCAGTGAAAATACTTGAAGTTTGGATATGAAGTATCTTCTGCATGGAATAGTAAGAAGGCCAGTGACATTAGATTGGAGAGTACATGGAGGGGAGTAACATATTAGGAGGCTAGAAAGATAAGAAGGGCTTATGAAGACTTATGAAGGACTTTAAAAGTCAAACAGAAGATTTAAAATTTCATCTTGGAGATAATAGACAACTACTAGAGTTTATATATAGGAGGATGACTTGTTTAAACCTGCCCATCAGGAAGATCAGTTTGACAGTGGAGTAGGGGTTCAATTAGAGTGGGGAGAGAATAGAGACAAGGAGACCAACCAGCAGGTACTGAAATAGTCCAGGCGTGAGGTGATGAGGGCCTGAACCAGGGTACAGGCAGTGTCAGAGGAGAGAAGGGGTATATAAGATACAACAAATGGTGTGAAGGTAAAATGGACAGGACTTGGCAACTGATGAGAGATGGGAAATGAGAGAGAATGACGAGTCAAGGATGACACCTAGGTTGTGAGCCTGGTGACCGGGAGGATGGTAGTACCCTCAGCAGTGATAAGTAAGTCAGGAAGACAGAGGGGTTTTGGAGAAAAGATAACAAGTTCAGTTTTGGATATGTTGAGTTTAAGATGTCTATAGGACATCTAGTTTGAGTTGTTGGAGGTTGGAAGTCTTGAAGGAAGCAGTAGGAGATGGGAGGCTGGAGGCTGTGAAAGAGGTTAAGCCTGGACAAGTAGGTCTGAGAGTCATCTGCACAGAGATGATAATTGAATCCATGGGAGCTGATGAGATCATCAAATGAAATAGTATAGAGGGAGAAGAGAAGAGGAATCGGAATAGAGCCCTGAGGGGCACCACCAGGCATGACCTGGATGAAGATCCAGCAAAGGAAACGGGTGATCAGATGGTAAAAGAAATGAGAGCAGTGTATCGAGTAGAAGAGAGTAATTGACAGTGTCAGAGACTGCCAAGACTTCAAGAAGGAAGAGGATAGAGAAAAGGCCATTGGATTTGACAACTAAGAGATCACTAGTAGCTTTGGAGAGAGCAGTTTCAGTTGATGATAAGGTCAGAAGCCAGACTGGAGTGTTAAGAGTGATAAGAAAGAAAGTGGAGACACCTTTGTAGGCATCTTCAATAAGTTTAGCCACAAAAGGGAAGAGAAATGTTGCACAATAACTAGTGAGAATGGGTGGATCAAGTGAAGGGTTTTTGAGGGCAGGGGAGATGTGGAAATGTTTGTAGTCAGTAAGGAAGCCTATAGGAAGAGGTTAAATACAAGTGAGAGAGTAGGGATGATAGAGGGGCAGTATACTAGAGAAGATAGATACAGTGAGATCGCTTTTGCAGATTTGCCTTGACAAGGAGAAGTCCCATCTCTTTATGTGAGACAGGGTGAAAGAGAGAGTGGCAGAAGACATCTGTGTGATATGTGAAAAGGAAGCAGGAGAGAAGGGAGCCCTCTATACATGGCCTCAATTTTTTCATTGAAATTTGAGGCCAAATTCTCAGCTGAGAGAATTTAGAGAGGGGGAGCTATAGGAGGTAGTTTGTCCTCTAAGAGAAGACTAGGTAGAGGAGATAAGAAGAGGAGCATGGAATTGGAGATTGGAGAAATAGAAGGGACCTTAGATATTACTTCCTAATTTGATAGATTAGGAAAGCAAAGATTAGAAAAGTGAGATGATTTGTCCTAAGTTGTGTAGCTATCAGAGTTAGGACCAGAACCCCAAATCTCCTACTTTCCAGTTTGGTACATTACTTCCTTGTCTTCTACTAATATCTCAGTGCAGATGATACAGCTTTCTGTTTGTCCTGATCGCTTTCCTGAATCCTAGATTGGCATATTCTTCCACCTATCAGACTTCTCCCCCGTATGTCCCACTGGTGTCTCAAATTCAACACTCAGCATGTCTAAAACCAAAGTTATCTTTACCCTGCACGTACTCCTCTTCAGTCTCAATTACTCTATCTGTGGTACCACCTGGTTGGGATTATTTTTTCACCCTTCTCTCCCCCTCAGCTCCCATATCCAGTCATTCACCAAGGGTGAATGCTATTGACTCCATCTCTACGGGCTCTGTGTTCTCCTTATTCCAACTGCTAACATCTCATTACCACCCACATGAACTATTGCAGTAGCCTCCTAACAGGTTTTCCTGCCTCTGCCTTCTTCCTCTGCCTGTCCTTCATACCTTGGCCAGAATAGGCATTCTTGAAATCATTAGTGCTTCTTTGCATACTGAATAAAGTTCACACTTCATTGCTGGGTGTTCAAGTCCTTCCCTCTACAATCTGACACACCCCGCCTTTCCAGACTTATTAAATATCTCTCCGTTCCTTGTAGTCTACTCTCTGGCCAAAAGGGAATACTCTGCCCTATGCTCTCCCAGCTGACTACTGTGCTCGTGCTATTGCCTTCTAGGTCTGTAATGTCCTATATCCTACCTCAGCCCCTCGACTCACAAACTCTAATCCCCTTTGCCTGTTGATTTCCTGCCCATCCATTAAAACCCAATTCAAACACCACATCCTCAAAGAAGTCTTTCCTCCTTCCTTTATGGCCACATAGCACTTTGTTTTGCATCTTTCTAATGCACTTCTGACCTAGAAGTGTGTATTATACCTATATATATTTGTGTCTTATCCCCCAAGAGACTATGAGGGCAAGGTATATGTCCTAGCTATACTTTTTTTCCCCCAAAGTGCCTAGTGCAGTATTTTGCAAAAAGTAAGTGTTTGAGGATAATTGAGCACTTTTTCAACCTTAAAATGCTATAAAATTGTGAGGATATTATTGTTATTTTATGTGTTTCTTGAATGAACAAACAGTCAAATGACTGAACCTTTCCAGACTTCCTTACCTATAAAATGAGGTTAGACTACCTTTTAAAATTTTAGCTCCTTAAGTGTATGAATCCATCTCTAGTGTGCTGTATCTTTTTTTTTTCTCTCCTCTCTCCAGATTACTCGCTTTTGCTCACCTTCCACTACAGTGGGCATTTGGTTGGAAAGACTGAGGTATATGGCCCTGACTGCCGCCTTGTAGCCAAATCTTCAGGATCCCAGAATAACATAGAGCAGGTGGTGTTGCCTTCTGCCAGTGTACTATCTGAACCAGCTCTTCAGGTATCCACAGAGAACCTCCTGAACCAATTTGACCGTGGCATCTTGGTAGCTAGCAATGCCCGAGGTCTCTTTGTGCAGAGCCTCTGTACCATCCCAATTTCCTGGACTGGGCCCTGCACCCCATCTGGGCCTGGACCCCATCTGCTACAAGACAAAAAATGCATAGAGGTCTTTAGTCCTGCCAAATTCTTCCAAGGTGAGAACCATTCTACTCTAACCCAGTCTTAACCCTAAGGGCCCTGACCACTACCCCCTCATCTTGGGAGTATCCTAATTTTTAGAGTCCTGCTCCCTCCCTGCTGTCAGTCCTGTGGTGTTCCTGGGCCTGTGACTGTTGCCATCCTGAGTTCCTTCACTCCCTAGCTTCTCCATGAGCCTAAACACCAATCCTGTGAGACCCTGGGCTGGTTGGGCTAAGGCATGGTGACCAGGGGATCATATTGCCTCTCATTCTATGTATTTTCCTTCCTTTGATTCCTGCCTGTCCCCTCCTTTTCTCTTTTCATTGTTTCTGATTTTCTCTCCTTTTTCTTTATCTCCTTATCTTTCTTCCTCCATCACTTCACTCCTTTCCCATACCCTATCCTCACTCTCTTGCTCTCCATTACTTCCTCTCTCAAATTTCTTTCTCTCTTACCATTAGACCTAGACCAATACCACAAGGGCCTGGCCCCACCCCCTAAGTTCCAGGTGACCCTAAATTTTTTGGAGGAGCACGGTGGTCCTGAATATACTCATAAGAATCTCATCACAGTCCAGGTAGTATCACTATCTGGGATTGGGTGTAGTCTCTGGGATGAGAAGGGATTCTTCCAGAATGAATAAAGGTTGGACTCACTGATGTCTGTTCTTCCTGGTACAGATGGAGCAGGCGTTCGCCCGATACTACTGTAAACTGGACTTGTATAAATGAAGAATGTTCCGTTCCCTTGGCATCTGTTACACTGGTCTTCCTCTTCCTTTCCTTTAACTCTAAAGGGTATAATGTTCTTTCTGTGCCCTTCTAGTTGGTGTTGGTGCCTTCTATGAGTTGTATCACCATGCTTGGGTAGTTTGATAAGGTGGTAGGAGGTCCCTGGGAAATCCCAACAGCTCAAACTCACACTGCCCTTCAGTTCCAAACCCTAAAAATAACTGTAGATTCACTGTCTAGGTTTTTGAATAAAGTTTTATTGAAAATGAAATTATCTGATTTATTGGGAGAAGATTGCTATATCAGGGAAAAGCAGGTATGGTCAATGGAGAGTCAGGAGAGGAAGCATCTTATTTAAAACCAGGGGTTCTTAACCCAGAACCCATGGAGGATAGATATCAGGTGTTTAATCAACTTGGAACTTTTAAAATACTCCGATAATGGTATTTCAATAGAAGTGTAATCCTATGTATTTTATTTTATGCATTTACAAACATTCAGAGAAGGACCCATAGGCTTCAATGGACTACCATAATACACATAAAAAAAGGTTAAGATTTAATTTGATTTAAACCAGGGATGGGGAACCTGCACCCTCAAGGCCACATGTGGCCCTCTAAATCTTCAAGTGAGGCCCTTTGATTGAATCTAAATTTCACAGAACAAATCCCTTTAATAGAAAGGGATTAAGGGGATTTGTTCTGTGAAGTTTGGGTTCAGTCAAAGGACCGTACTTGAGCATCTAGAGGGCCACAAGTGGCCTTGAGGGCGCAGGTTCCCCACCCCTGATTTAAACTCTTATCTATTGGGGATCAGAAAACTTGGGTTCTCTTCCTGATCACACCTACCCATCACCCCAATCACATCTCATATTTCTATATTCACAGAAGTCCTTGGGACTAGCCCTATATACATCACAGTCGCATACAAGCCACTAAAGACCAAAGTGGGAAGGTCATCTGCCCAGAGTGGGCAGATGGTGGGCCAAGGGATAAGTTCTAGAAGCAAAAATAGGTATGCCGGTCTTCTGTGAGGCAGTTAGTCAATACACATTTAAGTGCCTACTCTGTGCTTATTGCTAGATTAAAAAAAAAAAAGGGCAAGAGACAGTTCCTCCCTGCTCTTAAGGAGCTTACAACCCAATGGGGTAATCAGTATGCAAACAGCTGTTTATAAAGAAGCTATATATAGGATACCTTGGACATAATCTGTAGAATTAAGGAGAATCAAGAAAGGCTTCCTGTTGAAGGGATTTTAGCTGTTATTTTGAGGGAAGCCAGGAGGCAGAGATAAAGAGGTAGAGAATTACAGGCCTGGGTGACAGCCAGTGAAAAGGCCCAAGTCAGGAGATAAATTATCTTGCACAAGCAATGATATCAAGGAGGCTGGTGTCACTGGATCACAGAGTGTATAGGAGGGTGTAATATGTAAGAAGACTGGAAAGGTAGGAAGAGCTTTCAGTATCAAACACGAGTTTATATTTGATCTTGGAGGTGATAGGAAGCCATTAAAGTTTACAAAGAAGTGCCATGGTCAGAACTGCCTTTTAGGAAGGATGGAATGGAGTGGGGAAAGTCTTGTAGCAGTAAGACCAACCAGCAGTAGTCCATGTCTTCTGCACCGGGGTGCTGAGGACCTGCACCAGGGTGATGGCAGTGTCTGAGGAGAGAAGGGAAGAGATGCTATGATGACAAAATCAATATATTGGTCTTGGGTAAGAGTGAGGAGTCAAGGAGGACACCTAGATTTTGAACCTGGGTGACTGGGAGGATGGTAGTGTCCTGAACAGTAATAAAGAACTTAGGAAGAAGGGAGAGTTTGGAGGAAAAGATAATGAGTTCAGTTTTTGATATTGAGTGTAAGATGTCTAGGGAATATCTAGCTCAAGATATTCAATAGGCAGTTGGAGATGCAAGACTGCAGGTCCCAAGGGAGGTTAGGGCTGGAGATCAAATAAAAAAGATGAGCTGCCAATGAGGGGATGAAGAAAAACGTGCCCTTGCTTTCTTTGTGAGGAACATCATATATTCTATCAGAGCTAGTTGTCACATTGGTTAGTAATGCTGAACAGCCTTTTGTCTCTTATTCTTTGTTACAAGGGATGGCATTCTGTGGAAGGAGGAGCAATATGTTTAGAGATGAAAGTGATATAGAAATAAGAGATCAATTAAAAAATTTTAAGAGAGAAGAAAAAGATGGGATGGTCAAGTGTTGAGAGGGAGGCATAAATGATGGACGGCTCACATGTTCCATTGGTATCCTCTCCATGTCAAGAGAACCTGAGGAAGAAGCCCAGCATGTTGGGTGGACTCTGGGACAAAATTATGAGCTCAAATTGCACAAGAAACTGGCAAAGATTGAGTTTCCTCTACATCACTGGAGGGAATGCCCATGTGGATGAGATCACAGATTAACTGGGAGTACAGACATTACATAAATTGGCACACTTACTTTCACGTTACAGGAATGGGTTAAAATTCTGTGGTGGTTTTTGTCTTCTCTGACCTGTCCCCCTGACCTTGCAATCATCCTCATATCTTTGGCAGTTACAAGGCTCCTCATTTGGTTCTTTACTATTACTTTGTTTCATTTCTGCATCAGTTTAAGAGTAGAACACCCACCCTGGGGATTACATTATGCTAGATTCTACAGGGTCTCAAATAGAGTAACTTTGCTAGTCTTGGTCTCTTAATTTTTAAAATCCAGAGTAGCTGCCAGTGTTGTCCACTTATACAGGACCCTGTGATCATCTATGCAGTCTATATGCTTTTCAGTCCCAATTAGACTGTAGGTTTCTTGAGGACTGGCCAGGATGTTGTATCCCTGGAATCTAACAGAGTTGGCGCTTTAATAAATACATTTGGATGGATAGATTGGTTATTCTCAGTAACCCACATGGGTTACTGAACACAAAGCGGTATTCTCAGTAATTATTAAATAAATTCCTGATGTGGGGTGAATGGAAGGACACGAAGCTAGGTCCCGGGGGCCAATCACAGATGGCATCCAATTGTCCTTAGCTTCTCTATTGGCTGGGAAGGATTTGTTACCAAGCCCGCGGCCCCAGAGGCAGGACACAGTCATTCTGCGCCTATTGGTCAGTCAGGACTCCCCAGATGACTGGAACGTCAGTTGTGTCACTAGGCGTTGGGTGGGCGGAGAAGGAAGAATGCAAGAACAGAAGCTGATTGGCCAGCCAGTCCTTCCGAGGAGTATTTCTGATTGGCCACCACGCTTCACCCCAGGGCTGCGGGACCCGGGCAGCTGAGAGGCTGAAGTTCAGATCTAGAAGCTCCAGGAGAAGCGAACGCTGCTTCTTGGCATCTGTGCCTGATTGGCCGTTCCCAGGAGGGCCATCATCCAATCAGAAGAGGCCGGAGAGGGAGGGAGTGCGCCACCTGCAGTCGGCATCCATCTAGTGGACAGGCAGGACTGGGCAATCTCGCTGCGAGTCTCTCCACGCTGTGCCTCGCCTCCGCTCCCGGACACCCAAACCCCACAACTTGGGGGCCTGGAGGAGAGTCTGTTATTAGGGGTGGGGGACCAGCTTTCATCTTGAAGCTGGGCAGCACCAGGTGGCACACAGGATTTCCCACCTCCCCTCCTGGGGTTGAGACAGCTCACCTTCCGCCCCCACGAGGCAGCATCTCCTAGCCAAAACCCCCTTGGGGGTTCAGAGTGAATGGCCGGAGCTGGGTTAGGACACTGTCCCTCCTGACTTCATCTTTCAGGGGTGTGGGAAGCCACCTCCCTGTCCTCTGGAAGACAGCCTCTAGTTTCTTTGTAAATGTATTTCACCCTGTTTTCCCTACAACTCTATCTATATAGTGTCTAGAGAAATTATATACACCTATTCGCAGTTCTCTTTTCGTAGCTCTATATCTTGATAAATCTACTTATCTATGTACAGACCCATTTACCTATTTGTGTGCCCAAATCTTTATTGAATTAGTGGGGAGAGCTTCCTTTGTAACTCATAGCTACCAAGGATCTAGGAAACGCAGCCCCCTGAAAAGGTTTAGAGTACAGGTTCAGAAAGGTGGGGGACAGAAGACTGGAACGAGAAGATGTTCTACTACCCAAACGTGCTTCAGCGCCACAGTGGTTGCTTTGCCACTATCTGGTGAGGGGGTATAGGGGGTTTGTGGGGGAGGAAGCTGGGAGCAGCTGAGAGAGCGGGGTGGGAGTGAAAAAGAAAGACTGGAGAGTCAGGGGACTAAGATTCTTTCCCTGCCTCTGCCTCTAACCCTCGGTGTGATCTGGGCAAGTCACTAGCTCTTTACACCAAAGTTTCCTCATCTGTAAAAGAAGGTGGTTGGACTAAATCTCTAAAGGGTCCTTTCCATCTTTGATTCTCTGTGAACTTGGTAAGGGAGGCCCCTCCTGCAGGGCGCTCTCCTTGCCAAGGCTTCCCCAACTAGGTTGGTTCATGTGCTTGTGCTCTTGGAGTGACATATTAGAAACCGTAAAGGTGACTGATTCTTCTACTCCTGTCTATTCCTAGGCTGGCAGCAACAGGTGGCATAAGGCTAGTGAAACGTGAGTACCTGAAGGTGGACGTGGTGGAGACATGGTAAGAGCCCCTGCAATTCAAGGGACTGGGGTGAGAGGAAAGTAGATTAGAGATGAGAACTGTTACTATTTGGGGACCGAGGTGGGGGAGGAAAACTGAGGTTTATTGTTTGGGAAAATGCTAGGACAAGGAACACAGTGATTGAGGGCTGGAGGCAGGGACGTTGGCAATCATTTGGAGATTCAGCAGGTAAGGCTATTGCTCCCCCACAGTGAGAAGATCCTGCAGTATATTCTGGTGCAAGTACAGCCATCTCTGCCAGGTGTTCCCAGGCCCCGCTTCTCCCTTTATCTCTCTGCCCAGCTCCAGTTTGGTGTTATCCGTGTCTATTTCCGCCAATGCCAGTACCTTGTGGGTAAGGTGGCGAGGGGGGATGGGAAAGATGGTAAAGTCAGGGAGATGAGGAGGCAGGTTACCTCAGAGGGCTCAGGGCTGGCTGGGTGGGCTGAGAAAGCTGAAGGGCAGGAGTGCCACGGGAGGAGACAAGCAGACTTAGAAGGTGAGGCAGTTTGTTCTCTGCCTTCTCACTTTCTGTGCCCCTACCCATCCCACAGAGGATATTCAGCATATCCTAGAGCGCCTACACCGAGCCCAACAGCAGATCCGTATTGACATGGTGGAACCAGATGTGTGAGTACTTAACTTCAAATTAGGTAGTACCATTCCAAGGCCAGGGATGTGGAACTTTTCCCAACTCAACTTTGCGCCAACTCCTTCCATCTCTATCCTATCCCTGCCTCCTCCTGACCGTAGTTTTGGTCTTATCCTGGTCCATCCTTTCCCTCTTTGTCTAACTACTTCTCACACAGATCCGGTCTCCTACTGCCTGATCCCCTGACCACAATGGAGGCCTTGGAAGATGCCCCTGACCCCTTCTTTGGAGTGATGGCCATTGACCCTTACCTTCCTAGTCCCCTTGGTATCCCACAGGTATGTATGAGACTCTTAGCAATACCACAAATTAGCTTCCACAGTGTTGGTGCTATGTCAAACTAGCTGCCTGGGGTGGGAAGCCAGCTACTTACTGGTCTTTACTATTATAGCCCATGTATAGGTCTTCCCCTGTCTAGGCATGAAATAGTGCTGTGACCCTGCCTAAACCCACCTAGGCAACACCTAGCTAGTAGTATTCTGTGTGGAACAGAAACTCATCTTATGAATAGTTACCTGGTAACATATGTAGGGTTGGGATTGGGAGAAAAGGTGCATACATTAAGGGGGCTTTAGTATTTTCTGTTAAATACCATATGGTGAACAGGGCAGGAAGCCCATGACTAAACCATATGCTTGGGGCTTTGCCTAAAGGTTCGACACCTCTTGGAAGCCCCAACCCCTGAGAGGATTCCGAAAGAGCCCCCTCCTGAGGTCTACCCTGAACCCAGGAAAGGTGAGCAGTTTCCTGGTTCCTATGGGGCCAATTAGGTGACCAGAGAATCATCTTTCTGGGAAGGGACATAGGAAGGCACATTGGGGCTGTGGGACTATACTTAGAACCACAAAGTCAACAGGGGTGGTACTGACATCATCTCCTTCTCTCAGAAATATCCCCCATCACTGTCCTGCCTCCTGAAACCATCACCCTTAGGGAGGCAGAGCCAATCCATGTGCTGCACATTGAGGTGAGCAGGATTCTAGAATTGGAGGCCTAGAAATAGAGGGCAATCATCTCCCTTCCCTGAACTTGAGAGAATAGACAGGCTTCTGAATTACCCTGCCACTCTTCCTCACCCATCTAATTTTCCCAACATGTCCTCCCACCCATGAATGGGCTATTTCTAGTTTTAGCTTGGGCCTAATCCCAATTGATGTCTACTTGACTCTCCTTTCCTTGCAAATGTGCTTATTTTGCCCAGGGAAGAAATGCATTCATTCCCAAGTACTGTCTCCACAGGGTGAGCGGGACCTACCAGAAATCTCCAATCATGACCTGGACCTGCTGATGGCTGCGGAGGATGAAGCTATTTTGTTTGAGGAAAAGGCCAAAATCTCTGTCTTGGTTCCAGCTGTAGAAATTTCCCGTGTCCCTGAGCTAGAAATAACTCCTAGGCTATCTCCACCACCTCTGGCACGGTAAGCGGGCCAAAGCAGGGTTTCATGTCAGGAGCTGAGTGAATTTGGGGGTGGGTGGCAGTTCAAAGCTAGGAGGTCCAATTCTTAACTTTGCCTCCAGGATTCTGGAGGTGGCAGAGCCCCTCCCAGAGAAGGAACTAGTCCCTGAAGAGCTTGGGTTACTGGTCCCAGAGGCTGCTCCTCCACCCCCAGGTGAGTGGCCCTCCCTGTCTTTTCACTGCCTCTCAGTTCCCAAAAGCCTAATATTTTACTGCTTTAGCTCTCTGGGGAAGTCCTCCTTCCCAGATGCTTAAAGTACTTAATAGTTCCAGCTCTCTCTATCCCTACCTACACTTAAGGAAGTTGGGATGTTCCAAGGGTGGGCAAAGTTTGGAGCAGAACCAGAACTCCTAGGGTGCTCTTGGCAGGTGAGATCCCAACTACAGAGCTACTTCTGCCCCGGATGCCCAGCCCTTTGGAGCCTTCAGTTCAGGTCCCCAGCAGCCCTGAAGTAAGTACTGCACCCCACCCCCCTATCCCTAAGCCCTTGGGCATTTCCCTTTCCTTTCCCACTGGTTCAGCCTTCTATCACCTTTTGGGAGCTTCTATTAAGAGTCTTGGGGGAATCTGAGTCAGGCTAGTAGGTAAACTACAACGGTAACAGATGCCTTGTTCCCTGAAACAGCTGATTCTCCCAGAGCTGTTCCCACCACCTCAGCCTCCACCCTCCCGTCGCCCACTCCGGTTTCAGTTGTATGATGAAGAGACCCAGATTACTCGAGAGGAATTCCAAAAGCAAGTTGTACAAACCCGTGCCCACACCTGGGACTGTGTGAGTATGGGGCAAGACTACTGTTGGGTAATGACAGAAGGCAGTCATGGGATTGCAAGGCTTTAAGGTGACAAAAGAAGGGGATAAAACTTGAGGATCCAAGAGAGAAGGCAATACAAAGCTACTTCTAGCCCCTGCCCAAATGATACAGCGGAGGTAATAACATAAGCCCACCATCTGAAGACAGGAGGGGCAGAGGGAAGATTTGGAGCTAAGGGATGGGGGCTGAGATGCCAATCTCTGCCACTTACAACCTATGTGACGCTGGAAAGGTGACCGATTCCTCATGGAGGAGACTGGCCCAGATGATGGAGGCCCTTTCAACTTTAAATCTGTGACCTTCCTTTCTCTTCCATGTAGCCAATGGTCCAGCCTTCCAGGCAGATGAGCCCTACAGAGCTCCTGAGAACACCAGTTTATGGTAACAGTGGTGGAATAGGGTTGGGGGATGCTAGGAAGTAGAGAATGAAGTAGAGCTCTAATTCCATCTTACACATATGTGCAACAACCTAGACCTTAATCCTTCAGCTCCCAGGCCACAAATTCTTGTCTAACCTCCCTCCTTTGTTCCCAGCTGGATGGCTACACCCAGAGCTACTAGGTCTCTGGACTCACTGTGCCCGGGTCCCCCCAAAGGAGCTCCGATATCCTGAGTCTATAATTGAGCAGTTGGAGGAAAGGAGAAAGGCTGAGATTATCAGTGAAATAGAGGTGCCTGGTCAACTCCATTCATCACAAAATGATCCCTTCAAATCCTTAGGCCAAATCTTTGGGGTTTAGATTATGGGAAAGGCCCAATGCACTACACCAAGTACAGACCCTCCTGGAAATGTTCATTATATTGCCCCTGTCTCTCACTCTTAGACTCTTCGAGAAGCCCAAGAGCCCAGTGGTCCCCTACTACCGTCTTCAGGTAAAGGTTGGGAGAATGAGAGTGAGTGGAAATGACTTGAAGGAATAGACCCTCTCAGACCATTTCCCCCACAACAGAACTGTCCTTGGAGACTACAGAGGAAGAGAGGTCCCGCCTCAGTTTGATTCCCCCTGAGGAGAGGTGGTAAGGGGCAAGGATAGTAAGGGAAGAAAGCTTGGTGGGAGGGGAGGGAAGAGAACCTTGCTCTCCTGTTGCCAGTATGATTGCCACCTCCCAGGTGACACCTGTGTCCTCCAAGGGGCTTAGGTGAGGTGGAGGTGGAGGTGCCTGTGCTGCCTGTGGTTCCTGAGCTACCAGAACTGCCTGAACTCCCCTTGCAGTTGACCCCAGATCTGCTACAACTCTCCCCAGAGGCTATGCAAAGGTACTGATGGAACAGGGAGAAGAGAGGAGGAAGATATGAGCAGACCCAAAGAGCTCCATGGTATTAAACTCAATGTTTCTTGACCCCCGGCAGGGCCATCATATTAGAGTTACAGGCTTCAGGAGAAATCGATTTCAACAACCTGATTCCTCCCTCTGCCCCCCGCCTGGTGGTTGCTCGTGTCTTCTACTTGCTCCTGGGTGAGCTAAGGGTGTGTGGAGGGAGTGGCAAGGCAGAGGGAGCAGAGTAGCTGGGCCCAGGAGCTTCCCTATTACAATCTCCCCACTCTCCATCTTTTTCAGTGCTATCAATGCAGCAGGTTCTGCATGTGGAACAAGAAGAGCCCTACGGCAGCCTCCTCATCCGGCCAGGGCCTCGGTCCCACCACCATTAGAGAGGTCCATCTCCTTGGATGTAGCAGGAGATTGAACATATTCAACTGCTGTATTGATAAACCCCTCTCATGTGCCTCCTAAGTTTCTCTGTTCCCCACCCTGGAGTTACAGCTCATCCAAAATAAACAGACTTTATTCAAATCAGAAGTCAAACCCTTGTCCATAAAGTCCAATTCAGTAACAGAACCAGCCCCAGGGATGGCTCCCATAAGGCCATAAATTGTCCTGGGGATGGGGATCTTTGGCAGGCACCCAGATGGGGCCAAGGCAGTAAGCAGTCCTGGGAAGGGAAGGTTTCCCTTTCTGATCCCAGCCCCAAGAGGTCACTTTTTAGGCCCTAGGTGGGACTGAGCACAGCCTGAAGTTCCTGGGCCTTGTCAGGGGGCAGGGAGCCCAGTACTGCCTGGAATCTGTCTGTGTGCTGCTGGGCCAAATGAGTCAGGAGCAGCAGCAATGCAGCCTTGGTGTCTGGGGGTAGATAAGCAGAGTGCAGGGTCACCAAGAAGAGCAGTGGCATGATTCATCATAATCATTTTCCCAGCTATTCAAGCCCTGGTCCCCCCTCCTTCGAGTATACTTGCTATTCTGCTCACCGTGTGGGATCTTGCTAGCACTTAGGGTAAGACTGCATATTTTAAGGATCTCAGGAGCCACATCAATCAGCTGCAGGGAACATGGGGGTGGAGTTAAGTTACACTAACCCCAGGAACTCCCGCCCCTCTCTCCCAAGTACACAAAGAGCCCCAGAACTGAGGTGAGGGAGGTAGGACTAAGGTTCCTAGGCCATGTACCTGCTCAGGGAAGCTCTGATACAGGAAGTTGAAAAATCTCCCCATAGTGACCCATTCTTCCAGGTCCTCTTTCAGTGGTAATGCCTGGAACAGCATGGTCAGCACCTAAACATGCCAGAGTCAGCTGAGTGAAGAACCCTTCTTCTCTGCTTGAGGGACAGCACCCCCCCCCGACCTGGATCCCCTTTCCCTTCTACCTTGTACACTCAGCACTCCCTCCCTTCTCCTCCTACCTGTTTCTGGGGCCTTCCTGTGTGGTTGGCCATCAGCAAGCGTGCAAGGGCCCCACAAATGTTGTCACGGACACGGTCGTGCTGTTCCCGGGCAATGAGAGATGACAGGAACCCCAGAATCTTATGGAAATGCCTAGGCTGTAGTCAAGGAACTGGGCCCACAAGCAGGTCTCTCTCCACAGACTCTGGCCCAGTACTCCAAACCCCTGCCCACAATGGTGGGATGTAGTACAAAGATCACTGGACTGGGAATGAGGTTTGGGCTCCAGTCCCACCCTGCCACTAGACCTCGAGCAAATGACTTCACTTTTCTGACAATGAGGGGGTGGACTTGGTTCCAGAGGACTGATGATAAAATAGACCTTCCTCCTCAGGAGAGAGCTGGAGGCTATGGGTAAGGAATGCTGGCCACTTTCACTGGCTTTTCTTTGACTGTATGAGACGTATATCAGAAAAAAACCATTAGCAAAATTCAAGGACAGGGGTAGGGAACCTGGGGCCTCCAGGCCTTAATAAAAGCATTTGTTCTGTGAAGTTTGGATTCAAAGGGCCACACTTGAAGACCTAGAGGGCCACATGTGGCCTCAAGGCCGCAGGATCCCCACCCCTGGTCAAGGGGATGGACAAGAAGCTCTTCTGTCAGGCCCCTCCCACAGTCCCACCAGCTGCCCCAGTGATAAGGATACTCGAGGGCAGGGCAGGCCCCATGCTCCATCAGCACACCCAGACCAAAGACAGCATTGCTCCGCACCTCGGCATCTGAGTCTCGGGCAGCACTCAGCAGCACCGGCAGCAGCCGTGATACAAACTGGGCTGAGGAGGCCCCCAGGCCCTGCACAGCCTCTGCCAGAGTTCCTACTGCAAATGACTTCTCTGCCACTGAGCAGCCTGGCTTCTGTCAAGGGGAGAAGGGGGCCAGTTAGGACAGGGGAAGCAAGGGGGTACACAAGTGGGGCTGGAGCTGGGAACTGGGACCAGGGCATGGGGGGAGGGCAAGAATGGGGAAGTCAGACTGCAGGGGTCAGAAGTCAAAGGAGGGGAATCACTCACTGCCTTTTGAAGCAGCAGAGGTAAGAAACCAGCAAAGAAGGGGGCGAAGGTCTCTCCTCCTGAGGCACTTGCCAACGCTGGAATAACTTCCCCTGCATGTTCCAGCAGCATGGCATCATATTCTGCCTGTGGGGCTAAGGGGGTCAGGGAGCATCCGAACACCAGGATCCCATCCCAGCCAACCCCCCCAGTTCCGGAGAGGAATCGATACAACGGATCTCATCACACCACCTCTTAAAGCCTACTCTCCAACCTTCTTGGTTGGAGAATCTTCTCTCCTGCCATATTACTCATCAAACATTCTTCCCCATTCCTTCAACCACTCCCACTCCATCAGAACCACACTTTGGATACACTAGATTCATTTCTGGGACTGAGGGGGTCAATCATTTTAGTACAGCCCTGTCAAACATTCTGGATTCACCTAGCCAACCCCCTACCCTGACCCCCTCCAACCTACTGCCATGTTTATCTAAATCTTCATCATCCCATTCAGCTAACATTGTCCTCCCCGCCTCCACTCCACCCCTGAATCTTTCTTCAACCATTCAAGCCCCTCAAAGATCTCTCTCCTTTCTTCCCTATTACTCTTAACACCACACGATTTTACAATTAATTTTCTACTGTATTTTGGTTTGATCTATAGCTAGTTGCTAAACTGTGGACATACGTTCCATATATGTCACATCTTTTTATCTCTTCTGAGGCATTAGCTTAGTGCCAGGCACATAACAGGTACTCGGTTAATACTGATTAACCAATAGTGGGCTCCAGACCATGTCCCCACTTCCACATACACACAGTTTTCTTAGCCCCTGCCTCTTACCTGCTCCATCTCATCTTCCTCTTCCTCTTCCGGGTCCTGACAAGCTATCTAGAAAATGAGGTAAGTATGGATCAGTAAGGGCAGGGGTGGCTGTTAGTTACAGTGGAGCCAGGGCCAGGCTCAGACCCTCCAGTCTGGCTCACTCCAGCATCCCCGTGATGCTGGCCTGTGTTTGTCTCCTTCTAGGGCTCTCACCTTCTTCTGCAGAACAGCCTTGATGACATTGCAGAGGTCGGCCAATCGACTGGGAGGCTGGAGCACGAAAGACCCACAGTTCCGTAGCACACCATTCAGGGCCTCCAACACAGACATGACCACCAGTCGCTCACGCTCCATATTCACCACCTGCAGGAAGGATGGGATCACCCGGCCGAGGGCTATCTGTAGTGCTGGAAAAACAGTGTTGCCCTGATACACCAGCAATGCCAATGACAGCTCCCTAGCTCGTGTCCTGTTCAGGACCTTGTCACCCACCCTACCCTTGATACCAAATCACGTGCAGACCTGGGCCTCCCTTCTCACCAAAACTGTTTTGCTCTGAGGGGATAGTCTGGGAAACCTTGTGCAGAGAACAGCAAAACTGGCCCAAGGTTTCATAAGCTGACTTCCGGACATTTATATGGGGACACTGGTGGGGAGGAAGCAGACAGACATAGCAGAAGTTACAACTTGCCTGCCCTATTCGAAGGCTGACCGTCCTTCCCTCTCTGCCCTTCCCAAGTCCCCTGGACAAAACCCTCACCTCCAACAGTTTGAACACTTCCTCAAAGGCACTTTCCATGTACGGAAGGAAGGCCACGCTAAGGAACAGAAATACCAACATGAGGGAAGGGCTCTATCCACAAAGGAAGGCAGTGAGATCAGGGGAGGATGGATGCAGGGCTTACCTGGCATTTACAGAGATTTCTCCCAGAGCAGTGCAGGCATCTTCCTTCTCATCAAAGAATGCGTTCTCTACATTATACCTTATAGAGTAAGGAGAAATTTATTTAAATTGAATAAACATGTATTTTTTTTATTAATTTATTTTGAATTATCAATAATCACTTCCATAAGCTTTTGAGTTTTAAATTTTTCTTCCCCTCCCTCCCTCCCTGAGACAGCAGGCAATCTGATATAGGCTATACATATACATTTCTATTAAACATATTTTCACATAAGTGATGTTGTAAGAATTAGAACAAATAGGGGGAACCACCAGAAAGAGGAAGCAAAACACAACAGAAGAAAAAAAAATAGCAAATAGTATGCTTTGATTTGCATTCAAACTCCATAGTTCTTTCTTTGGATGTGGATAGCATTTTCCATCATGAGGCCTTTGGAGATGTCTTAGATCCTTGTATTGCTGAGAAGGGTTAAGTCTATCATTATTAGTTATCAAACAACATGGCTGTTAACTGTGTACAATGTTCTCCCGGTTCTGCTCACTTCACTCAGCATCAGACCATGCAAGTCTTTCTAGGTTGAATAAATATGCATTAAGTGGCACAACAGAAAATATGGAGTGAAGAGAAGCCTTGGACATGGGACTGAATGAGTCTGCCCAGCCCTGGTCCTGGTCAGGACATGGGTTTGGATGCCCCTCTCCTCAACAGGAACCTCTCATCCCCATCTACCTATCACCCAAGGGTTTACTGTTACTTCATCCTATGTCCCTACAACAAGGCTGCAGCCTTTATTTTTCAAGGCAGTTGAGGTCTCCCTCCATGAATCCCAATTAGTCTTTCCCAACACCTACTACTCACCTTGAACACTCCCAACCAACCCAGGAAGATAGTGTTCTTGTTTAGAGGCCTCCTTGCTCTATACTTTTTTGCCCTACTTACAGGCTATACTGACTCTGACCAGTTGCCATAAAGCCATAGCCCTCCATTTACCACCAACACCCAATGGGTAGGGTCCTCTATTAACACCAGGTTCCTGACTCCTTGTTTCTCTATCATGGTTCTGGGAGAGTGAGGCTATCTAAAACCCATTACAGATTACAATGCAGGAGTTACAGGGTTTAGAAGACTCCTTGATCCAGGATTGGGTGGAAGCTACCATCTGCTTTGCCCAGAATCATCACCACAACACTGAAAAGTCCTTTCTAACACTGAGTGTTTAGGTAGACTGCCCAGTTCCCTCATACCTACTCTAGTAAAAAACCTGATATCCACACCAGATTGAATAATGATAAAGAAATCCAATGAGAAATCACAGTAAATGACTTCTGTCCCAGAACTACACAAAAAGTCAGCCAGAAGCCCATGGGCAACAGGAATTGGGGCTACTTGTAAACCTAGTGTCAGTGCAGGCAAACATGTTGGTCACTTCCTAGCTGGACCAGAAACGGGCCAGAGAAACATAAGCCTGCAAGGATCTGTGTCTGGAGGTATAAAAACAGAGGAGAAAGCCATAGGGAAAACAGACCTTGGAAACTGTGGGGTAACTTAGCCTTTGTACAAAGCCCAAATACAAACTAAAGCTGGAGAGGTAAATAAACCACTCACCAACCAGAACCCAAAAGTTACCCAGAGATGGTCCCAAATCCAGCCTAGCAGGAGAAATAACTGTAATAGAAGTCTGTATGAGATTCAAAGGAAAAAATGGATTTGGCCACAAGGACTACATAAATGCCTAGAATATATGAAGCAACAGATAAGCTCTAAAGGATAGATGTATAAGGAGAATATAGTTTAGGAGAGTGGTAAACTTTACCCAAGAAATGGACTCCCTGACAACTAGACTTGACCAAACATAAATCAATGACTTCGAGACAATAAGAAACATCAGAGCAAAATCAAAAGATTGAAAAAAAAAAATACCCAACAACAAACCAGAACATTAAGATATCAAATATTAAAAACAAGTGACCTGGAAAACAGGTCAAGGAGATATAATTTAAGAATCACTGGGCTCCCTGAAAACTGTGATTTAAAAATAAAAAGTTTGAATACTTTATTTCAAGAAATTACCAACAAAAACTGCCCAGATCAATCAAAACCAGAGGGCAATGTGAAGATAAGACAAATCCACTGATTATTTCTGAAAGAAATCTGAAAAGTAAAAGTCCCAGGAAAGTCAGAGCCAAATTCCAGAGCTTCTACACCGAAGGAATTAGATTGCAACCACAATCAGGATCATATAATACCTGGTAGCTTTTACTATAAACAAAAGGATAGCTTGGAATATAATATTCCAAAAGGCAAAACTTAACAACGAACAACAACTTATCTTGCAAAGTTGAGTGTTATCCTACAGTAGAGAAAATGGATCTTTAAAAGAACAGAGAACTTTCAAACATTTCTGAGAAAAATGCTAGATGAATAGGAACTCTGAAATACAAATACAAGAGTCAAAAGAAACTTAGGTAAATTTATGTAAGTAACTTAAAGGTGTGATATGATGATACAGTGCTAACATTCTAGCAGGCAAAAGATAAACAAGTGTCTTCAAGTCTTAAAAGACTCCTGAGGGAGTTACATGAGAAAAAGAGGACCTGTGGTGGATTGGTTGAATTGGTTTTGTTCTGATGGTTTTATGACTGTGGAGAAAAAGAGGGTAAAAGGAATATAAATAATGTAGAAAGGAGGAAAAAGGGGGTAGAAATGGCTATTTCGCCTAATTGGGGTTATTAAGAAGATTATAAAAATATGGAGAAAGAGGTAGGGGAATACTAGCATCAGATGAACCTTACTCATCCAAAATGAACAAAGGGTTAAACCTATACATACACACAGTTTGGTATAGAAATATACCAAACTCAACAGAAAAACAAATGGGGATAAGATGAGGGAGTTTAAAAGGGAGAGGATAATCAGGAGAAAAACAAACTTCCTGATCCTAATGGGAAGACAAAAAAGGGGGAAAAAACTAGAATCTAAGGGGGTAGTCTTAATTTGCCTCTTAAGCCTTAGCTGGGGAATGGATGTCTATGAATGTAATTGAATATTACTGCATGATAAAGTGAGCACAACCAAGGGAATGACTTACACAAAGACAGCAACACTGTAAAGAAAAACAAGTGAAAGATTCAAGAACTCTCAATCAATATAGTGATCAACCCTGTTTCCAGAAGACCTATGATAAAGTATGGTACTCACCTCCTGAGAGTAGTGATGGACTCAAGGGGCAGAAAGAGGCCCGTGTTTCTGGATGTGGCCACTGTATATAGTCATTTTGTTTGGCTATGTTTACTTGTTATAATGTGTTGGGCTTTTTATTGTCTTTAATGGGGAAGGGGAAAAGTTGGGGGAAGGGAAGGAATTAACAACGATGCCAAAAAGAAGAGCCATCAAAATATTTTTTTTAAAATGTAGATAACCATGCAAGAAGGTTCAGAAGGAAGCACAGAAAAACAGGAGTTTTAAAAGTAATGTGGAATTTATTACATATTTTTTAAAAGAGCAAGTGGCATTAAATGGAGACTCATAGTTTCATATGCAATCCTCTTTTTGTGTTCTGCTATGTATATAGAAATGATCATATTTTTGGTGTTTAAAAACATTTAGTTAAAAAAAATTTTAAGAGCTGAAAAGGCCTACTATCTAGATAACAAAACACTTCCTTCAAAGCAGAGGCAAGCACAATATTAGAACAAAACAGCATATACATTGTCAAGACAAAGTTTCTGTATCTGATGTTTTTGCTTTTTTTTTTTTTTTTTTGTCACAAGGAAGGGTTTAACCTGGGTGTGGAAAATGACTATGATATAAAGCCAAAAGACGTCAATAACATGTATTTCAAACACCACTACTACCACCAACACCAGTAACAAAAGTATGGTGGAAACCAGATTTGAAAGTCTTAGCTTATCACCATATGTGTAGGTAGTGACCTACTCTGTCCTGTTTCACTGAAACCATACGAGAAAAGCAACAACACTTCAGTTCTCCATGATCACTGAGTGGCCAACACCAAGACTGAGGCTTTAGGACCCAATACCCAACCAGAAGCCAAATCCATACTCCACAAACAGAATATTTCCAACTGTGCATCATCTCCCTCTACCCTGATATCAGGCAAAGAAATTAGTACTGTATATAAGTTCAGTCAGGCCCCTGGGAACACAATCACCCAACTGATTCACCCGATCACCTAGCTTCCCTGGTGTTTGAGAGAAAATAAACTCCCACTGGCCTCCATCATCACAAGACCCTTGGGAGTGGAAACCCCAGTTACAGGACTCTCCCCAGCCTCTAAACAACCCTTCCATAACAAATGAGCAGTCAAGTAAAATATATCTGTGAATTTTTTATTCTTTTTTACGAGCGATGGCTCGCTGGTAGGGATATATTCAGAAATGAATGTGTAAAAACAAAATATCACCCCATTTGCCATGCCTGAAAATATCCTAAATCTCAGGACCATGAGACCTTTCCATCTGACTTACAGGTGAAATTTCCCATGTGTTGTCTCCACCCCTGGAATGTGAGCAAAAGTAAAAGAAAGCACTGTCTCTACTTGCACTTAACATAGGACTTTACATGTAGTAAGCACATAATAAATGCCCATCCATCCAATCATCTTGTACTTACAGCCCCATTCATGCAGATGACTCCCCAGTTTACTTCTTCAGCCCCTCTCCTGAGCTCCGGCCTCACATCACCAACTGCCTATGAATATCTGCACCTGAAGGTTCCACTGGCACTTCAAAACACCACATATTCAAAACAGAACTTGCTTTCCCCCAAATCTTCTTATTCCTACTGAGGTCACCAATACCTTTCTAGTCTATGCAGGTTCACAACTTTGATGTCATCCTTGACTATTCCCTCTCCTTCTCATAACCAATTAGACACTAAATCTGTCAATTCCACTTCTACTCTATTTCTCCAATCTACCCCATTCTCTCCATTCCGATTCATAGTCACCATCCTAGTCTCCCTGGGACGACTGCAACAGCTTTCCAATTGGTTTCCCTGCTTCCAGACTTACCCTCTAACCCATCTTCCTACACTGTTGCTAAAATAATCTTCTACAGAAGAAACCTGACCATGTCATTCCCCAGTTCAGAAATTCAGTGGTAGTATCTCCAGGGTAAAAATGCAAACTCCTCAGCTTAGTATTTTTAATCCTTCACAATCTAGTTCCAACACCAGTATTCCTTTGCTAGGCTCAGGTCAAGTCTCCCCTTCACGCACTCCATGATCACATCAAACTTACGAACTCACTGTTCCTCAAAGTTAACATTCCCTCTCTTCTAATTCAGTATCTTGGTGTCAGGCATGCTTCCCACCTGTAAGAATCCTAAGCTTCCTTCCTCACTCAGATTAAGGACACCATGCTATGGGAAGCCTTTCTTGGTCTCAATAGAGGTTAATGCTTTCAACTTCCTCAAATTTCCTTATCCATTTCTCTCAATAGAATATAAGCTCCTTGAGGGCAGGGACAATTTTCTCCTTTCACATCTCCAGTGCCTAACGTAGCAATTGGCCGATAGTAAACCAATAAGCAATAAATGTTGACTGAACTGTTAAACAGCCTGTTTCTAAGAAACTTAAATTTCTACCAGAAGTGATACAGTATGTACAAAGGTAAATATAACACAAGGCAATCTTAGGAGGCAAAGAACATTAACATCTGGGGAAAATCAACAACAGCTTCAGAGAGGAAAGAGGTGGCATAAACGGAACATAAAAGATAAAAGATGAACAACTATGGAGGCCACCACAGTGACCAGTTAATGAGGGAGCTCAATGACTCCCTCTTCAGGCCCAGAACATGGCTGACCCTCCCTGATCCACCAGCCATCCCCGCCTCACCACCCTTGGATTCACACCCTGAGATATCAGAGTCCTCCTCCTCTTCCTCAGTATCTTCATCCATCAGCTCCTCCTCATCTTCCTCTTCTCCCTCACTCTCATCAAAAAGTAGGAAGGAAGAGCTTGTGTCATAGAGGGGCTGCAAGAGAGGTTGTCAGGGTTAGCAGGATCCTGCTCCACCTTCCCACCAGTCCCACCCTTGAGACATGGCCCATCACCTCCCTTTCTCCATTGTCCCCAGCCCCATCCTTACCACGATGCCCTCAGTTGAGCGCAGTGATGACATCATAAGTATGGTGATTTTCGGTAGATGGGGGGCCAACCCCTCACCCATCAGTCCTGACAGTGCTGCAAACAGACTATACCTTTTAGGGGAAGCAGACCAAACAGAGAGGTAAAGCACAGCCCTACTAGAAAAGGGACATGCAGAACAAGAAATTAGACCAAGGGTAGGGGAGAAAGTTGAGATAACAAGGAACAATGACAAAGACTCAGAATTAAAGGATATGGCTAAGAGATCCTGAATGAGTCAGGCACAGGAATTGGGCATGTGAGATAGTTGGGTTCCCCTGGGTCCCACTCTATTTCAGAACACTCACGTGCATCGACGCAGATCAGGATCATCTACTTGGTCACAGAGGCTAAGTCCCAGGTGGCAACACTCCTCAGCCAGGGGTTTCACGGGCTCCCCCAATGCTCGAGCCAAAACTCCCAGAGTTTCTGAGAAAGGTCAAGAAGGATAGGGAGAAAATATGGCACTCAAAGATAGATGGGCTAAAGTAGTTCTGGGGAAGAAGTACACTTGGGAATATGGGCTGGATGAGGGGAGAGAGATGAGATCAGTCAGGAACTGTGAAGTCATGAGGAAGCGAAACAAAATCGGAGGGGCAAAATTAAGACCAACAAGAACTTGGCAGGGCCAAGACAAAAGCTCCCAGCATAGCCTCCAGGCAACTCCTGTCTAATTAGCAGAAATCTGTTAGATGAAATTGGGAATAGTAAAGTGGGGAGAAAGTTGGGAAGGGATGCTCTGAAGAACCTGATAGGGTAAGAGGAAGGAGTGCTCACCAAGACTCTGGATTTGCACAGGTCGAAGGTCCTCACGCCCAGTCACCAGGTATTCCCGGAGATGCTCCATGATGGTGGGGAAGTAAGGTATCAGGGAGCTTTGGGCTGCACTGGCTGTAGGAATGGTAAAGTTAGTAGAACTAGAAGATGGGAAAGACCCCCACAAATACATTCTTTGGGGAGACCTGCATAATACTTTTTCCAAGCAAAGTATAGCCCTCCACCCCAACCTGGGCAGCCATATTGCCCCACCTCACCGATGGCCCCCATCATGCTCACAGCCAACTCCTTGGCTCGGGGGCTGGTAGGTTCTCTAAGGGGCTGTAGCATCCGCTCCATTAACTCTTGGAGGTATGGCTCCACCTCTTGTCCTACAGGGATAAAAGAATTATAGAGCTAGAAGGGAGACCATGTAGTCCAATCCTCATTTTATATATGAGGAAACTGAGGCCTAAGGTCACACAGATAGTAAGCATCAGAAGCAAGATAAAAAGTCCAGTCCTTTGCCTACACATGTCAAATTACACCAACTGACTGTACCATGCTGAACGGTCAGTCCAAGGCCCTTCAATTCAGCACTCTCTTCTAGACCCAGCCTTAAACCCATTTCCTATCAAGTGAGGAATAACCAAATGAACCCTAATAATTTGTCCCAGCATGAGGCAGTATCTAAGAGAACAAGATGCTCTGCTATTGCTGCTGCAAATACATCCCTCCCATGCCATCCAACTTAAATTATTGGGTACACAACTCCATAGTCATTGCCAAGTCATTCTTACCGCCACCCCCCCCCCCCCCCCCCACCCTGGAGTTTCCTCCCTCATACCCAAGTTCTCCACAAAATTCTCCAGGGCATAACAGGCCTTGGAGAGGTGTCGTGTGTTTCCAGGCGGCACAGACTGGAGGTATGCCAGAAGCAGGGGCATCACTTCACCAGAGTAGCTGCTGATATTAGGCTACAGGGAGGGACAGGAAGAGATCAGGCCAGGTGATGATGAAGTTTGAATGAAGAGGTAAATACAATGTTGGGCGGGGAATAGAGGCCTGGAGTGGGAGTGGAGGACCCAAGGTCCCTGAGAAAAAAAAAGGAAGGACATGGCAGAGTAAGAGCCAAATAGATCTTATGTGGGCAGAACTTGGGGGAAGAAGGTACCGGCTTCTATCTTACTAACCTGTAGGTTCTCTGAGAACTGGCCCATGGCAAACAGTGCAGCATTACGCACCACCTGGGAAGGATCAGCCAAGCCCTTGCACACAATCTGAAGCAGTGGGGTCAGCAGTCTGGAAAGGGACAAGAAGGGAGGGTCTAAGATAGAGGGAACTCAGCAGGGGATCCTACAATACCAAAGTGGGGGGAAAGGAAGTAGTCTCTAGGAAAATGCTACTCTCTTCCCTCCTACTGGGAGCCTCGTGTCTCTCCTTTCCTTTGTCCAAAAACCTTCAGACTCTCATGCCCCATGGTCTCCCTGAGGCCCCTCTTCAGAAACAGGTCCTATTCTTCCTCCTTCCAGGGCATACCTCTGTCTGATATAGTCACCAGCACCATCAGACAACACAGCCAGCACCAAAAGTCCTGCCTTTCGTTGATACAGGTTTTCTCCATGAAGGGCCTCATCCAGCAATGGCATCTATCAAAGGAGACAAATGGAAGCCAACACTTCTATTACCACTCTTTCACTCTGCTTCCCAGCCTTCCAACCACAGTCAGGAGCAACAGATCCTCCCTCTAAAGAGGGGAGTAGACATAGGTTTTGATTCCCAGCTCTGCAACTTAGTCCCTCTGTGACAGTGAGCAAGTCACTTAACTTTTCTGGGCCCCAGTTTCCTCATCTGTAAAATGAAGACTGAACTAGATGGCCTCTAATGTTTCCTCCAACTCCAAATTTGTGATCTTATGATTGTGTGCCTGGTGCTGCCATAGAAATATCAGGGTCCAACTCACTACCAAAAAACAGATTAGGCCAAGATGAAGGAAGAAGAGAGGTCAAGCATCCGAACACTCACCAACTGTGTAAACAGCTTCTCTGGGGCCAGATGGAGGGCCAGTACGTCTATCACCTGAAAAAAAGCAGCTTTCATCTTCAACACTGTTGTCTTCCCCACTGTGCTCACACTCCCAACTTCTAGATCCAATTTTCTACCTCTCTAGACCCTAGACTGAGGCTCTCCTCCTTCACATAAACCATGCCTGTGACCATTTTCCCCTCACTTACCCTACATCTTCTATCTAATTTCCTTGTGGCCCACTAAGTCCCCCCTGCTGTTCCCCTTCCCACCTGCACAGCAAACTGCTTGGGTGTTTCCACCTCCAGCCCTCCTTCCAGCTCTTCCTCTTCAGTATCTTGGTCTTCAGGATCCAGTTGTCCTGGAGGGGGCTCGGCAGTCATGATGGGGAAGAGGGTGAGCAATACCGTGCTTAGGAGTCGGTGCTTCAGTAGAGCCTATGGGCATTTGGGGTGGCGGAACAAATATCAGTGTATCATGTAGCTGTCTTTTCCTTCTAGCTCTATAAACTAAAGTTTGCAAGTCTAAAAGAAAGCTAGGGAACTTCATGATCTGGGGAAAACTACCCTGACTTGTAGGAGTAAGAGCACCTAAATAGCCTGGGATAAATATGACTGGGACTTACTTCTCCACCAGGCTACTTACTATGTACACAATGACTCACATTTAAGACCCTAGAGAGAGGCAAGAAAGCCCAAAGGAATGGTAGGGATGATCCAGAGTGGCTGGGGCAGCATAGGTTGACAGGCAGAGCAGCAAAGCTTACTCACCTTGCTCTTAAGTTTGACAAGGAAAGAGACACAGCAGAGAACCCGTACTCGTACTGCATCCCCCAATGTGACGGTTCTAGCCACCTACGCCAAAAACAAACGTGATTCAGAGATGGAGAAATGTCCTGCCAGGGGAGCCAAGAAGGAGGCTCTGTCAATCTTTCTTACCTCCAGACAGAAGGTGAGAACCTCAGAGAGGTATGGGGTGGTGATTGGTAACTCAGATTCTAGCAACTCGTCTAGAGCTTCCAGGGCCTCACAGGCCTTTGTCTAACATAAAAAGACAGACAATCTTTGTGTAGATGATTCAGGGGCCTGACCGGTATGTTCCTCTCCCCTCCCCAGCAGGGCTGTTGCCCGTCATTCTCACCTCATCTACTTGGATTAATGTCTGCAAAGCCAAAATGACCTTGGGCACCAGAGTCCTGGCATGAGGCTGTAAGAGTAGAGAATAGGGAAGAAAGGTGGGAACTAAGTCCTGCAGTGCAGAAACATGGTAGCTAACATCCTTGAGTTCCTCTGAGATAGAGCTTCCCCTAGTGTGCTTGTTGTCTCCCCCATTAGACTGTGAGCTCCTTGAGGGCAGGGACTGTCTTTTGCTTCTTTTTGTATCCCCAACACATGGCACAGTGCCTGGTACACAGAAGACTTATGTTTATTGATTGACATGTCTAGAGATAGAGAAATAGAGCATAGAGACAGAATAAAGAGGGCTTGGAATTTGGGAAGTTTCTTCATCCCTCCTTTTAAATATTCAAAGTCCTGCAAGAGGACTAGAGATGAAAGAAGATGATCTCACTTTCTTAATTTCACCAAAAGACAGTGGATTCTAGAATACCTCACGGGTAAGATGTATTTACATCTTTACGAGTAAAGGGCAAAGAGAAGTTTCTTACCAAGGCATTGGGGCCCAGGTAGGGTATCATGGTAGTCAAAGTACGCAGGGAGTAGTAGAGCAGACCAGGGGAGGCTGATTCCCCCAGAGTCTCATTCAGTAGACAAAGAAGATCTCTATGGTGTGGTCGGAATGCTTCAGGCCTTGAAGTCACCACTACACTCAGGAGGAGTAGTCCCATCTGCCCAGGGGGAAGGAAGGTAGAAGAAAAATTACCCTATACCCTTAGCCCTTTCCTGTCCCAAGCCTTGACTGGGTCCTAATCCTCTGACATCCTTAGCCCTCCCAAGCTCCATGAACCATACATACCTCCCTTTCAGGGATGTGGGAGCTTCGAGTGCTGTGCTGGAGTAGCTGCATTAACTGAGGCCAGGCATCCAGGCCTTCGTTCCTCAGGATGGTTGCTGACAACTGGGCCAGGCTGAGGCTCACACTATGCCTACGGGTTGAAGAAGAAGCCATGTCTGTCACCCTCATCCAAAACAAAAAACAAACAAACAAAAAAAAAAAGGGGCCCAGTAGCATGGCACAGAACTAATATTCAAAAGGCCATTGGCACAGATCCACTTGTGTCAGACATTTTAGTATTTTCTAACACTGTTCCATTCTCTTTCTCTAATACAAATCTCACAAACTAGCTACTTTTTTTTTCTATTAGATGAGAAATCTACTCTTCCTTCTAGGGGATTGGGCATGTCTCTTGCCCCAAAGAATCAGGAACCTGAGATGAGAAAAGCAGCATAAGCAAATAGGAAATATCCACAGTAATCAGGCAAAGGATGCTCAAGGAACATCTGAGAAAGTAACAGATCCATACTCACTCTGTCTCGTTCTGCAGGGCTCTCAGAACCAGAGATTTCATACTAGAATACAACAGGGTACAAAGCATTTAGGATACCCTACGCCAGGCTGTCCACTTCTGCCCCCCCCACCACTCCTAGGACCCTGGCTAGAGTCCTCACCTCTCCCGATTTGCCACTGCCAACCGCCTCCATCGTGTGTTCACTCGCCTCCTGACTAACAGTGCTGAAAACTGCCTGATCTGGGATGTGGAAAGAGGGGAAAGAGTCAGAGCAAAGGAAGATGAGGGGCACGGGAGACAGGAGAAAAGAGCGAGCCCACAGATCCCATTAAGAGGGAGGGCAGGGCCAAAGATGACGTTCCTACTCTTAGAGGTTAGAATTGAGGACAGGGAATTTTCTGAGACAAACAGTATAAGACCAAAGATTAGGGATCAAAATACCAAGGCATCTTAAGACAGAGATAAGTAACCTCAGGCTCTACAAATTAAGGACTGTGGGTGGGAGAAGTCAATATCATCGGGGTAAGTGATCAGGAACCCCAAATGTCGGGGAAGGAGATATGAAGGTGTCAGGGGGCTGTACGGATTGAAAAAAAAAATCACTGAGTAAAAGGGGTAGTGAGATATCAGATGAGGAGTTAAGTGAGTGTGAAAACTAAGGAATGAGGAGCGAAGAGAATCCAAGAGATCAAAGAAAACCGAGGTGGGGATCAAGAGATCCCCGCTTTGTAGACTTATGGTAGGGGGGCGACAGCAAGTCTCGAAGGGCTGAGCTCAATGCACACTCGGAGGGAAGTCTGGGTCAGAGACTGGGCAGTGTGGGGAGGCTGAGCACTTTTAACAAACCCGAGGAGTTTCGGCACGGGTCCGAGAGTGCGGGAGCCTCTCACCTGCGGGTCGGGCGCGTGGGCCAGCAGCTCGCACAAGGCGGGCACCGCGCCGGGGTTTCGGAGAGCGGCCTGGAGCTGTTCCGTGGCCTGGGGAAAGGCGGGAGGACACGGAGGGTCTTAGGCCACGGGAGTCCACCTCCCTCGAGTCCCGCCCCGTCCCGCCCCGCCCTGCCCAGGGAGCCCCGTCCCGTACCCGGCGGATTCGCTCAGTGTCCGGCAGAAGCAGTTCCCGGAGGATCCGGTCCAGCTCCCCGGACTCCATGGCAGCACAGGTAGCGGCTGCCGGCAGCAGGTCCGGCACCGGAGGAAGAGGGAGGGGCTGCACGTGGAGACACTGACACCCGCTTCCAGCGGAAGCAGCGCATGCACGTCCTGCCCCGGCGTTGCCTGAAGAGACTACCCATCCTGCTTCCAGCAAAAGGATCGAGCTCTACGCCCCCTAGCGTCCGGCGGGAACACTGCGTGCTGCTTTGGGAAACGGCGAGCCGTGGCGGCTGAAGGAGGAGCGCGGCCCAGAGCCTCTCCCCAGCGCCCCCGCTAGCTCAGGGCCTGAAGCCACTTCCTTGGTCCCCTCCCCCGCCCCGCCTTCTCAGGCAGTGTAGTGATTTCTTAACAAACTTTATTGTGACAATTGTAAAAAGAAAACCATTGGAACCAAAATGAAAAGAAAATTAAAAATTCTAATATATAAGTCCTTCTATATATAGATATTTATAGAGTCGTGGGGGTTTCCCCGAGCTTGGAGGAGGCCGGCTCGAAGAGCACACAGCAGGGGTGGGAGGGCTGGAGCCAGGCTGCTGCTGGGTCCTGTCCCTTCCCCCGACATGGCTCGGGGAAGGGGCCGCAAGCAGCAAAGGGGCCCGGGACCCGGGCTTCGCTGGGAGCTCAGTCCATCTTGAGGTTGACATAGATGTAGCGGATGAACTTGAGTGAAGAGAAGAAGGAGATGGTGCCGAGCATGAGGAAGAAGACGTAGGCCGTGAGGAAGGAGTAGCCGAAGAACTCCACTGTCTGCACGGCCCCCGACATGTTGGAGCGCCGCGCGTAGTAGAAGACGGAGTAGAAGAAGATGAAGAGGCCCGTGGAGCCCACGCTGAGCACGGAGCGCCACCACCAGCGATAGTCCTCTCCTGAGAGCTGAAAGTAGGTGAGCGCGATGGAGATGCAGGCGCCCACGCTCAGCAGGATGGCGAAGACAAAGAAGAGGATGCCGTAGAGTGTGTACTGCTCGCGGCCCCACACTGTGGCGAAGATGTAGTAGAGCTCCACGGAGATGGCACTGCCAGGAGAGGCGGAGGGTCAGCGGGCACACACCTGACCCAGGGCTTCCCCCCACTCCCAGCCCAGGTCATTGCAGGAGGCCAATCAGCACACTTAACCCCACTCCTCATGGGTCTGATCAACAAATTATGATAGGCTTTAGTAACACGAGAAAATGAAGTCAGAAATTCTAAGTTCCTGATGATGAAAGGAGTAATGTAACAGGTGAGCAATAAATCTCTCTAGCAAGCTTAAAAAAAAAAAAAGTCCTGCCTAACAGGGGAATGGATGGAAATGGGATCTGTAGGACATGGCCAGACCAAGGATTCTATGATTCTCCTTGAGGCTGAGCTAGATTGTAAGGAATCAGGGCCCTGGAGGGTGGGAGATGTAAATACCTGAAGGGCAAGAAGCCACCAATGGTCATGTGGACAACAGTAGACTTGTACCAGGGCTGGGGTGGGATCTCTCGTGCAATATTCTTAGTCCGACAGGGTGCATCAAAAGGAGTGGCATTGTTCTTACCAAAGATGCCACCTATGACAGTGAGAGGGAAGCCCACCAGGAGCCAGACTGTTAGCAGCAGCAGGATGGTAGTGGCTGGAAGCGCTTGTGTTGATCCATTGGCCCAATGCACTGAGTTCACCACGCTCCAAGTCAGGAAAAAAGGCACTGCAGGGATGGGGCCCCCAGGAGGGTAGAGATCAGCATTGGAAGTCACATTCTTGGGAAGACCCACTTAAACTGGACCTGAAGGGGGAAAGGGGGAACCAACCTGCCACTCTAGCCCTAGTGCACCTAGTCCCACCCTCCACCACCCAATTCTCCTTATCTTGGTCTTGCCTCCCACTCACCAACAACTCTCAATGATAGGGCCAAGCTTGCCTATATAGGATGATTTAAGAGATGTGAGTAGAACTGAATGTTCCTGAATTCTTCCCACTTTCCACCAAGGTCTGCTATCATATTCATAATTGAACTCAATACCTTTGAGTTAAGGTATTGTTCAAAACAAATATTAACTGTGAGAGATTAATGTTACCCTATGTCACCTGTTGTTAATTATAATTTATAATAACAAGCTAGTATTTATATAATGCTATTGAGGTTTTTGAAGTCCCTTACATATGTTTGATCCTTACAACTCTTAAGTAGGTGCAATTATTATCCCCATTTTATAGATGAGAAACTGAAGCTAAGGGAGGTTAAGTGACTTGTTCAGATCACAAAGCTAGTAAGGCAGGATTTGAACTCAGGTCTTCCTGACTCCAAGTCTAAGACTCTATCACTGTAACACCATGATTACATCAAGAATGAGGCCTTGCAGAAGGAATGGGATATGGCACTAATAAATTTAGATTAGATTATTCGAATCTAGATATACCAAACCATAACGATTTTGAGGATAAGGACCTTCTATTTTACCACTGTATGGTTCTGTACAGCTCCAAATCTGTGCTTCTGTACTGATCTCAATGCTTTGGACATCACTAGCAGAAGGTAAATTTGCAATACAGTTTTGTTGAACTGGGGCAGGGGTGGGGAATCTGCGGCCTTCAGGCTACATGTCCTCAAGGACATAATAAAAAATAAATAAATAAACAATAATATATAAATAGAAATATATAAAAATAAATAATTAATAAAAGGATCTGTTCTGTGAAGTTTGGATTCACTCGAAGGGCCGCACCTGAAGGCCTAGAGGGCCACATATAGCCTCAAAGCCTCGGGTTCCCCACCTCTAAACTAGGGACTAGAAAAGTTCAGAGTTTAGACTGCTGCCCTGGGACGGCAGGTCTAATTGGGGTATTGTAGTGAAGGGCCCTCAGTAGCTATCGTCCAATATGCAAGCACTGGGAAGGATCCTAAAGGGGAGGACACCATGAGAAACAAACTTGATTTTTACACAATTTTACCTCCGGCCAACCCTCCTCTAAAGTCCATTTTGGCCCAACCCAGGGTGAGTGAGGTCCTCACCAGAGAAGAGGCTGGTGGTGAGGATGATGTTCCAGACCCAGCGCTCGCCTCCAATCTGCCGGTAGAAGTGGCTGGACACATAGCCAGCAATGCAGCAGGTCAGGGCATACAGCAAGATGGCTGCTGAGTTGATGGCGCCATGGCGGTGCACATTGAACATGCCCAGCAGTGCCATGACGATGATGCCTACAGGGTAATAGTGTGAAGCCTGCATTAGAGCTTTCCTATCCAACCCCAGAAGTCCCTACAGGAATCAGCCTTTCTCTCACTCAAACCCTGGAGTTCCAATAGAAGAATTTGTTCCCTCTTATCCACCCTACACCTTTGATGACATTACCAATTTTTGTCTTAAACCTGGAGACCCATAGGTGGGGAACATGCTTTGCAGCTCTCCTACTTCTCAGGAAGGAGAATCAGACACTCCCTGAAAGAGAGTACCACTACTTGAGATGCCTGGGCCATGCCACCTCCCCCGACACCTTAGGAGAAGAGCCCTAGATTGCCTCACTTCCTAGGTCTTCCTTAACTGGACCAACACTCTTATTCCCTAGGGAGATATCCTGTTCCCCTCACCAGTGCCAAGAGCCAGGAACTGGGTACCCACACCAAGCACAGCACAGAGTAGACCACGACATGGGGGAAAGCGGAAAACATCAGTATGGATAATCTTCCAGCCATTGTCACCCTGGTCAAAGTCATCAGTGGAGCTACCAGAGTTTGGCTCCTCATCCAAATTGTAGCGGGCTAAGTCATTACGAAGGACTCGCATGAGGATGACAGCTACAAATCCCACCAGAAGAAACACCAGCACCATAGAGTTGATAATAGATAGCCAGTGGATCTCGAGTGTTCGAGGGAAGAAGCCACCATCATCACCATGGCGCCTATCACCCCGACGTTCTGCTGAAGTCTCAGACCAGTGCACACTGTAAGTGTGAGTGAGGTCCAGAGGCTCTTCAGGCCGTACCACATCCAGGCTATGGGGCTTGACATCACGAACTGAGACATTGGCAAAGACAATTCGATCCCCATGGAACTCAAGGTGAAAATCCAGGTGAGTCCAGAGTCCTATCTTGTGACTATGTGGAAGGAAACCACTCTCTTCCATGTAGCCCACAAAGCCACGAATTGGCAGGTCATCCACCACAAACTCAAAGTAGTATAATTCTTCAATGGCCTGGCGCAGCCGCTCAACCTATGAAAGATAGATAGGATTGGACAAGATCGTCTCAGGAATAAGGTGGAGGAGAACTTGATTATATGATAACCAGTCCATTCTCCTGAGGATCCTTCAGAGGGGTGAAAATGACCTTATGGTTTTAGGACTAGAAAGGAAGAGAATAAGAAAAGATGAGGAGACCATGTTTCCACATGGTCTGAATTCTGCTCTAAAGCAGGATTTGCTAGAAAGGATTTATGGAAGAGGGCTGATAGGGAGAAAAGGAAATATTTGACAGCAAGACAGCAGAGTAGAGTGATGAATCTAGAGTCAAGAGGAAATGAGTTCAAATCTAGTCTCAAACACTTACTAGCTGTGTGACCCCGGACAAGTCACAAGACTGCTGTCAGCTTCAGTTTCCCCACCTGTAAAATGTTGATAATAGCACCTACCTCTTAGGGTTGATGCATGGATAAAATGAGATATTTGTAAAGCCCTTTGTAAACCTTAAAGCGCTATGTACATGCTAGCTATTACTATCATAAGAGATCGATTGGATGAAACAATCTATTTGAGGTTGAAAGATAAAACATTATTGCAAAAAAAAACAAACAAACCCAAAACCCAGCAGCATGATAAGGCAGAAAGACCAGCAAAGTGGGTGAGTTTTAGGAGGTTAACAGCTTCACTAGGTATCTCTGACCCTCATCTTCTTCATCAGCAAAACTGGAATAAAAATTCCTGGCCTCACTACCTTCTAGTGTGAGGAAAAACACTGAAGATCAGAACATGCTATGAACGTGTAAGGGGTAATTTTAATGGGGGAAGAGGTAAGCAGTGACCCCCATAGACATGCTGACCTGGGCAAAAGTTAACTGCATCTGGCAGAGGGTCCGTTTCTCAACATTCTCTCTGAAGCGGATCTGATACATGGACTCAGCCATTCGGTCACCATCCAACACTTCGCCCAGGCTAAGGCTCTTGTGTCGGATCTTTTCAGGGCAGCAAACAGGCAACTGGTAGTAGTGGTAGGTCTCCTGGGGGTTGTGGTAAGGCCCCACCTTGTTGACATACAGCATGACAGGATCTCCAGGCTGATAGTGGGTCTCACCGGTCACCCCAGGAATGTGGCCAGAGCCCAAGAGCAGCAGTACTGGCAGCCACAAGCAGGGCCTGCCTTGAAAGGTGTCCAGGGCTGTCATCCTGAAGGCAGCCTGACCTGGCGGGAGAGTCACTGTGTCACACAAACCCAGCCCGACCCTCTCTTCCCCACCATGCCCTAGAAACTGGCACAATGTGGCCTATACCAGAGCTTCGGCTGTGTCTTCTGCGTGTAAAATGAGGGTGGACGAGGCTCCTCTCCAAGGCCCCTTCCAGTTCTAAGCTCCAGATCCATCATCACTCACTACGTGTACTTCACTTCCTCAGGCCTCAGTTTCCTCATTTGTAAAATGAGGATGGGCTCGATGACCTCCAAGGTCTCCTTCCAACTGAAAGGTATGGTTCTAAGGGGTCAGACTCTCTGTCCTGCCCCGAAGGGCCCTGAACCCAGCCTGGGAGAATGCTCCCCTTCCTCCCCACTCAGGGCCAGCTCTGGGCGACTCGGGCGCTCCCCTGGCTACCCAGCCCGGCCAGCAGCCTACGCGCCCCGCCCCCGCTCCGTTTCTATGGAAACTTCAGTGGCTCTTAGCTCTCCCGCCTCCAGAGCCCTGGGGGTCCTCACCTAACGCGAGAGGGGTGACCGAGGCTGCGCCGGCGGCGGCCTCTACGAACCCCTTCGCTGCCCACGGGCTCCTGGTTGGGGTCTTTTCCAGAGCAGCGGTAGCGGCGCAGGAGAGGTCCTGAACGTCCAATGGACCGCCGGTTCGGGGCTGACCCAGGACCCGCCTGTTTCCAGCACCAATTCTGGCTGCAGCTTTAAAGCTGATTCGACATCTTTGTCTCCCACCTCCGCCCCCCGCCCCACGGCAAAGCCTTTCAGGAGGACTGTCTCATGGCCAGGCTGGCCTGCCTCTGACCGCGGAGGCGGTGTTCTTCCGGCAAGCTGCGTGGGCAGCTCAGGACACGTCGAGATTCCAGACTTCCGCCCATAGAGGGCGGGGACTTCACTCGCCGCCGCAGCCCGTCGGGGCTTCAGGAGCCCAAGATAAGCCACGCCCCCTAGCAGGGCTTAAAAGGCCAGCGAGGTTCGGGGTCCTGGGGTGCAAATCACTTTTGTCTCCATTTGGTTAGGGCATGCGGCTTCCCTGCACCAGGGTTTGTGGAAGGGACTCTAAAAGCCCCCCAGGCCAAGCCCCTCCAACCCCATAGCATCTCTGGAGTGCCAGTCAGGGTTCGGGTCCGGAGCGTGGGTGGTGAAGGTCAGACAAAGGAGGATGAGGAGGGGAACCAGGAGAGCTGTTACATTTTTATTTTACCGAACCCCAGAGAGGTTAAGGGACTCGGAGCAGAGGTTGTATTTGAACTCAGGTAGCCTTTATTCCAAATCCAGACCAGGCACCTTTGGATTTAAGTCTTCATGGAGTATTCATTCGAAAAACCTCAAGAACCTACCCCGGGGTGGGGGGGCAGCTAGGGGGCGCAGTGGATAGAGCACGGCCCTGGAGTGAGGAGGACCTGAGTTCAAATTTGGCCTCAGACACTTCACACTGTGTGACCCTAGGCAAATCACTTAATCCCAATTGCCTCACCAAAACAACAAAAACTCACCTAAAAACCTACTCCTGGCAAAAAAAAACCCCAAAAAACCGAAAACACATTGTGCTACCTATTTGATGCCGTGATTGTCTGCTGATAAAGGAGCTGAGAAGTATATCCAAATGCACTGGAATGCAGAATATTATGAAACAGAAAGGGTGGAAACAAGATGATAGGAGAGACAATCTCTTGTGATTTACAGAGGTGGGCATTGGGGTTAATGGGGGCAAACTGCCTGGAAAGCCTAAGCCAAATTCTCTCTCATCTTGCCACCTTGACCAAAACTCTTCTCCCTCAAAGGTCCTGGGGGCTACTTTCTTCAGCCTTCTCATTGGCTTCTAACCCCCTCGAGGTCATCGAGCCCATCCTCATTTTACAAATGAGGAAACTGAGGCCTGGGGAAGTGAAGTACACGTAGTGAGTGATCATGGATCTGGAGCTTAGAACTGGAAGGGGCCTTGGAGAGGAGCCTCGTCCACCCTCATTTTACACGCAGAAGACACAGCCGAAGCTCTGGTATAGGCCACACTGTGCCAGTTTCTAGGGCATGGTGGGGAAGAGAGGGTCGGGCTGGAACAAACGTGGTACCCACCCCAAAGGGTTATTTAGGGTATTCGTGGGTCATGGGTGAGGTAAACCGATTCTCTCACTTTGGTACTTAGCCCAAGAACATTCTCCAGGGAGGAAAGACTACAAATACCACCACCATTGCCACCCCCAATTCAAATGCCATCAAAATAGCTGGGGGGCATTGTGTGGCATCATTTCATGCCTTAAATTCAAGGAAGGAAAATACTTTGGAGAAACTCATACTGAGTAAGTAAAAAAAGAAGTATGGGAGACAGGAAAACCTCTTTGACTTTGATGCAGTCTGATGCTGGTTGTCCTCTAACTCTATTACAAGAAACAACTTTGTTCAGAGAGAGGGGCCTAGTGGCACAGCCACCCCAAGGCACTGGGTATTTGCCCTGAGGAGAACTTGAGACTTTTCTATAATACTTAAACCACCCACAGAACTTCCCTTCCCCCTATTCCTGACGATAGATAGATGCTAGAGTGTGACTAGGCACTAGGCTACTGTTTGGGGATGGGGGAACCCAACTCCTGTTTACCCATATACACCTATCCTTCTCCAGCCCTAATCCTAGTACCTGCAGGCTTCAGCTCTCCACATGTACTGCTTCAGAAGGCTTCCTAAACAAATGATAGCTGTTACAAAGCCAGCCAAGGGTTAGAGACAGAATCATCCTGATTTCCCATCTATATATATATGGAGAGAGCCAGACTAACCTCTGAGATGAATGGGGCTTCTTTACTTAGAGTGATGTTAGATTCAACTGTGGGTTCTACTCCTCTTCCTGCCTAGGATTATTTCCTTTCTAGGGACCTCCTGCTCAAGCAGAAGATTGGAGAAGACCTAGTGGATCTCCTTGCTGTAATGATTCCTAGGCAACTACCTATTTTCTGGAATTGGGAATGTGACCAGCATAAGAATTTATGGCTTGAGACCCAGCAGGGACAAACTATTTTAGTGAAGGATTTAGAATTGTACCGGATGATTTATACTGTAATCTGTATGTATGGTTTTCCAGCAGAGAGGAGATAGAAGGTGCCTGCTGCTCTTGGAAAAAGTTAAAGAAAGTTAAGAGTAGAAGGGGCCTAAGACATCACGTCATCTAACCCCTTCATTTTATAGCTGAAAAACTTGAAACCTGGACAATTAAATAGCAAAGCTCCATTTTGTGATTCCTAAGTCCCCTGCTCTTTCCACTGCACCTCACTGAGCTAGCCTTACTGAGGAAGGCTGTCCTGTCTCTCCAGAACAGTTCTTCAACAGCCTTTATTTCCTCCCCAGCCCCTTTGAGATGACTGACAGTGACCACCTGGTTTATCATAGATCATGAACCTGACACAGGAGTAAGGCTCTGTGGAGGTATCTCACCCGGAGCTGGGGAAGGCCCCTGCAGGTTCCCAAGCCATGCTCCCTTCTTGAGCTATGTGGCCAGTAAGTGTGTGGAGAGCAGATTGTGATGTGTGCGGAACATGGGAACAGGGGATTCCGTAACCAGGAAGAGGAAGAAGGAACAACAGCTACTGGAGACAAAAAGAGCAGTCCACCCCTCTTCCTTCCTCTCCCCCTCCAAGTTCCTAATAGAGAACAGAGCCCTGTGACCCCAGCCGGGGTAAAAATACAGGCAAGCATTTGGGGACCGGCTTCATTTTGGCACCGCAGCCCCCAGCGGCTAAGGGCATCAGCCTCCCTGGACGTCAAAGGCAGCTTCGGTGAACGTAGCCCTCCGCAGGTCAATGTCACTCCTACCAGGGGGCGATGGGATGTCAGCCAGATACCGAAAAAACCACCATCATCCCATCAGACCCGCCACAATGTCATGGAAGAGTATGGCTATGAAATAGGCAGGGTGATTGGTAATGGCTCTTACGGCACGGTCTATGAGGCCTGTTACACTAAGCAAAGAGTCCATGTTGCTGTCAAGGTCATCTCCAAAAAGAAAGCTTCTGAGGACTATCTTACCAAGTTCCTGCCCCGAGAGATCCAGGTGGGGATGGGAGAGGGAGGCAAGAGTTTGGAGGGAGGGGCCTTCATCAAGATGGGGCTAGGTGACCCAGAGCCCCCCAAAACAGGGCTGAACCTTATCCATGATCCATTCATTCAACACGTAGTCATTAAGCCAACCTAGATTTCCTGATTCCAAGACTAGCATTCTTTTTGAGATAACCATGTTGCTTCCCTCAAATGCCATCTTCTCCAGGAAGCCTTCCCAATTCTCCCCATTCAGCAATGACCTTCCCACTTGAACCTCCCTTAGGATTTTGTTTCATACCACACTAATGTACTTATAGATGAGACAGTGCCCTCTTTTTTTTGGCACTTATCTAGTAGAGGGATAATACATAAACATAGGTAACCATAATAATAGCTAACATTTACATAGCACCTACTACATGCCAGGACCTGTGCTAAGTGCTTCACAAATATAATCTTATTTGATCCTCACAACAACCAGATAGGTAGGTGTTCTTTTTCTCATTTTTACAGTTGAGGAAACTGAGGCAAACAAGTGACTTGCCCAGGGTCACATAACCAGTAAGTGTCTAAGGCTAGACTTGAACTCAGGCTTGACTCCAGGTCCAGTGCCATGGCCACTGTGCCACCTAGGTAGCTGCCTCTGTAATGTATGGTATTATACAATAAATGCATCATTACATGACTGGGGAACATTGGATTTGGAACTGAGACCTGAATCTCAATCTTGCCTTTGGTGCTTATTAGCTGTGTGACCTGTGCTGGCTACTTAATCTCTCTGACTTTAGGTTTATTTGTAAAATGGGGTGGACTTAATCCATAGTATTGTCCCTTCAAGGGTTGTTATGAAGACCAAATAGGATGATTATATAAAGTGCTTTGTCAGCCTTAAAGTGCATTCACTAATTGGTGTTAATAATTATATTATTGATGTGGATTATAAAAGACGGGTAGGAATTCAGCTGGACAAGATGGGAAGGGAATGGGTTATGGATTAGAGAAGAGCATTCCAGGCCCAGGGAGCACTGGAGGGGGCCTCAGGGCACGTGGCCTTTGGCAGGACACAACTGATTTGACTGGAGCTCAGAATGAAGGACAGAAATTTGAGATAAGATGAGGGAGTTAGGGTGGTATCTTGAATGCCAAAGGAGCTGGAATTTTGCTCAGGAGGCAATAGAGTAACTTGGGGTTTTTAAGCAAACTAATAAATCTAAGAATATGGATTATTATTCTGACTGATATGAAGGATAGGTTGTGGGGAGGGGGAAAAGTGGATGCAGAAAGACTTACAAGGAGGCTAGTTCAGGAGTCTGATAGGGTGATAATGTATCCACTTGCACTAGAAAAATGGCAATAGTAATAGAGAAGAGGGAATAGAACCAACAGTGTGGCAGACATGAAATCAAAATAATTTAATAACTAAATGGATATGAAAGGTGGGTGAGAAAGGAGCATGAGAGAGAACACCGAAGTTATGAACATGGAAGGCAGGATAACAGGTAAAACCACAGGCTGATACAATGGAGTCAGAAGGAAAAATGGGTGTTGGAGGAAAAGACAATAAGCTTCGCTTCACACATGTTGAGTGTAGCATGGGCCATTCTGGTGGAGAAGTGCATGAAGAGCCCTTTGCAGAGAAACTGTGGTTGAAGCCTTGGGAGAGAATGAGTTTGGCAAGAAAATGGGAGACAAGAAGAGAAAAGGGTCAAGGCAAGACCCCGGAGAAAGATACACATTAAGAGGTTAGGGAGAGAAGGTGTAGACAAGATCAGAGGAGTGGTTAAGATAGGTAGAAGGAGAAGCAAGAGATGGTCTATGAATCCAAGGTAGAAGAGAGTGTGATAGTCAAAACTGGGTTAAAAGCAGCAGTGAGCTGAAGGTGGATAAGGACTGGAGAGTAGCCATTGGATTTGGTGATATGTAGGCGGTGACTTAGAGAACAATTTCAATAGCAAGCTTGAAATAGAAGGAAGACTGATTGCAAGGGGTTGAGGAGAGTGATGAAGCAGAGACATTTGATACAAACTCCACTGATCCCAGGCTATGTCCGATCCTCTTTCCACCCCAATACAGACCCTCCTATGTCAAAAGGAAAAGAGCCTAAAATGCTGATATGGACCAATCAGCTCACCTCTGCAAACCATTTGACTCTGCTCCATGAAGTTAGATGGCCTGAGTCAGAGTCTTGGCTTCACCACTTACTCGCTATGTGACCTTGGACAATCATCTCACCTCTCTGACCCCATTTCCTCATCTGGAAATGATAATATCTTCACTCTCTCACTGGTTCATAAGGTTGCCTTGAGATTCAGATAAAGTCCAGGGACGTTAAAGAGCTTTGTAAGCTATAAAGTCTTATGTAAATACAAGGAATCACTATTGTTAATAACTTTGCTATAAAAGGAAGGAAAGGGTTGAGAGTCAAGCCATGAGCCCTCCTCTGCCAGGTCTGATGAACTCCCTTCCTTGGGACCAGGTAATGAAACTCTTACGGCACAAGTACCTAATCAACTTCTACCAGGCCATTGAGACCACATCTCGTGTGTATATGATGCTAGAGCTGGCTCAGGGGGGTGATGTTCTTGACTGGATCCAGCGCTTTGGGGCCTGCTCCGAGCACCTTGCCGGCAAGTGGTTCTCCCAACTCACCCTGGGCATCGCTTACCTGCACAGCAAGGGCATCGTGCACCGGTGAGGGCACTGCCATCTGGGACTTTATGACTCCCAGAGGGAGGCTGTCTCACTGCAGCTTAACTAGCCTCCTCTCTACTAACCTCTTACCATACCCACACCCCTATCTCCTATCTGAACTCCCTTCTCATCATTCTCCCCACAACTAGGTCAGTCTTTCCTTCTCCATTTCAATTATCTGTTTAAGGAATTTAGAACCCTTTGTGTCCAGAGTACTATATAGAGAAGCTCTACAACCCCCAAGACCCTTGCCCTCTGATACTCATATTCCTAGACCTACTCCCCCCACCCATAACCCTAGCTCATTTTTCTTAACTCCACTCCTTCACCTCTATCCTCTGATCCCTGACCCTCTAGCTCCCAGCCTAATACTAACCCCTCTTCCCAGCCCCTGCCTGACCCCCAGGCCTTCTGCTGCTGGTAGGGACCTAAAGTTGGAGAACATGTTGCTGGATAAGCGGGAAAATGTGAAGATCTCTGACTTCGGCTTTTCCAAGATGGTGTCAACTGATATCCAGACCCAGGAGAGACCTTCCCAACACCTCACAGGCTGCTTTTCCCACCTCAGCCGGACCTACTGTGGTAGTTTCGCCTATGCCTGCCCAGAGATCTTGCTGGGGTTGCCCTACAACCCTTTCCTCTCCGACATCTGGAGCATGGGTGTCATTCTCTATACCCTGGTTGTTGCCCGTCTACCCTTCGATGACACCAACCTAAAAAGGCTGCTTCGACAGACTCAGAAGGAGGTCACCTTCCCAACTAACCACCTTATCTCTCAGGAGTGCAAGGTGCTGGCCCCCCTGGGAGGGCTGGGGCCCTTGGGCTGACCCACAGAAGGTGGGGTATACATCCAAAAGGGACCACAGCAGGGTCAGGGGAAGGCTCCATTCACTGTATGCCAGGATCCACCCCAGGAACCTCACTTGCTCCCACTGGTCCCATGCCCAAAGCAATAGGGAAGGCCAATGGAAATAATTAACCCTCTCCCTCCAGATCAGAAATTAGTTGAGTATAGGAAAACTTAAGCTTCCATTGTTTCAAGGCAGAGGATATTGTCAGTCCCTCTTCCAAGGATCCAGATGTCTCCCTGCACTTATCCCTTATCCAAGCATTAACTCTGGGCATATTCTAAGGGAATCCCAGTCTAGTCCTCTCCCCAAAGTAGTATTGTGGGCAGTCCTGCTTCTGTCTCAGGTCCAGATGCTGCCATTGCCTGGGCAGCACAATTCAGGGCAAGCTCAGCCATGGCCTCTCTCTCTCCTGTCCCAGAACCTGATTCACACGATGCTGCACCAGGCTGTCAATCGTGCTACCATCCTGGACATCGTCAAGAACCCCTGGGTGCTCAAGTTTCAGCCAGCTCGGCCTCACCATGAAATCCAGTTGCTAGAGGTCCTGTGTCTACCACAAAACTCCACCACTACCGATACTGCAAGTTGAGCAGGACTGGTGAAGAAGGCAGAAGAGGGGGTTAAGGCAGGAAGTTGGGGGGGAGCCCCAGGACTCCTCCCTCTATCCACTTTTTTTTATACAAGAAATCTAATTCCCATTTAATTTTATCAGTGGGGTGGAAAAAAGAAATTATTCCCCAGGGAAAGCTTAGAAAGAGTCACTTCTAGGCTGTTATAGAGGTTGGCCTCCATCTGTAGTCTGCAAAGGTATTTTAAACTTAAATACTGGACTGTGCTTTCTTTAAAGAAATGTACGTATGGGTTGGGGGGGAGATGGGGAAGAAGTATCTTGGTTCTGCATATCTCCTCCTTTAAACTTTAAAAGGTGCTGACAACCTCCTAGGTGTACCCTTCTTATCATTAAGGTCTCTTGTATTATCAAAAATGGAAAAAGGGAGCCAAACTGTGGGCTTGTCTTAGGATCATAGAATCACATTTAGAGCTGAAAGTGATCTAGTTATTGATTATCTAGTCTGGCACCCTCATTTTACAGAGGAAGAAACTGAGACCAGAGAGGTTAAATGACTTCCCCAAAAGTCACAGAGGTAGCAAGTGGCAGACTCAGGATTTGAACACAGGTCTTCTTGACTCCAAATCCAGCCCTCTTGGTAAAAGGGTAATTGTACTGCAGAAATTCAGTGGCAACACACTAGAAGAGTTTGATCAACTATGGCGTTGTCTAGTTACATTTTACAGATCAATAGAAAACATTCACCTGATGTACATAGTGAGGAGGCTAGGATATCCTACAAGCCCATTCACTCCTTCTCTCTAAGTAAAGAAACTGGACAGGGACCTGAAGTAGGCACCCAGGGGCTGACAAGACATGGCAGACAATGGGGATCCATCTGCCCAGTTTTATTGAGAGTAAGGGCCTTTGTAACAGCTTCCAGTGAAAAAATGGTCCAGGGACTTTTCTCCTTCCCACCTTCCCCACCTTCCCACACCCCCGCCCCAAACAGAAAAACAATCCTACTCTACAGGTGTGCCAGGTGAGGCATCAAGTCTCTCAGGAAGGGTCAGACTTACTACCCTCACCAGTGCCTCATGAGGTTTAAACCCTTCAGCTCAGTACATTGGCACTTGGGGAAAAAAGAGGGGAATTGGATGGAGTTTCAAGAGCATCAAGGCATTCTCTTCAGGATACCCAATCAACTAACTGCTTCAGTTCCTTTTCCTCATCAGCCTTGGAAGCTAAGGGGAAAAGAGACAAAGAACAGAAAGGTTAAGTTCCCTAGAATTCTCCAACCAGCCCTCCCTATGATAACTTAAGGGACCATGAACCAACTTTCCTGACATGGATCTTAACAATGTGAGGCTACTACCTGTCTCAAGACAGGAGGGGATATTACCCTTCCCACAGCCAATGTAGTAGCCAGGGCTGTTCCTCTGGCCAGGCAGTGAGAGTTCTCAGTACCTGGACTGGTGGGTAAATGAGTAGAGGGGACATCAGGCAGCATGGCTGGTGCTGATGCTTCATCCTGTCCTGTATTCAGCAGCTCCTGGTTCAATTTCTCCTGCTCGAGTTCCTCTAGTTCCTCCAGCAGCTCATCCTGGAAATGGAAAATCCAAAATTTTATCAGGAAACCCTGTACTGCTAAGAATTCACTGCAAAGACTCAAGGCTTCAAAGTCTCCTCCCCCAAAGCCTCACAAATCCTCCACTGCTATACCTGGATTCCTTCTACAAGCCTCAACACTACCTCCATCCAATTACCTCATCCACATCATCCCCAAAGCCCACAGGCCGAGAAATAGCATCAGAGATTTGCTGGGCTATTTCCTGCTGCTCTGTGATGTCAGACATCAGCTCATCCACCTTGTTGATGTCCCTGTGGGTGGAGGTATAGGTAAAAAATCAGGGTAGATCTTGCCTTTCATCCTGTGGTGGAAAAAAGCCATTCCCATTCCCCTTGAAGCCTCACGTCTTAATGGGCCTAACACTCCCTGGCAGAGGGAACCAAGAGAAGTCTGCAGATGGGTGGGAACATGTTGCAAAGAAAAGATATATAGACTCTCCCGTGTTGAGAGGGGTGGTTTTTTTGTTTTGTTTTTTTTTAAAGAATCAGGTATTCTAGCCTGCTCCTTTCTACCATGTGTCTTAACCAGGGGAAGGGAATGCTTTGAAGTAGGGAATTAGATAACCTGTAGAAGATTCTATGATTCTACAAAGAAAGGATGTGAACCTGTGGCCAAGCCATTCTTTCCCCAGTGTCTGTGCCCATGTCTGTCCTTCCCCTCCTTTCCCCCCCTCCCCCGTACCCACATGTCTTGGTGGGCCTTGCTCATGGCACGGGCAGCCAGCCCCATGGTTCGAAGCACTTCAGCATTGGTGGTGGCATTCTCAATGGCTTCCCGCTGGAATTCCAGGGTAGATAGAGTCCCATCTGTCTGTGCCAGCTGTTGTTCCAGCCTCTTCTTTCTGCGCAGTGCCTGCAGGGCAGCTGACCCAGCCCACAGCCCACCCATAAATGCCAGAAGGCCCCGGGCTCTTCCCCCTCCAATGGCTCTGTCCTCTATACCTTTCCCCTAATACCTCTCTTGTTCTTGGTCCCATGCTTCTTGGCAGTCTGAAGTTCCTGCTGGATCTTTTGCTCTAGAAACTCCTGCTTCTTCACCAGTATCTTTTCTGTCTCCCGCAATTTCTGAATTGCCTCTTCAGGGCTTGGATCCTTCTCCTTCTTCCCTGCTGGGTCCAATGGAGCAGGGGGCAGTGTTGAGTAGGGAAAGCTATTCCCAATCACTTTTAGCTCCCGGTTCCCATTGGCCATAGCTGGAGAAGGGACCTTAGGTTGCTTTCCAAGCCAGAGAACTTGTGTTGGAGGGGAGGGGGTGGTGATAGCAGGGGTGGTAAAGAGACCCTAGCCAGGAAGTCCTGACCCAATTAAGAGACTGGTCTGAGCCAGGAAAGGGTCCAATGTGCCCTATACTCCTCAAAATCCTGAACACTTTCCTACTTAAGAGTTAGAGGACACAGTGGGGGAAAGGAAGGTGTTTCTGGGAGGTCGCTGGCTGGTAGATCCCAAGGCTGCTGGTGGAGGGATTAGTGGCTTCTTCCCTCACAGCCTCTCGGGTTTGGATGACTTTTCTACCCTGCCGAGCATCTTTCCCAACCCCTTAGAAAAGCAGGCCCCCAAAGACGGGCAGCCACACCTCCATCTACATGGAGGCAGGGTTCTGCTAGGGCTCACCCCTGCCAAAGAGCCTCCCCAGGCCACTCATCCTGATCCCCGGATCCCTGAGGAGCCTCCACCCCTGACTTGGCTTCGGCCTCCTCGAGCCCTTCCCACTTCCGCCTTTCCCAGAGGGGACGGCCCCTCCCGCCAGCCCCGGCCAATCCCAGTCCAAGGCTCTGGCTCATCATCATAGGGAGTCTCCAGCCCGGAAACCTGGGAAAGTGTGCCCAGACCAGCGTGCTTGTCACATGATGGGAGTCACCTGACTAAACACCCTCCCCCCCCACCCCCCCACCCCCACAAAGTTTTAAAGGGCCCCAATGTCTCCAGGGCAGTCACTGAATGGGAAGAGCTGTTTGTCCCAGGAGGCAGAGCTGGAGGACACTGATTTAGATCTGACAGGGCTTTCACCTAGTCTGAGCCCTTGTTTTACAGATGAGGAAACTGAGGACCACAGGCAAGGTGGAAAGTTGTGGCTCTGCCCTTTCCCTCCCTGGGTCCCTGTCCCAGGGACTCATGCTCATGGCACCTGCCAGAGCACCTTTCAGGCCCTTCCCAGCTCTGCACCTCTATCTATTTGATGGCCACAGAGATCAAGCCATTTGCCCAAGGATGGGAACCCACGTGCTCTAAGCCCAATCTCTCCTCTTCTCCTTCTTGGGCAGACACAATCCTAGAGGGCCCAGGGCACCAGACTGGCACGCACTGAGCCTTTCCCAGGTTGCCAGGTCCCTTTCCTCCAGAGTGAGCTTTGGTGTGCTTGGATAGAGGCAGGCAGAGGAAGTGCAGAAGTGTGTCATAGGAAGTTTTATTTGCTGTGAGGAAGGGATGTTGTGATAACACACCAAGGAACAGACAGCACTGGGAAGCAAAGCCTGGAATCAGTCCTGGGCAGTGTTGTTGGCCCATATACATGACGACAAAGAAAACTTACACCAAGGGAAGGGTCTTGTATGCTCACACACAGATGTTTTATACAATTCACAGATGACCTGAAGATGCATTTCTCATTCTTGTTCTCTTCCTGCTGGTGTCCATGGCCAGGGCTCCCATCTGCAGGGCTGAATCTGAGAGTCTGTCTCAAGATTTCGCAAATGTTTCTAGGCCTTTAGTCAGAGTGTGCAGACTCATTTCACTCTGGACATGAATACAGGTGACACCTCGGAAAGAATGACATTTTATGAGATTAGTCTTACCTCTTTGCCATTTTGGGGCCCTTAGCTGGCATGCAAACTAGCCACCCCCAAGCCTACTCCCACCCTATGTATACTTATATACCTAAGGCTCCTTTCCCCCCAACAACACCATTCAGTACCCAGTTTGCTGACATCTATAATGTTCCGCTTCTCGTCATCAAAGAAGATCATTTCAGAGTAGGGAATACCGCTCTTCTGCTGCAATCTGAGTGGAACAGGACCATGTGAGGTTAGATTCCCACTCCCACCATGCCTGTCAGGTAGAATCGGTCATATTTTTCCTTTCCTTTCTTCTCATCCCTGAGTACCTCTCAAAATGTGTGACTTTGCAGCCTGGATAGATTTCCTTGTATGCAAAATATTTAGTGAGGTCAAAAAGCTCCAAGAGCTGATTGGCTCCTCGAATCTCACCGGTCCTAAATTGAAGAAACAGGAAATGAATGAAGTCAGAGATACAAAGGAAACTTGGAAAAAGCAACAGATGAGGAAATTAGGAATGCTAAAACACAAAGTTGCACAAATTAATATCTATTGTTGAATTATCAGCCTCTCAAAAATTTACAATGTAGTTGCAACACTGGAGAGGTTTCCCTCCCCCACAGAACTAAAATATGATCAGACTGGAACCAAAGCAGAATTTTGAAGGTGCCTTCACAGCTGCCAAAACAATCTTCTTAATATGTAGGTTTGACCACTGACTCTCTCCTCTTTAAAGGAGATAATACAGATTCCTCAGCTTTTTATTTCCAGCCATAGGCTCTTGTGATCTTTAGAGCCTTTTCTAATCCCAGTTGCCCTTTTCCAGTATTTCACTTTATTCTTTCTATGAATGGTATATCCCTATTATGTCACATCACTAGTTATTTCCCAGTCTCAGCTTGAACTCTCCCACCTCAATGTTATTTGGCAGTTAGACATAGAATACAAATGCCTCTGGAAAATGAAAAGTGAGTAACAGAGAACAATGAAGGGACACATGGTGGCGTGGGAGCAGGCTGCAGTACGTAACCACATATATGTTATACATGAGGAACTCTGAAGAAACAGGAGAGTAAAAGACATCATTAAAGAACTATGTGATAGGTAGAGAAGATGGGCTGATCACATGGCAGGAATAGAGTGACAGGTGGGCAGCCAGAGTGTTCCAGGAGAAAGTCAGAAAGTCTTGGGTTCAAGCACCACCTCTGACACATACTGGCTGTGTGACCCTGGGTAAATCACTGAACTTTTCAGTGCTCTAAGTAATTTTTTAAGACTATAAACTGTATTTTTAAAAATTAAATTAAATTTTATTTTAAAATCCACATCTTCTCCCTCCCACACACAACCCTTTAAGAAAGCAAGAAAAATAAAACCTGTTATAAACATGTATAGTCAAGCAAAACAAATATCTTGATTGTCCATAGCAAAAAAAAAAAAAAAAAAGCCTTTATCTATACCCTGAATCTATCACCTCTCTACCAAGAGGTAGGTAAGCACATTTTATCTTGAGTCCTCTGGAACTGTGGTTGGTCATTGTGTTGATCTGACTTCTTAAGTTTCCCAAAGCTGTTTGGAAGACTATATATTGTAGAGAAGGTATGGACATGGACTGGTAGAGCTTTGCTCTAACAGCTCTCTGTAAGTGTGAAATACGGCCGTTGTCTGGAATGCACTACCTTTTCGTCTTCAGTTTTTAGATTCTTTCTCTGCCTTCCAAGCTCATATTAATTACCATCTTCTCCATGAAGGTCTTTCCTGATAGATCCAGCTGAAAAATTCTCTCTCCCCATACTCAAAGACTGGTCTGGCCTTCTCCTTTGCCCCCATCATACTCTAACTTGCATTATAACTATTCTTTATACTTGTTATATGCTTCCCACGTCTGGCACATGATGAACGTTTCTTGAGGGCAGAGTCTGTGACATTTTCAAATCTTTGTATTCCCAATCCCTTAGCATGGAGTAAAGTGCTCCACAAAAATGTGCTGCATTGAACAGGCAGTCCTTACCGGGAGGCAGCGGCCATGGTCACCCCCAGGCCATGCAGACGTTCCAGGACATCGGGCACCTCTGGATATAGCCTAACCATCTTCTCATTGCTGTCCCGCACACTCCCATCCCTAGACAGGGGCAGAAGAAAGACTCAGATTTAGCCCCCCTCCCCTCCATTCAGTCCCTGAGCCTTGGCCCCGCCCCCACCCCACCTCACCTGCTCCTGTGGAACGGGGGCTCCACATGAGTGTCAACCCAGAAGGGCCAGAGAGTGTAATCTGCAAGGAAAAGGGGGTGGGTCTTAGCCGGCTCGAACCCAGGGAGGATCTGGTCTAAGGCTCAGAGGGTGGAGCCTGAGGGCTCAGGAGTCAAGGAGGCGGGGCTTAGCGGGGATAGGAATGATGGTTGGGGGCCTACTTGACCCCAATGAGGGATAAGGAAGAGAGGACATCTGCAGTGGCGTGCACCTTTTCCCTCTACGCGGTGCACATACCCAGGTCGAAGACTACCAGCCGCGGAAAGCGGGTCATGGCGGGCGGGCGCTGGGCACCTGCAGGAGTAGTACACTCTGGCAGCTTTCAGCAAGCCACCATGTTTGACCATAGAGTGAAGCCAGCTAGAGCACCGGTTCCCGGAATCTGTCCCGAAGCCATTGGCGCCACCCAGAGTTGGAGCTGAGGCATGGCAGAGGACGCTATAAGCACAGCGCCCCCAGAGTTAGTACTAGGAATGGCCGTACAATCCTCCCACTGGCCGGGATCTGGGTTGTGGATAGGCTTTTTTCACTTTAGTATAAGTCAGCACCTCCTTCCAATCAGTGATAGGATTATAAATGAGTAGCTGGAAGATCTGATCTAATCCTCATTTTACAGATGAAGAATGCAAGGCCCAGGCCAACTTGTCCTGCCGTACAGGCACTTTAATTTGGCACTGCTGGGGCTGGAACCCAGACCCTCTAACATTAAATCAGTTCCTTCCTTCTTTGAATAGTGAAATGCCCAAAAGACCCTTCTGCTCTCCATTACTCCAAGCCGCCTCTCTCATCCCCATCTTCTCAGGCACCAGCATCCCTCCCTCCTCACCTCTCACAATAACTAAGCCATAACATAGAGGCAGGTAGAGCAGAGCCCTAGATAAACACTCCCTCTGTAGAACAGTGGTCATGAAAATCATAGAATGTTGTATGAACCCATCTCCCAGGACCAGCAATGTTAAAATTTAGCTATCCTGTTCTTCACCATCAATAACAGGACCAAATTTACTCCAAGGCCCTGGAACAAATGGCCCCATTTTTTTCTTTAACATGCCCCTTGTGCCTGATGGGTCAATCGATTGATTACATTTGAGCACAGTTGAGGAAACATTCCAGGAGGCTGGGAAAAGTCTTTATTAACAACCAGGACACAGCCATGAGGGAAGGGGCAGGCGAGACCACAAACTAAAAACCAACAGCTAGCAAAGGGCCCTGCAGGCCCAGAGGGCTGGACTCTGGGGTCCTCACAGACCTCCCAGCAACAGACAGAAACACCTGGGCATCTGTCCTGGGGAGGAGGTGGTGGTTCTGTTGTTCCAGGAAGTGGAAGGGTGTATGGCGCATCATTATAAGTGATGGGGTAAGGGGATAAAGTAAAGGGAGGTCCATCACCGCCCAAGGCCACCTCCCCCACGAAGAGCCAACACCAAATGGAGGACTGAGCCCCCTTGGATCTTGTAATCAGCAGCTGTCTTCTCGTCGTTCCTGGAAAAAGAGAAAAAAAGACAAGGTGGCGACAAAGTTTCATCCTTCTTGGAACTATTTCATAGGAAACCTGCCTCTAGAAAGAATGAAGTAACCTCTGCCTCCCCACACCTCCCATTCATTTCCTGATCTCGGCCATGGCTCCTTTATCTGTACAACTACATGACCTTTACTCTCTCACTAAACTCACATCTGTTTGCCACTGTAGATGAGTCGCTGCTGCTGTGGAGGAATTCCTTCTTTCTCTTCTACCCGCTCTTTGATCCGTTCCACCTTCAAGGGGATGAAATGGAAAAGGTTACTGAGGGATGGGGCCAGGGAAATGGAGAATAGTTATAGGGAAAACACTTAGGTACACATACAGAGCACACAGAAAAGGGGAGAGGGACACGAAGAGATCATAGTAACTGAGGGGAAGGGAATACATTACCTTGTCTGTGGGTTCAATGTCGATCTCAATTTCCTTTCCTGTCAGCGTCTGAAACAGGCAAGGGCTTTGTTAGTGTCTGTAGCTCAATTTACCTGTATATAATTACTTTCCTGTTGACCCAGTATCCAGGAATCTACTGCCATTAACTAGATGCACCTTATCAATGGACTTGGAAAACCAAACATCTTGGTGTCCCTTACATCTTTAATTATGTCCATGGTCATTAAATGTTTTGATACCTGGTCTATTTTGGACTACCTATTCCAGTCACCTCTACTTGTCATTTTTTAGAAGAACAAAATTCCTCACCAAAATCAAAGAGAATACTGGTTCTGCTTTTGGTGAGATATCAATGATAGGTGTCCTAAGAAAACTAATTAATGGCAGAAACACAAAGACCAGATGGGGCTCTGGTGTACAGATAACCATAAGGATCTTCACAGATTAACAGGGATCATCTTTGACTAGACTTCAAGAACCACTAATCATTCTCTTCCTCAAAAATCTTTCTCCCTAAAATTTTAAATCCAGACTCTCTGAGTGTCTTGGCTCTCAACTAATTCCATTATATGCCAGTGTCCCTCACCCAACACAAGCCCAGAACTGTACCTTCAACTCTAATTTAAAATAAAAGTAATCATAGTTAGCATTTATATAGCACAAAGGTTTTCAAAATATTTTACAAATATTATTTCAGTAATCCTGGAACGTAGGTGTTATTATTATCCTAATTTTACACACAAGGAAACTGAGGCAGTCAGTTAAATAACTTGCCCAAGGTCACACGGCTATTAATGTCTCAGTCAGCCAGATCTGAATTCAAGTGTTCCTGACTCCAGGTCTAGTGCTCTATCCACTGTGCCATCTTTGTACAATTGCAAAAATCAAGACCCAGGCTGTCTGCACATAAGCCAGATCCCTGACTTGGTCTCTCCTCTTGTCAGAGGTTTTTCTAGGCTAAGCAAACATTAAGTATCAATTCAACCTTCTTGTAACCAATGCTTCCCCTTGCCCTCCTGCATTGAAAAGTGTGTGTGTATTTATACATTTGATTCTATTCTCACTCATCATGGATACATTCTACATCTTTGGACCATAGCTTTATCATCTTGATCCTCTACTGTGTTTCCTGAGATCACTGTCTCCAATGTTCTCCCTTTATTTCCTAACACATCCAATCTATTCTTTTTAAGAAGATATACTCTCAGAGTGGGCAAAGGATAACTGGACAAATGTTACAGTGCCACACACTCATTGGTGCTGCTAAACAACTTTATTTTTATTTTCTACTCATATATTTGTATTTAGTATACATTTGTGGGTCTAATCCACTCAATTAAAATGCTGGTACTGAAAGGAAGAAGAAGAATGTTCAAACTATGCTTTGTTTATTTCTATCTAACTTGCCTAATCAAGCTACGGCACCCAATATGCACTCACTCACACATAAGCCAGGAAGATAATGGATGTGCAGTCCTCAGATTTACATCACATGATGTGAGACAGACCATTAGAGAAAAGAAAGATTCTCTTGCCCATGGGGAAGTCATAGGGTCACAGATCTAGAATTGAAAGAGACCTTAGACTCCATCTAGCACAACCCTAAAGGCAAAGAATTATTTTTGTCTTTCTGTACCCCATGCCTAGCATAGAGAAAGTCCTTAATAATTGATTGATATACAGATGAGGAAAGTGACATCCAGAGAAGGGCCTTGCCCAAGGCCACAGAGGAGTTAAGTACTGAATAGACCTATAAGGGCAAATGCTGCATTACCTCTTTTTCATCTGAGAGGCAAGAGGAGCAGGAGTATAGGAAATCCTTAGCCTCTCTGGCCTCAGGTCCCTGCGGAGTCTACTTCTCCAACCTACTCTTTCCTCAGATACCCACTTCCTACCTGGTACCAGAGTATACACAAGAGCTAGTCTTGCAAGGAGCCCTTTCTTTCAAATTTCCTGTAGATACCCTCACTGCTCCCCTTCCCCTTTCTTCCTCCTGGATGCTGGTCCCCATCTCCACTCTCATGGAAAAAAGCCCTGAGCCCTTGCCCTACTCCAGCCTCATACTTAGCCAATGGTAAGGGAGACACTTTGAATAAGCAGGGAGTTACGAACTGCAATCTTTCCAGTAATGTGGAAGACCACTGGACCTTCCCATGTCCCCTGCCATTATAAGCTCCAGACTCTTGGGCATTACCATCTGATCTGCTGATGCAGTCTAAGGACCTATGGGCTTTGCTATCTGCTTGACTATACTCTGAGCCCCCCTGGGTCTTTGTATCTGCTCTGCAGCTGAATTCTCCTGTATATTGCCTTCCCAATCAGAATGTATGCTCCTGAAGAGCAAAAACTGATCTTTCCATAATTTATTAAGCACATAGTAAATCAGGAAACTATCAATCACGTGCTTAGTAATTACTTTGTTCATTTATTCCTCTGGAAAATTTTCATCATCTGAAGTCAGAGGAATGGAACAGGCTGTCATTCTCCAGAGCACTGAGGCCCTTCACTATCTGTATATTGTGACAACTTAGGGCAGAGGGGCCTAGATACTATCAGTGCCCTAGAGATGGCCTTCTCTGAGGGAGGTGCCCACGGACATGGAATGTTGTAGAGGCTGTCAAACACAGCTGCCATTTTCCTGGCAAGCAGCTGTGCTTCCTTCTTGACTTGTACAAGACACTCTACCTCCTCCATTGGGGCTCTCACTCTTAACTGGTAAGTTCACTGATCTATCTGGGTGCTCCCAGTGACCTCCTACTGCTTTCTAGCCAACTTCCTTCCCCTGACACCCACTTTTCTGAGTTCTACTCTGAAGAGCAATCAAGTCAACATGTTAATCAGCTGTCACATAACTTGCCATCCCTGTGATTTTCCTGATCACCACTCCACTGGATACATTATCTTCCCCAATTAGAATGTAAAGCTCCTTGAAGCCAGAGAATGTCATGCTTTTGGTATCGCTTACTGCACAGCTTGATATCTGGCACCTATAAGTGCTTAATAAATGCCTTTAAATTTATTCATCATCCAATTTTTGCCTGGTGGGTGAATTCAATCCCATTCAGCTAGTACCTGCTGAGTTATTGCTTAGCTCTATGGAGGACATAAAGTACAAGATATGGTCCTTGCCCTTACCAGAGAGATGGGATATAGAAACATGAAACTATCAGACACAAAACCAAGAGGGGAAAAATAAAAAAGTATGCACTTAAGTGCTAAATTGAATAAAATCAAGTATAATAATTAATAGTTTTATGGAAGCTTCAAAGTTTGCACAGAACTATACATATATTATTGAATTTGATCCTCACAGTAACCCTGTGAGCTAAGTGCTATTCTTATCCTCATTTTACAGAGGAGGAACTGAGGCACCAAGAAGTTAAAACATGATTTGCCTCAGGTCTCACACCTTACAAGTGTCTGATGCAGGATTCAAATGAATGAGATGAAGTGCATATTGGAAAGAGACTGGTTTAAGATGAATTCAGTGTTTGGTATAGTTTGAAAAGACAAAAGATGTCTAAATGGAAATGTCCAACAGGCGGATGGATACATGGGAATAGAAGCTGGATGAAAGACAGATATATTTGTTCAAAAAATGAAAGCAGTATCAGTATCCAGAGAAAGCACTGACTGATCCTTGAGGAATAATCAGTTTATGAGACAAAAAGAGCCAGTGAATAAGGCAACAAGGGATCAGTCAGTGAGGTAGGAAGAAAACTAAGATGGTAAATCATTATAAAAGCAAAAGATGGAAAGAATTTTAATAAGAGAGAGTGCTCAACTTTATCAAATGTTGCTGAGGAGAAATAAGAGCAATTGGAATTTGGGGAGATGATCATTAGTAACAGCAGTTTTAGCAGCCATACTAAGCACAGAAGCCAGATTTTCAGAGGGTTGGAAGAGAAGAAAATGGAATAAGCCAGTAAAAGATTATTCATTCAAGAGGTTTAGCTGTAAAAGAAAGAAGATGGAAGGGGTAGTAAGACTAAATTATTTTATTTAACCCTGCATAGAAGACAAAGGAATAAGGAAAGGAGTTTGTTGAGGAGTTAAGATTGAAATGCTAGATCAAAATTAGTAAGGGATGGAGACAAATCAACCCCGAGTTAGAAGCAATTATGATCAAGTACAGATTTAGGGAAGAAAGAAGATTTTTTTTCTTGAGACTGGAGAAAAAGATGAGAGATGAAAAGACTTATGTTAAAGTGAATATGAAGGTATGAGGGAGCCATATTGGATAGCCTCAATCTACTCAGTGAAGTAGAAGGTAGGTAGAATTGGGAAATGAGAAGAAGGCTAGAACAGGTTATTGTGGGAGTATGCTAGGAAGTCACTAGTATTGCGAAGCAGAGTTGAAGGTTAGGATCACAAATTAGAGCATAACTCTGAGGTCATCTAGGTTGACCCTGTTATTTTACAAATAAGGCAAAGAGAAATTAAGTGGCTTGCTCAAAGTTACACAGGTAACAAGTGACAGAGCTAGTGTTTGAAACAGGTCTAGTTTTTCTACTATAGCATGCCATCTGGTTGTACCCCATGAATGATCACTCTGAAGCTTTGGAAAAGGAAGTTTGGCAGAAATTAGGTTTGATTGGCCTCCTGAACCATATACCACAATATGCTCCAATGAATATATGACAAAAATATAAAAAGTCACATCATTGAAAAAAATTAGAGAAAAATAGAAGTACTTTGCAAATCTATGGTTTAGAATTCTTTCACTAAATAAGGCATAGGAGTGATCATAAAATATAAAATAAATAGCTTTGATTACACAAAACTGGAAAAGACCTGCAGAAACAACATTAACACAGCTAGGATAAATGGAGGGGGAGGTAATAGTTAGGAAAGCATTGAGATAGCTGCCCCAACAATGTAGTGTAGGCAGGAGGAAAGTTCTGGTGCTGATGGTGGGGAGAGGAGATGAACAAATGAATGGACTAGTGGATGGAAGAAGAGTGGCATCCGTCATGTCTGAGCAAATGATCCTTTGTAGTCCCTTCTTACAATATAGTCTTTCCATAAAAGATGGCATATATATGTATAAATATTACAGAATTAGGCAAGTCATTAATCAATGGTTTCCCCTTTCTTCCCCCTTCCCAAGTTTCTATCCCTTTTATCCAAGTTATGGTATTGATTAATCAGCTGCAGAGGAGAAAAGGAAGATTTCAAGAAGGGGCAGAAAAGAAGCATCCATTGGTAAATATGATATATCACAATTCAGAAAAGAAGGGTTTTTCAGGAAATATGAGCTGTTAGAAATAATGAGGAGAAAGTGACCTTTTATATATATAGAAGGTACAACAGAGGCAGTTTTAGAGGAAAGCTGATGTTAGTCCCAAATACTGGGCACTAAGAAATGACCTTTCAGTCCAAGGAAATGAAGCTGATAGTGGGAGTACCTGGTCACTGTCCCTCTCAGAGTCAGGAAAATACTCCCAATTTAGTCTCTTGGAGAGAAGGCTTGATGCCACTAATGAAGTCAGTATGTCTTTCAAAGATTTGGTTCAAATCTCAGTTCTATCACTACCTGTGCAATCTTGAGCACACTCTCAAATCTTTCTGGGCCTCAGTTACCTTATGTATAAAATGCACTAGATAATGTATAAAGTTCCTTCCAGCTCTAAATCTTATGACCCTTAACAAATGAGGCAGGGCCAACTACTTAAGAGCCAAAGTCACGAGTGTGCACTACTGAGGGATAAGTTAAAAGAAGGGGCTGGAAGGAAAAAAGGTAAAACAGAAAGAGTCTGTTTGGTGGTTGAAGGACAAGGTTAAAAAGGCAGTGAAAAGAACAATGAATTTGGAGTCAGAGGGCCTGAGCTCAAAGCCTGCCTCTGATGCTGGGGACGTATATAACCGTGGGCGAATTGACCTCTCTGGGCCTCAGTCTACTCCTCTGCAAATTGAGGCAGTACCAGACGGCCTCTTTAAGTCTCCGCTCTAAATTTATGGCCCTAAATTTCAGATCTGCGCATGAGAGGACGGGGAAGAGAGACGCACACAAACCCAGCCGGGAGCTAGCCAGGGAGCAATGTGAGGAAGGGAGCAGGCTGGAGGCTGGAGGCGCGGCCCTGCCGCCCCTGGCCCGACGCGGAGTTCAGGATCAGGCCTCTCGAAGCCCCCCAAGCCGGGCTCTGCCCCAGTTTCCCATCACCGCTCGCGCCCAGCCTCGGGGTTGTCAGTGTCCTATAGCCCTGGGGGAAACGTCTCGCTCTTTGGTGCTCTGCCTCTCAGGGTTGGAGCAGTCAAATCCCGTCCCACTGCTTCCCAGCAAGGCTTAGAGGCTCCCACCTTCACTTTGATCAGCATCTTCCCCCTGTAGCCAAGCCTCTTGTGGATGAATCGCTACTGCTGCCGCCGCCGCTGCCTCCGCTCTCCAGCACTCCGCCTGCAGGAGACTTCCGCTTCCGGGTCACCGTTTGGATTCCAGGCCTTTGGAGCCCTCCGATCTGATTTCCTAGCATCAAATGTTCAGGAATTCCGTCCCTTTCTCTTAGCGACCAGGTGAACAAAAAGAGTCACCGGTTAGTTATGTCGGACTGGCTGCCTTCGAGGAACTGGAAATCTCCACAGCTCGAATTCTTCTGGCCAACGAACGGAGGACTACATTTCCCATCATACCCTGCGACAGTTCGTCCAGGCCCGCTCCACCTCTGGAGGTTGTAGTTTTTCCTACCATAGGTCTAACGTCTACCCGAGTTGGTGGACTCGGTTTCCCAGAAGTCCACCCGAGACTCCCCTTAAGGCCTGAGTTTCTAAGGGAGTCGCCCTCGCCAGCTGAAACTGAAAGACCCTGAAGGGAGATGCGCGTGGCCTGTTGCTAAGCTAGTGGAACTCGGGTCAACTGCTAAGGTGGGTGCCGCACCCGGAAGTAGGTCCCTCTATTCCGGAAGTTGCCCTCCTCCTCTGTCATGTTTCTCACCTCTAAATTTTTCTGCTTCGGTTTGAGGGTTACAGGGAGAAAAGGAGGAGGGATAATGTGGGAGAGGTGAGCTCGGTCTGCATAAGCCACGCGTCCCCTGTCATCTCCTTCACCAATAAATACTTTAGTATGCAGATCCCTTAAGTAATAAACGGTAAGGTCAGAGGTTACAGAAGGGCGAGGACTATGGTGTGACTTTTCAGGGACTTCGATAATTGAGCTGTGATGTTGCAGCCCGAGCAAAGCCGTGGGACTATGAGATTGAGGATGCCCTGGCCCACCACACCAGGGCACCCCCTCACACGTTCAGTCGCCTCCCTTCTGACCTTCAGGTACCTGTTTACAGCCACGATCCCACCATGCCTCACATAGATGATGACGTGAAGCTCGACTTCAAGGATGTCCTGCTGAGGCCCAAGCGAAGCACCCTTAAGTCCCGCAGTGAGGTGAGGCTGGGGCTACTCCATACTATTCTCTATTCTACCTTAGAAAAACAGTTTTACCTAGTGGGAAGTGTTGGTTGTGGAATTTGGAAAAAGCAAGTTCAAATGCAAGTCACCTGACCTTTTTTCATATATATATTATTATATGTGCATGAAAATATACATATGTTATATACCATGTACCTAGCAGGATTTAAAGTTGTACATTTTAAAGCACTATTATTTTAAATAGCTATTATTACAACCTCTCTTCTTCCCCCTTCCACTGTGTAGGTGGATCTCACAAGGTCCTTTGTATTCCGGAATTCAAAGCAGATGTACACAGGGATCCCCATCATTGCTGCCAACATGGATACTGTTGGCACCTTTGAGATGGCCAAGGTGCTTTGTAAGGTAGGGTGCAATTTATTCCCTTCCAGAAGTGATATCCAATGACCCCACGCTGTCCAGAATTTCCCTGTCCAAAGTCAGCTTTATACCATGGGCAGTCAGCCCTGCCTTTGGACAAGAGTAGACAGAGATGCACATTTGACATCTTTAAGGAGTTTTTAATTATTTTAGTTTTAGAACCATATAATCTCTTAACCCACCCACAAAATGTGCAGGTTTTTTTCCCCTTTTCTCCCACCCTTAACATAAATACAGGCATGCCACAAATAGAATTGTTCTTAACGTCATTTCACAATAACACTGTGAATAACATTATGACCAAACCCCATTGTAAAGTCACAAAACACTGTTGTACTAGATTTCTCCGGTTAAGTCACTCATTTATTTATGAGATTGCTTTTATGGAATTAACTACTAGAACAATTTGTATGCCTGATGTAGTCTCCCTTAAGGAACCTCTTCATTTTTGCCTGTCTCCCCGACACCTGAAACTTAGGAGGAATTTCACTAGAACAATTAATAACATTAGTATATACCTCTGTGGATAAAAGCACACCCCTCTACCTATGCCAATGTCCAGGCATACCTCCTCCCTTCTTTCATATGTCATAATTGTAGCAGAACCATAACTCTTTAAAAGTATAGCGAGATCACTAACAAACAACTTATTAACTAAAATAGTAATAAGTTTTGGGCAGTGGGACCTGGTGTTAATTTTTGTATTGCATCCAATATGGCATGTTTTTTTATGTACACAGTATCTTATTGAACGTCCTATTTGAAGATTTTGCTGCTGACAATTTTACAACCAAATGCAGCCGGGAAGATAGATGAGTGAACTTTTCTACCCTGGGCCTATACTATATTCCATTGGTTAGTGGCTGTCTCCATCAATGGATCTGTCTGTTGGCATGCTTTTTTATTGCTGTAATCCTTTATAGCCTACTTTCATTTCTTGAAAGAACATGGCTTTGCTGTGTTTAAGATTTTTGCTCAATATGTCCTCAAGAAGAATAGCCTCCGAGTCAAGGGTCAGGAACATGTGGGTTTAAGTCCCACCCCTGAAATACGGTAGCTTTGTGACCCTGGGCAAGTCACTGGACACAATTAGTTAAATTAGTTCCTCCCTACCCCCCGCTCTAAGACCGTAACTTGCAGAGCTGGTAGCAGGAACCTGCCTGTCTGCATTGGTAGAGGGAGTTTCCTCACCAAGAGTTCCTTGCCTCTTGTGTCTAAGCTGCAGCTTGCCATCAGTTAATGTTTGGAAGTTGTGCTGTTGTCCATTTTCCATATACCCTTCTCTAGTGTGCCTTCTCCAGCACAGCTGGTTTGTGATGAGCATGATTTCAGTGCTAATGAATTGGCTGCATTGTCACAGTTTGTCACGCTGTATGATTTCTAAGATAGTTTGTAGATGATTCTGAGGAGTGCTAACGAAACCAGATAAAATAGTGTGCTACTTACAAGTCTCACAGCTATAAGGTAACAAAGTTTGAACACATTTAGCAGTTGTACGTACTGTTAAACCTCTTTGTGTTTAGTCTGATGCAGCATTCTGCCAACATTTCCTAAAGGTAATCTTCATTTCCTGAACCCTGGTTTCTTGGTTTGTCAGCATATTGTTTGGGATTATGTGGCTTAAGAGTGAACTACATTGCCATCTTTTAGCTCATATTGCTTCTTAAGATCTTTAGTCAGGTAAAGGTTTTGTTGGTGCAGGCTGGTACCTGACTTCTTCAAACATGATGACTTAACATTGAGTTAACTTTGCCAACCACCTTTTCTTGCATGTTCAAATGGATGAACTTATAACAGTCATGGGCCACAACTACTGGAAGCCTTTCAGTTTCTGAACTAAGGAACAAGGGATTTGGCTTGAAGGCTCATCATTATGTCCTTGAATATGAATGTACTTGAATATGAATGTACATAGATATTTAAGAAAACAGATCATCAGTTTATCAGAAAACAAAAAAATCTGCCCTTCTCCATTTCAGTGGTTATAGAGGATGTTATCAATGCCCTACTATTGTCAGATAGCACCTTAAGGGTGTAAGGCAACTTCTTTGGGCAGCCAGTTACTGAAATGTTGCCATTCACTAGACACAAAGACTATAGGGAAACATGTCAACTTAGCACTATTGGCCTTATAAAATGTCGAGGCACCTAGACTCTCATAGCAAGTACCTTACCTCCACCATTCTAGTTGGTGCCTGCAAATTCAAGAGCCCAGCATCTTCACTGTTCATCTTTTGTGGCCCTGTGCCAGGATAAGCACTCCTGGAGTCCCTGCCAGCCTCACAGGAGGAAGGACAGTCTCTTGGTCCTGCCTGCATATCCACTGCCTGTCACACTGCACCAACTGCTCATTACCATATTAACTCCCTATTAGCATTGAAGCAGGATCAGAGTAGATGCCAGCAGATGGGATCCTAAACAGGCAGACAGGAAGTTACAAAACACAGTTACTTATGGTTACAATCCTTGGTGTGAGGTCTGTGGTGGACAGAGGATTGGATTGTTAACTACAACTTCAAGCTCAGCTGACTACTCAGTTGCTTCTCCACTGCAAACCAAAAGGGGATAATTGCATAAGGACTGAAAGGAGAAAATTTTTATAAGGTTAAAATCATTCTGCTATGTTTGCTTCTCCTCAGTTCTCTCTGTTCACGGCCATCCACAAACACTACAGTCTTGAGCAATGGAAGGAATTTGCTAGTCAGAATCCTGACTGTCTAGAGGTAATGTGGGACCCTATCCTGTTCTATCCCCACCCCCACCAGCCATATAAAGAATCTGCTTTGTCTTCAGGGATCCAGCCCCATCACTTCCAACTTTGCCTGCTTTCCCCTAGCTATATCTCTGATCCTTTCTCTTGGTCAATTATCCATAATATGGTTCCCACCCATCAGATCAGAGATTTAATGGCCTTTTTTTTTTGTCTGTCCTTTGATAATCTGGTGACAGCTATAATCCTCTTCTTAGAATACAGTTTGTTACTTACAGTCATAAATGAAGGAAATGCTGTTTCAGTTGGAGGTTGGTGAAAATAAAGATGTAATTTTTACCATAAGGTCCCCTTGTAGGGGTCTGCAGAACTTGTAAAAATCCCTGCTTCAGATGCTGATGACTGTTTCTTCTTTAGCATGTGGCTGCCAGCTCAGGAACAGGCCCTTCAGACTTTGAGCAACTACAACAAGTCCTTGAAGCAATTCCCCAGGTGAAATACATCTGCTTGGATGTGGCCAATGGCTACTCAGAGCATTTTGTTGAATTCCTGAAGGATGTTAGAAAACGCTTCCCGCAGCACACTATTATGGTATGTCCTTGCTTTGACACACATTTTGGCAAATCCTGGCTTGCCTTCACCCCATCTTACCTGTTCCCCTCACAGAATTATAGGGTTTATAACTGGGGAAACCACAAAGATTATCTAGTCAAACCCCTCCATTTCACAAATGAGAAAACTGAGGCACAAAAGAGCTAAATACTTTGCCACAGCTCCTCCTGCATTAGAGAATTTCTGCCCTCCGACTACATCTATCCCATCTCATCTTATACTACTGACTCTTAACTGTATTCTAGTGCCCCATATACAGGGTGACCCAAAAGGCTAAAGCTGCATCCTGATTTTGGAGCCACCCTGTATTTCTTGGTTGATACAGCATGCCTGACACTCAGCCCTTGAGACGGTCTTGGCCTTTGTAAACCAACTGTCTGAAACAGCATTTTGCAAACCATTATGGAATCCTTTGCACCTGTGATACATAATGGTCTGCTTCCTGAGGCTCAGGTGTGCCATGGACACATAAAAGGAGGCACGTGGAACATATGATAGTTGATTCTTGCATACTGTGGCTAATTTCCTTTTTATAGACAGTATTTTAAAACTATATACAAGAGAATTCTGCAAGGTGAATGGCTGCCTTGCTTCATCATCCGGTAAAGACTTGACAGATTTCAGGAAATCAGGTTAGAGTAGAGTTGTGTCCACTGTGAGGTAGCCACCTACTCAAATCCAAGAGGTGGCCCCAGAGGTGGACTCTAGCTTCTTGGACCAGTCCATTTTCCTCCTCACTGAATTGTCCTCCATGTCATACCACACATTCCAGCTGATCTTGGTATTGTGGGGAGGCAGTTCACTAAGGTGGATTCTAGGCTTTAACCCTAGTACAATGGTGCCACACCAATTACCAAGACTAGTTAATGCATATGAATCAGAACTTGCTTAATACAAGTGAAATTGGTATTGATATGGCAAGAATATAAACAGAGAGGACACTGGGAAATGCCTGCTGGGCAAAGGAAACTGAAATGTATTCTTAGGGACCTTTCATTGCTAGAACTGCCACAATGTTGCCTTAAGCACAATCAAAGATACATTTTAGCTCTTCCTTAAAACATCCTAGTTCACCATGGGAAACACAGTTCACCCTTTCAAACCCCAAGCCTTGTTTTACTATACCATTTTCCTTGCTCTCTGCCCCTCAGGCTGGGAATGTGGTGACAGGGGAGATGGTGGAGGAGCTGATCCTGTCTGGGGCTGACATTATCAAAGTAGGAATTGGATCAGGTAAGCTCTGGCCTCACCCTGTCAACAATACAAAAAGCAATTTAGCCCAATTGCTCTTCCTGTGGTTTTAGACACCTTTCTCCCTGCCCCTGTCTATAGGCTCTGTGTGCACCACACGAAAGAAGACAGGGGTGGGCTACCCACAGCTCAGTGCTGTGATGGAATGTGCTGATGCTGCCCACGGCCTCAAAGGTCACATCATTTCTGTAAGTTATAGGGGAAGGAAGAGGGAACTAAGAGTCAAAACACATACATTTTCTTGTATCTGGGAATAAATGTCCAAGAACTTGGAGAATAGTGAGCCAAGACTCTTCAGTTCCTCCCCAATTTAACTGTCAAAGGGAAATTTAGTAGCTGTATGGAAAAAGAGGCCTAGGGGAAAAAAGATCAGGGTCTGGACTATTCTGAGCTACCATCTTCTGACTAGAGCTCTTCCCCACAGGATGGAGGTTGCAGTTGTCCTGGAGATGTGGCTAAGGCTTTTGGTAAGTAGTTGGGCTGGGGCAGTAGAAGGACGACTGTTTACAGTCAAGTGATGTGTCATTACTGAGGCTCCAGGTCAGGCCCAGAAAGGCTTTGGGAAGCAATTTAATTTAACATATTCCATTTAGATCCTGCTGAGTCTTCTTTAAGCCTATGGTAAGAACCAAGGCCCTCCCACCCTAATGCCTATTTAATTAGCAGTGCTAAACTGGAGAGGCAGCACGAGAGAGTGAAGACAGCACTTGATTTGCAATTAAGAAGTAGGATGCTATCCCAGCTCTGCTACTTACTATGCTGTGACCTTGGGAAGGTTGGTCAACTTCTCTAGGTCTGTTTCTTCTTCTGTAAAGGAAGGAATTGTAGTGATTACCTTTAAGGTTCCTTCCAGCTCTAAAGTCCTATGATTTGACAAAGCTCCAACAGCCCTTAAGGAAGGGAATGATTAACTGGAAGCAGAGAAGAAAAATGTCCAGGAGGTGGAAGCAACAGCAAGAGGGTGATTTTTGGCTTCTGAGTCAGACTGAGAGCTATTGTGTCACTTCCAAAGCCTGGGGCTAAACATAAGAGTAATAATCAAGGGGCCAAAGCAGAGTAGCCTTCCTCAGCTTTTAGGGATTCTGGCTCCTGTCAAGAAAAGGGTCCCAACTATATTTAGGCCTGAGTGAAATTTGGTGTTCAGTGGGAATCACTTCTGTAGGGAATAGATGCCTGAATCAGACACAGCTCTTTTCTTTTTCCCCAATGCTGACAGGAGCAGGTGCTGACTTTGTCATGTTGGGTGGCATGCTGGCTGGTCACACCGAGTCTGGTGGTGAACTGATCAAGAGAGATAGCAAAAAATACAAACTTTTCTACGGTATGAGCTCTGAGGTAGCCATGAAGAAGTATGCTGGAGGTGTTGCTGAGTACAGGTATGACAGCAGATAAGGCATACAGACATATTCAAGAACCGGCACTAGGATGTTGCTGAATGGCTCTTTAGGATACAACTGAGAGGGAGAGGAAAGTCAGTTTTAAAGAAGGGCCAGTGCCTAACAGGAGCAGACAGTGCATGTATGAGAGGAAAGTGGGGAAAGGAGACTAGGGGGTCTATGGCTGAGTGATTAGCAAGGAAGAGTGCTAGGAGCAGAAGAGTAGAAGTTATAATAAACTCTTCTGTTCCAGGGCCTCAGAAGGAAAAACAGTAGAGGTGCCCTTCAAAGGTGAGGTAGAACATACAATCCGAGACATCCTGGGAGGGATCCGTTCCACATGCACTTACGTTGGGGCAGCCAAGCTAAAGGAGCTCAGCCGACGCACTACTTTCATCCGGGTCACCCAGCAGGTGAACCCCATCTTCAGCGATGACAGCTAAGGGCCTGAGCAACACTGCCTGCAATGGCACCAGCATCCCAAGCAGGGGTGGTGTGGAGAACCCTAGGGCTTTCCAGCCAACATGGATTATCTGGATCAGTGATTTGTTGTTATTTTCTGGTCCCCTGAGGGCCTTTTAAGGCCTCCATACTTCATTATTCACACACAAATGCTCAGGCCAGTGGGCCCGACACTTACTGGGGAGGAGGCAGGGAGGTAGAAGAGGGTTATCAAATAAATATTGAGTCTGGAGTCAAGTTATAAACACACTATGCTGAGATTTCCTGTATGCAAAGCAAGGTCAGGAGAGAATTCAAAGCTTGAGCTACATCACCCACATAATATCACTTTGCTTAGAAGTATCTACCTGAAAAAACTCATCGATTTGAATCTCATTGTTTGTTTACCATATTGCATTAAAGTATGGCCCTGGGTGAAAAGACCCAAGAAGCAGTATGTGCAAACCAAAACTACCCTTAGGGAAGGGAATCACATATCTTTAGAGGAGTTTTGGAGCTTTGGGCCCCTTTTGAAAGGCAAAGGCTCACACAGAGTCAAAGAGGTGTACAAATGTACTGCTAAAGACAGGGAAAGCTGGATTTCTCCAGAGGACATTGGAACATTTGCTCAATTAACTGGGCTACACATTTTCAGGATGGTCAGGAACCTGGTAGAGTGAACAAACACACTTCATTTGGAGTTATGGGCAGGAGCAGAGTTTCAAGGCTAACTGCTCTTTCCTGTTGTGACTTAGTGTAAATAATTTAACCTTCCTGGCTTCAGTTTCCTCATCTGTAAAACCAAGGGAGTTAGACCGAGATTATCTTTTAGGTGGTGTCTACATCTTGAGTCTATTGTCCCACATGTTCCATAGTACCTAGCTCCGTTTCATTCTTATTTGTGATGACAGCGACATTACCCCCAGTATTACATTAGATTATCCAGGGTAGCATGAGAGTACATATCTGGTACTTTGATTTGCAAATGAAAATCATGTACAGTAGGATCCAACATCTCTGAGGTTGCCTCTTCTAGGCTTCTCAACCTCTTTGGGCCCCAAGCCAGTCATAAATTCCTAAGGAAAGGCAAGAATCAAGGTATTCTTCCTATTCCTGGACCAGGTGAAAGGAACTTGAGTTTATTTGAGACATTGTACAGACAGCATATGGCACCCTTAGCCTGCCTTACCTCATAGCCAAGACAACATTTCAGAAGATTCAAAATTTAATCACTGGCTGTTACAAAAAAACAAAACAAGAAAGGTATGATAATGTGGTAAGGTAAGCCCAATCATGTGTCCCAAAATAAAGGGACCTAAGCCCCCAGGGCAAGCCAAATCTGCTCAGTCCATTTTCCAATTCTCTACCACCTACGGGGTGGTGAAATTCCACCATAGCCACATCAAAGAGACCTAAGCCACTGGGTCTTAATGGGGCCAGTTTGGCCACAGGACGGGGCCTGGGCAAGTACAGAACTTTGCTCAACAGGGGAGAGGTATTCGCAGAAGGTGGGGATCAGGGTGCCAAACTTCGTCTTCTGATAGTTTTCAAGAAACTTCTGCAGAGAGGGGATTATGGAGGTCCGGTCATCCTCAGTCATTTACTAAGCACCACACAGATACTATCAATATGCTGTCACTTTCTGGCTTGACCTTCCCTCCCAAGCTCCCTGCCCCTTCCCACTCACCTTCCCTCCCCTCTGGCCATTCCCTTCATCATCAGAGTCCAGAACCAAGTCCCCTATGGTAACCACAGGGCTGCACAGAGATGGGGAACACACTGTAGGAGGGAAACCAAAATCAAACCTGTTCCTTACTGAGGTAAACAGAGAGACCTTTGGCATCCCCAAAGATTTCAAGTTGTTCTCAGGAAGGAGGCATTCCCTTTCCCAACCCCCAGCTCAAAGCAGGGTACACCTACCTGGCTCCCTGGCCCCAACAGCAGGTAATGGCAGCCTCAAGGGCTCCAGGGAGTAATCCAGGCAGTTCCTGGGGTGAAGGGGTATAAAGGAAAAAAGAAAGAGTGAGATGGAGGAGTGGAAGGCAAGGGAGAGAGAGAGGAGCAATCTAGTGTGGGAAGGGACAACACTTCTTGACTCACTCCTTCTGCTCTGAGGAGGGCTCATCAGAATTCCAGTTCCCCTGCTCCTGAGCCTTCCCTCTCAGGGAACGAGCTGAATTTCTGTGCTTTCCATGAGGGATTGACCTTGTGGCCATGGTGCCTGCTGGATCTGCCACGGGCTGCCCACGTTCTTTACTGTTCTCATGCGTAATTACATCCTGGACTGGTAGGCACATACTTCGGAATGGGAAAAGCATGACAGTGGGCCGATTCTTATGACCTCCCCTGGCAGATGCACAATTTGCCTGGATTTGCCGGCGGCCTAGAGGGGCCAGGTTGAAGTCCCGACCAGTGAGGGCCTCTGGGGGTTTCCTCAAATCCTGCCCCTGGGGAAAGGGAGTGCTGGATTTGGTTGTGGGAACAGGATCCTGGAATACTTGTTCCAGCTGGGGAGAAGGTACAAGACTCTGCTCTTGGGGTTCTGCCCCCCTCACTGAAGTAAAAAGAGGGGACTCTGAAAGAGAAAAGGAGGATTCTTATGCAGGGCAGTACACAAAAGACCATCATATAGTTTCTGTCCACTTTGAGCCAACCCCTTATCTGGGCCATCTCAATCCATTAATACTAACTGAACTTTTCCCAAAGGTCCCACCACAAAACACCATCTTGCTGGATTATTGCTCCAGCTGGCATCATACCTTGAAGTAGCCACCCCATGTCCATGCAATACTGAGTCAGGGCAAGGGGAAGGGGGACCAAAGTTTCAGATTGCATCCCTCTTAATGCTTCCTTAAGCTGTAAGGAAAGAGTAGAGAAAGAACATTAAGATAACATCAGAAAGTCCAAGAACTCTACACTTCTTGATCTCCTTTTGCCAATTTCCCCTCTCCTCCCCTAAAATAAAATACCTCTTGCAATTGTAACATAGGTAGTGTCTTTTCCAATTGGCACAGGTATTCAAATAATAACTTCTCCAGGGCAACTAAGAAAGGTTCTCCATATTCTTGTTCCAGTTCCTAAAAGAAGGAACAAGTCAGACAAAAGTTGAAATGTGTGGAGCTTGCCCAGTTAACTTCCAACAACGCCCATCTTCTCACCTGCAGCTGAATGGCAAAGTCTTCAGGATCCTTTGCCAGCTGTTTCACTCGTTGGCAAAAAGCCTCATGTGCCTCCATAACCTTCAGATCCCGCATAGTCTGCTGGGTTTGGGGAGTATAGAGATCAACCAAGTTAGAGGCACCAGAGTTGGGGGGTTGGGAGGGTGGTTAGGGGAAACCCACTTAGTATTAATGGCTTGATCCAGTGGGACAAAAAGAACTACACAGTGTCCGAAGACTTAATAACTAAGCCGGAGGATTCACTTACCCCCTTGGAGCCGCACTCGAGTGGGCCGGACTCTGGGAAATGATGGTTTAGGGCATCCAGAACCAGGGACCAGGGTTGGCCCTCCAAGATCATCTCCACAACCACCTATGAGGAATACACCGTCCTGTGCAAGATCCCCAAATTCCAACTTCTACCTCTCCATCCCACGGGTACCTCCTTCCTGGCCTAGCCCCGTGGCTGTCAGTGTTCTCATCCCAATGTCCAGGTAGGCCCAGAATCCCTTCCCAGGTACCTTGGCCCGCAACCCCAGGCAGAGCCGCGCGTGGTGCCGGGGCCGGACCAGCCCCGGAGCGGCGGCCTTCAGGGCTCCCAGCAGCTGCAGCACTCGGGGGTAGTGCGCCGGGAGGCGCCTCCGTACCACCCACCAGGCAGCGGCCGCAGCTAATCGCAGCGAGGCAGCGGCAGCGCCGGCTTCCAAGGGAGCGGACATCACCCGCTCGGCTCGGCCCGGCCCGGCAGCGTTTTCCCTTAGGCAGAGGGGTCCCGGAGCCTGCCCATTGAGTGGCGGGGTTCCTAAGCACTCCCCGTCCCTCCCCCGCTCCGAAGGTGCAGAGGAGCTTCCCGGTGCCTTGCGGCTGGGGGTGGGGGATGGAGAGAGGAAGGTCCCTCAAGTCCTGCCGCCTGTGTGTGCCCAATTTCTTCCAGGGGATCTGCTCCAAACTGTGGGCCGACACCCCGAAAGGGATGGAGAGTAGGATCAGAACAAGGGGAAGTGCCCAAGCGCCATAACAACTTCCAACGTCCAGCCAGCCAGGTACGCGCGACGACAGAAGAAACTTCTACCTGCCGACTTCAGTGTGTCACTTCCGGCTCTGGCCCCAGTTCCGCCTTGGCGACGTAAAGACGTCGAGAAAAAGCAAACCAATTGGCTGCAAGGGAATGCAGAGACGTCATGCTCACTACCTACGTCACCCGATGGCCCCCCGAAAGACTCAACCCCACAGTTCTTCTGTGATAGGATTTCCAAGTCGCCCGAAAGAACTTTTGTGCGGATGATCACTGAGCGTGGCTCTCCCCTTCCATGGCTTTTTCTTCCTTCTTATTCCGCACACTCTTGGATTTTTTCTGGTCCACGAGTGACTCTCTTCAAGCCAGGGTATCTTCATCTGTTTTTGTCATGGTACCTCAACAGCCTAGTGAAGCTTGTAGACCCCTTCTCAAAATAATGTTTTTAACTAATGGAAGAAAATGCTAAATTTCAGTTAGAGGCTAGTAAAAATAAAGGCAATTTTTCTTTCCCATCCAAGTTCACAGGTACATTCCTCCCCCCCAGCACAGACCCACCGAATTAATAGCCTCTGATTTAGATTTGTGTATTCATAGAATGCCAGAGCTGAAAGGAGGGACCTTAAAGATACTCTATTCTGGTACTGAGGTAATCTAGGATTTTTAAAGCATATAGCTGCAGAATTGGAGCCTTGGCAAGGTTCCACAAAACTAGAAAGGTGAGATTATATATACATATACATACACACACATATATACATATATATATACATAAATTCAGAGATTCATGAGGAGATGAATTTTTTTCAGGGGGATGGGGGCCGAGGAGAGGGACATAGTGAATAATTCAGACTCTCTACGGCCATGGAAGGGTTTTGGTCTGTGTCAGGGTTGAAGGAGTGCCCAACCTGACGAAATCATAGCTTTTCTGAAGTATTGCAGTGCCTCTCTAAATTCTCTGGGACCAAAAGTGACAGGAGCAGCTTCTGTCCACTTCCATCCTGGAGACCTCAGAATGGCCCAGGAATCTACTGTAACCTAGAGGTTCAGCCAGAACTTTGTGAGTGGTGTAAAACAGTTTTCATCTGAACTCAGCAGATTTGCTTTGGAACTAGATGCCAGTCCCAAAATAGAGGGGCCAGATTTTCAGCTCAAGAAAGAAACAAAACAAAACAGGATAGCATATTGTCTTAAGACATTGGATCCTAACCACAGGTCAAGAATCAAATGGGTGGCTCTGAGAGTCTACAGATTAATCTGGAAGGATTCTTTAAAAGGTTGAAAAGAAAATTGACTGCATCTCGTTGGAAAACTTACTAGATTGCAGAATCCATCCCCCTGTTCCTTTCCCTTCCAGTGGAAAACAATTAAAATGTGAGCTGGAACAGGGTCAGTGGTGGCTGGAAATCAGAGCGGGAAGGGAAGAGGCTATAGAGTTCAACCAAATGCCTGAGCAGCAAACATCTCTACTACATGTTCAGGTAGTTATCTAGCTTCCACATGAAGACATCCAGTGAAGGAAAGCTGACTGTCTCCTGAGACAGCTCATTTTTGGAACAACTCAACTTGTTAATTTTTTTCCCCCTTCTTTACATTAAGCCTAAACCTCTGCTCTGCAACTTATATCCTATTACTGCCCCTATTTACGCCCTCTGGGGATCAACAGAACAAATCTTCCCACTCTGTTACATGCCAACCTTTCAAATAATTGAAGACAGTTATGTCTCCAAAGTTCTCCAAACTTGTAGGATTTGAATTAAGAAAAAGCCCTAAAATACAGTAATAAGTGAAAAGCCATGAAAACTTAAACTGTGAAAGGTGGAAGCCTGAACGTGGTGACCTGTTTACAAATCATATCTTAGATAGTAAATCATAACTTTAGACACTGAATCAAAACTTAAGATACTATGACCTATGAAAGCCAAAATAAGACTATTGTGACTGGGGCATGATCAATACTCAAACATATTTGGGCATAACATTAGCTTAACTCCTGAGGTCATTACTAAGCAGAAAATAAAAAATATTCACCAATCAGTGGTGATGTACTCTAGCTCCTCCTACTTTTGTCTGTTTTCTATAATTACCGCAGGGATTTTGGGGTTCTTCAGTGGGGATCCACAAAACCGTCTGGCTGTCACCCCAGATTGAAGATTGCCCCTGTTTGTAAGTATTCATAATGATTGATTCAACTGCTACCTACAATCAATATGGAACTACTTGGCCTCTTCCTTTGGTATTAAAAAGAACACCCCATGGTTATGGGGAGGCACAGTGTTCCACAGCCAGGGGAATTCCAGACCTTACAAAATTAAGCACCATCTCCCTAACCTGGTCCTCATCTCATTGTTTTTAGAATTCTCATCATCTTGGTCACCCATCTGTGTACACACTCTAGCATATCAATGTTCTTCCTATAATGTGGCATCCACAACCTTCCTTTGATTGACCTTACTCTTAGAAACTGTCATCTTTACTGAACTCTTCGTTACTGTTTTCCCTTCTGTTCTCTCATCTGTTCCCTCTTTTCCAATTTCAAAGTCACACCACTAGAGTTGAGGCAGGTTTTCATCCAATTCTATGAACTTATTTTCAAGTTATCATGAAAATATGATACTAGCTACCAACTGGGACCCTTGGATTGTTGTTCTTAAGTGAGGTCTTCCTTAGACCTACAAAGATAGCTTGTGTTATTCAGTAAGGCAATTTAATTAGTTGCATGTGATATATGTAATGGCCAGCAGGTGATGCTCTACTTTAACCATTAGTTACTAGTTATAATCTTGTTAGTTATTCTGGCACATGCCTGATAGCTCACCCTTTTCCTAAGAGGCTACAATTCTTAGCTTGTACTTATATAGTACAGTACACCATTTCAGACTGCTAATAATGCCCAGGTTGTCCCTTCCATTAAGCAAGCCTACACTACAGCAGCCTGGATGCTAAAGCTTCTTTGGCAGGTTTTATATTTAATTTAATATATTAATATATTTAATATATGATACTTCAATGGTAAGTTTTATATTTAATTTTTCTCTTAAAATAATTAATATCTCCAGTTTTAACATCACTTTCTTTTCTGATTATATCCTTCCACCTTCCCTACCCCATATACAATCCTTTGTAACAATGTTTTTTTAAGGGGGGGGCCCAGTTCAGCAAATGAACTAACGTATAAACTAACTCTGATAATTTGTGTCCACAACGATAGTCACTTATCTCCACATGGAAGGGAAAGAAGTACGTTTTAAGCTTCCACCTTTTTTCCCCCAGGAATGAGATCTCCATACCACTTACCCTTTCATGACATCTTTATGCTATGCAGCTTAGCAAATATTGCCAACCTAGCTTTCTAGCTCTCCTTTATGTGTTATATTCCCCTATTAGAATATAAATTCCTTGAGGGTAAGGACTGTCTTACTTGCTTGTAGTTTCATTCCCAGAGAGTAGCACAGTTCTTGAGACATAGTAATAATATGCTTGTTAATTGCTGTCTTAATAAATGTTTAATAAATACTGTCTATCTCTGTCTCCATCTATTTGTCTCTGTGTCTGTGTCTTTGTTCTCCAGAGCCAAGCTTTGTGGTCATTATGCTTACACAGTGCCAAATTTAAGAAATAAAATTGAACATTGCTCAAACTAATAAAATATGATATCTGCTGACTATTCCTTGCTCAGAGCTCTACTTTCTCTAGGTTACACTGTCTCATTCCACTTCTCTCTGCATTCATGCATATGAACAGATACTTAAGCATGCTGTAATCACAAGAATTTATTATACAAAGAAAAAAAGTAAAAAGAAAATGAAATTAAACAATTTGGTTAGGAGACATTGCTTTCTAACCATCTTCTAGTTCTTTTCCTGTTGCTTTCCTAGGTCTTTGGGTGTATCGGGGGAATGCCAATCACATATAGAGCTCATGGAAAAGTAATAGGGGGCTTGATTTTTTTCCCTTGTGTACTTAAAAAACTCTTGATCCTTTAAAAAAAACTCATCTTTTTCTTTAAAAATTGTTTTTAGATATTGAATGAATTATTTAAATACTTATTCTTTCTGTGATAATTATGCTTGTTTGTTTACCTTCCTTGTGCTTCTGTTGCTGGGGGGGGGGGAGGTGTGCAATTTAAATATTTTGCTCAGGTGCTCAGGGTTTTTTTCCTCCAGAAATGCCCCCAGAAGTCTCTCTTTTGTTGAACATCAATCATGATTAGGCTCAGGTGGGTATATCATGTCATTGGGACAGAAGGGAGAGGTGGGGAGTTGTTGAGTTGTTCCTTAAACTCCTTTGTTTTGCATAATATATTATTATTATTCCATTCCCTTCCATGGCTTCTTCTGAGTGTAGAGTTTTCTTTGTATTACTTGAATTTCCTTTCCTTAAATATTTAAAGGTCTTTCTTTGCTTTTTTTTTTTTTTTTTTTTGGTGAGGCAATTGGAGTTAAGTGACTTGCCTAGAGTCACACAGCTAGTAAGTGTCAAGTGTCTGAGGCCATATTTGAATTCAGGTCCTCCTGACTCCAAGGCCAGAGCTGTATCCACTGTGCCAGCTAGCTGCCCCAAGGTCTTTCTTTCAGATGCTTACAGAATTCAGAATTGGTGGGGGGGGTGGGGGTGGGGTTGATCCTTTGTCTAGATTGCCTGAGGCTAGGGGCAGTCTGGCTTGAGATAAGCTCTTGAGATATGTCCATGAGTGACATAGTCAAAATCATGTCCACCAGCCCCTCATTAGAATAGGTCCACATCTTGTTATAATATTCATTCTTCTCATTAATACTAACCAATGAGTTGATTTCCACCCTCAGGAACACCCACTCTTCTAAGTTCATATAAGCTTTGGGTGGGTTTCATGAGGTATCTTTGGCATTTGAGAGTTCCACTGACCCCTTTTATTAATTATCCATTACCATAATTAATAAATGATTCATTTCCCAGAAACTATGACTCACGAACTTTTTATACGTCACACAAAATTTGTTGTTTGTCTATTCTACTTTGGGGCAACTCGTTATTAAAAATATTTTCCTTACATTAAGTCTAAACCTATCTCTCTTCTTTCCACCCATTGCCTCTATTTATTTAT